GTCTTCTTTATCTCTCAAACTATGGTCTAAATAAACCTAAGTTAGTACCATAGTTAGTCCAGTACAAGCGTTAAACTTTGTTTTGTAAACGTTTGTAAAGTTTTGTAAGATTTCAAATAACCCAGGGTTTAAACCAGGTTTGAGAGTTAGTCCTTGTTTTGTAATAAAAGGGATAGTAACTAAAATAACTCCGAAAGCAAAATAGTTAATTTCGTTATGTCTTTATTGCCGTAAATAGTTTTTTTTTATGATAGAGGAGTCTATATAATAATATATATAATGCCTAGGTCTGTAGCCATGTAACAACATAGGATACGCTGTCGGCCTATTTTGGCTTTCGATATTCGGTATTATTGTTGAAGCGTAATCTAAACTCAAATAACTGTGTATTAAGGTTAAGTAGTATTTGTTGGTCCACTTTCCTCTGTAAAGACCTTAGAACGAATAAGTTTTGCTAAAATTAATAGTCGTTAACTTGCCTCGGTCTCAAAAGAGCAGTTTTCGCTCCAGTACCTGTGAAATTCTGAGGAAATCGCGTATCAAATGCGGCCTCGACGTCATCAGAGACGTGCGTCACGAACAGGAATAGTTGAGGTAAACTGGAGAGTCGACTTCGTTATTAAAATGTCAAAATATATATAGATTTAATATGTGTCGGCGACTTCGTCCGCGTAGAATAGTTACTTCCAAATTAGTCACAGCGCGATGTTTTATAGCCTATATATATAACCTTCCTTAATAAATGTTCTAACTAGCACAAGAAATAAAAAACCTTTTAATTCGAACCAGTCGTTCCTGAGATAAGCGCGTTTAAACAAACAAACAAGCAGACTCCTTAGCTAGTATAGATTATAAATTACAATAGTATTGTAGGTATGGTTAGTACCAATATATCAATACACAAGTGCTTAAGATTAAAATTACAATATATCCATCGGTTAAAAAATTCGACGATGACATGTAGGAGTCGGTAGCTCAATCTGTTAGAGCTACAGCACGGAACGCTGTGGATGCCAGATCAAGTCCTACCCGAGTTGTAAGATTTTTCAATTTATAATTGATTTTTAATTTGGTATATATTAAATAACATACTTTAACGATTTACAACGCATACTATATCTTAGTTGATTTATGGTCTAAGATGCTTAACATGCTAAAATGTACTGAAAATCAGTATTAAGGTATGAATGTCTAAACATTGATAGACAGTGACGGACTGAAGAAGACCCAGGGCGTCTTTAGATGGTAAATTAATTGAATTTAAGCTCATCATCATATGTGTATATGTATAAAACATCGCTCTGTGGAAATTTTTCATCTCTGTGGGTTTCAGATGCGCACGCTGTGAACACGGTTCAAGAGACCCAAAAAATATGTATGAAAAAAAATTTCTCTTTAAATGACTTACAAAAAATTCCGCGACCACTATATGTCTATCTTTTAAGATTAACTTACAATAACGACGGGACACGACCGAAGTCGCGGGCAGCTTGAATTTATAAAGATGTATAGGTTTGCTCAATTTGATGCCCAAAATAATCTCTACGCGGACGAAGTCGCTGAAAATAATTGCACACAGCTAGTATACATATATATGTTGAATAAAAAAATAAGTAGGCACCCAATGCATTTGCGTAACAGCAGCCAAAGTCATGGGGACACTAAACAAATTAATTGATATAACTCGTGTTTTAAACGGATAATTATGTTTCATTTCACTAAAATATCGTTTTACTAATGGAAGTAACTCTAGAACAAAGAAATGCTTCATGTCAGCACCGAATACAATATATTTATAGCGTGACCTATTTATTGGATAAGCCAATTAGATTTACTTCGTCACATTCCTTAGGAGACGCTTAATTATATTATTTAACAGTAATAGATCAATATTCTAGAAAAAATAGAATTTAACGCGCAATAAATCAACGTCTGATGTTAGTACAGTTATCTGAAATTTATACATCAATATAATGTTGTTTGTTGTGAAAGAGGAGGACAGACAAACTAGCATTTCGCTAGATTGAAGATTCTGGTTTTGAACATACTGACACATAAATAAAACATTTAACGGTTTGAAATGCGATATATATTCAAAGTATGTGAAAACTATTTTAACTGCATCTATCTGAACGATTCGTCCTGGACTTACCTCCCATTCGTAGAATTGGGGGGGGGGGGGGGGGTTATTTGTATATTGTTTATAAAAAACACACTGGATCCTTTGCAATATTAAATTCAGTTATTAGCACTGCATAACTTTTATTGGACCGATAATAGTGTTAAACTAAACCTAAGCCAGACCCAAAGTATTACAAATGTTAGGACGAGACGTTCAGCTCTGTCACATAACTAAGCTAATTGTAAGTACGTAAGTATTAACAGTAGACTAGTTTACTATTGATCCGCTGCAATAAAACTGTAAAAGGTTAGGTAACTGTTTAGCGTTTTGAACCGTTAAAAACCGTGTTATTAACAACGTTATGTTTTTATAGATTAAGCAAATATTTCTTGACTTGGCAAACATTGTTTAGCTATTTTATATATCTAGTGAATTATTAGAACAAGAAATTATTGTATTGACAGGTCTGTGAGATGGAAAATTATTTAATTACTAAAATTTTATTAGGGGTACACACTCAGGGGTAAGAAGAAGAGATAATAGCAGATTATAAGACTTACTGAACATGCATAAATCATAACAGTTGGTTAGTCTGTTAATGAGGATTATTGTGACATAAGTACTTTATGTATTAGATCATTGTATGTACTAAATAGTTCTTGAACTGCTTTATGATAGAGGAGGACAGACAAGCAAGAGCTTCACTTGATCTAAACAAGATGCGCTATCGGCCCATTTGCCTTATTCGGAAATCTACTAACTGAAACCGAAACGCGATTAAGCTTCTTGGCTTTTTCATCCGTGGACGTTCGTTCGTGACTACTATCCAGATTTCCAGACGAAGTTCAACATGTTTCAGAAAAAATATAAATTGATAAATTAGAAACATGACCCGGTGGGAATCAAACCCATGTCCCGTTAATTATTTGCCATACATAGCTACCAATAGACCAATGAACCCGTCAAATTATAATAATTATGTGCATGTTATGTACAATCTTCTGTGCCATAGATAAGAGTATAGAGGTAACATATTTTTATTTTCTGCGCGACTTTCGCAAAAAATAAGAAAATGCAAATTTTTAGTATGTTGCGTGTATATGTTGCATAATTATAAAGATAGAACCGGGCGATGCAGAATTGCGAAGGTAAATTGCACAACGAAAGATATAGCTCTTATCTTATAAATAAAATTGTTCTAATGGATGCACCTAGGGAAGAAAAGTACTTATGCACGTTTTATCTATGGTCAGCAAATTAGAATCTGTGGCATACGGTATCATTGTATGTATTATATTCTTTCAAAATTTGAATGGGTTAGTATTGTCTGTGGTTTACATGAGTAGTACACATTTAAATAAAACATTTATAGCGGTTTGAAACGCAAAAAATTATGTTGTTTGTGTAAGTATTTGTTTCGGATGTTTTGCACCGGCGCTGGTCACGGCGATTTGGTAAAAAAATTAACTATACATATATAATTAGAATAGATAATTGTAGGTATGTTGTAATTCTAGTATATTTTAAAAATTATACTAAGAACATTAATTATTTTTCTGTGTATGTACGTACAAACTACGTACACGATGCGAACAGGACTTAAATCGGTATCCACAACATTCCATGCTGTTGCTCTAACCAATTGAGCTACCGTGTCTTACACATCATATATATATATATATATATATATATATATATATATATATATATATATTTCAGAAAGGTTATTTGTATAAAACAACTAAAATTATTGGCCATTGCACTATTGCGTTGTAAATTACAGACAGTATTTGTTATTGCGTTGCCTGTTTAGAGTTCTTTCTACACTTTGTTTTTGTGAGCTAATAGTTACAATAGTTTTAACTTTTAAATACCTATTACACAATTAGGTAGAAACAAACAAAAGACAAAATAGAGTTGTACAACAAACAAGATGTGAGAACGCACCGGAAACCCGAAATGTTTTTCCGGTTGGCAGAAGATCAAGTTCAAACCTTCATTACAGTTCACAACTGACTACTCGTCACCGTTTTATTTGGTTACCCTTTAACATCATTATTAAAAAATATATATTTATTTAAATAAAACACTTTAACGGTTTTAAAACGCGATATACTCGTATATTAGTTAAACAGCAGTCGAGGTCTCCCCGTGACCACGGCTGCTGCTAAGCATCCGAAACGTCAGGCCGTAGTTAAAATAATTTTCAAATAAGTTTACTAATATATGTCGCTTTTTAAACCGCTAGTGTTTTATTTAAATGTGTACTACTCGCGTTAACTACAGACAGTATAGAATCATTGATATTAAGCCAAGCTCCTGCTAATGTAAAAAAAATATGAAGCGAACGGGACTAGAACTCGCTACCGCAGCGTTTTGGTTAGACCGCTCCATTAGTATAAATTGATATAATTGTAAGTACTTGTGTTTATATCTTGAATTATGTTTATCAAAGTTCGGATAACATTATGCTTGCATTGTTTACTCAACTTATCTCTGTAAGCGAAAACAACAGTTTTATGTAAATTAAAAAGTAATTTTACATTAACGACACGGTGGGACTCGACTCCAAAACTACAGCGATCAGAGCTAGATTCAGAGTGTAATATGTATCAGTACTGTGGCAATAACGGAACAATTAAAAATAAGGTTAAGCAAATTATTTCAGTACTAATAGAGCATACTTTGCATTAATTAGTGATAGTACTTAATATAAGGTCAGCTCTTAGTAATAACTATATATTTTAACGGAGCGAAACGTGTAATATTGTAATTTAAACTATGACGTGTGCTTTGGTTAATACTGAATAGATAGACTAATAATTATGTTAGTAAACAAAAGATTTCCGAAAGAATCAAAGATGAGCTGGTGACGTACCGCGGTCAGTGGCCCCGTGAGGCTGCAACCAGTCGCAACTCGGCCCGGATCCCGCCCGCGCCCGCGCTAACACAACCTTTGCGCACTGTTATACGTATAAGCACGAAAGCAGTTGCACGTCTTAACTACACGCGCGATCGCCGACGACTGGCCAGAGTATTTAGATTTGAGGGCCGGGGGTCGGAGCCACGCGCACGTTGCGACGCACCTCCCCCCTCCTCGGCTTCCCTCCTCACTCCCCGACGCGTACACGAGCTTTCTATAGACTAAACTAGAGGCCATTAAATGACAGTCAATCATATTATTGTTATTATTAATTCATCATTATCGCTACCAACTTGATCGTTTTGATATCTTGCGATATTATAAATGTAGTATGGATATAGAAATCAAGCAATTAATCTTGATAAAAGATAATTTACTGCAATCAATTTATACACAGACAATAGACAATCGAGCAAGACCACAGAGTATATCTACAATGCTGCATGTATAAACTGTTACTGAGTTATTTAGCATGCTGGCTTGAATCCCGCAGACAACGAACAGACATTGTCCCATCGTCTGCATCAGAACTACCACTATACCACTCTCAAGTGAATTAATCTTCGATGTTCAAGGAAATACAGTCAAAATTGCTAATATCACTCAATTATTTACAATATAAAAACTAGCTACATTAACGACCACGTTATCTTATTTATTGTCATCGTAAAATACCTGACACAAGTCACCAATCCTTGTTTAATTTATAATATGAAAATTATCTCATTAATTTTAGGAAATCAATATAACTATATAACTAGATAACTAAATAATTACTGCATAGGAAAAGTGAGATATCGCTTTTAAATATTGTAATTTATTGTGGTCGGGTACAAAGCTGGATTAAAAGGTATATAAGTACTCACTGTCCGAAACTTGAAGAAGAGCGACATGGACGGAGCTGAAGCCGCGGCTCTGTGCAGACTGCCGCGGCTGCCGCGTCTCCCTTAACTCTGTACAGCCCCGTAATTGAGAGGTGTGTCATTTAAATAAATACGGCCCTTATCAGCTATCGCAAATTCGGTTATTTCCTAAAAGCACTTAGCGTATATACTATAAAATGACGTCTGTTATTTATTGTTAGCTGAGAGAGGATCTTTATTAAGTATTTTTACTTAGTTTTCAACAAAACATTTAATATATATTTTTTTAAGATGACGTATACGCAGTTGTTTTTAGATATGTATTAATAATTTAGTTTTTTTGCATGATTTTGCTCCATTAAAAACTTCAATAATTGCTTGTACAAATATTTAATGAAATAATCAAAAATCACTAAAAGGGAAAACATCTATCCTATCTTAGTTCTAATCAAATTAATTTGTGTAGTATAATCTCTTTGTACTCATGTAGCTTCCTAGTGAAATCTCGGCATTGTTTGTCGTGGTCAGGCCCCCAGACTAGGCCTCCGCCGAGCTATCAGGTGGGTGCCTCTCGCGCATGTGCCGAAACATCGATTGTTACAGCGACGACACTTTCCACGAAGCCGCTGCAGTATTAACACGACGTTGCCAATACCCAGCTGTACCAGACTTCTGATGTTTGATCTATGATGTTGTCGGTGGTAGTGTGGGTGACATGGTCTGCGTGGGTCGTGGGCGTGCGCGCGCGCGCCCTGGACCCGGCTGCGTGTGCGGCTCGGTTCGACGTGCAGCGGGACAAGATCATCCGAACGGAGGAATCGCGGGAGATGGGCGCGCAGTACCTCTCCGAGCTGGACGTGGGCGCGAGAGCTGAGTGTCTGCGGCTCTGCTGCGAGACGGACGGATGTGACGTTTTCGTCTTCGAGGAGAAGGTGAAAATAAAAGCTATATTTTCAACTTTCAACTTCTTGCCGATTTTATTGATATGGCTGGTATAAGGTAGAGAATATTCAAAAGAAAATGATAGTTACAGATTCTGTCAACTTATGTAACAATATAATAGCATTTTCTCTATAAAAAACTTGTTATATATATCACAGATGTTTATTTTAATCACAACTCTTTATTATCTGTGTTAATATATTGATTAAATTACATTGTATGTAGAAACGCGATTTCCATAAAAATTATTTATACATTTTCCACAGTGTATCAAATTTAACGTTTTCGTGACGTGAGTATATTGGAGTAAAGCGTAAAACTAACAATGGGAAATATTTATTAAACCCAGACATTTTAGTATGCTTTAGGAATACTTACGTATGTATGAGACGTTAGTAGGAAGTAGTGTAGATCAATGGATCAAGTGGAACGATTTAGTTCAGTCTTAAATAGATTTAAAGTTACAGGAGTTTTATTAAACCACGTGGCCACATATTTACGGCCACAATATTTTTTTTCACTTATCTCTAAAGAAAATGTATTTTATGTTTATTTATTTATTATTATTATTTAATTCTTTATTGCAACACAATCAAAGTATGGGTACATATTTCCTTCTCTCTTCTCATGCCTCTCCATTACTACCATTACATATTTCCTTAAAATATTCTCAATAACACTTTTAGAAAGAAATTATTCTTACAAGTGATGAAGTGCAATGGGCGGCCTTATGGCTATAGAGCGATCTCTTCCAGGCAACCCTTTATGTTTTGCATTATTATTAAAGTAACGATGTTTATCACGTCTCACAGAGTCCGGGTAGCTGTTACCTCTTTAAATGCGGACCACCCGAAGATTTCCGGTGCAAGTTTACCAGTCACGGCAATTTTAGCAGCGGCGTGTTGGAAATTAGCAGGCACTTGGCAGAGCTTCAGGATGAGGAACGTCTAGTGCCGCTACATCATCAGCTCGCGGAGCTCAGGTAAACGCAATTGCGAGTCGAATTTAATACAAAAGGTTCCGTAGTATTGACGAAGTCCACAAATTTTGTATTATAACCATTTTTTTTTACTTCAAGTACTTAGTAACAAAAATAAGCCAAATTACTTTTTTGTCGAAAGCGGCTTTAATCAAATAAACGCGTTTTCCTCTTCATATTGTAATTATCGCTCCTATTGATGATGAATCCTGATGTTTTATAACCTTAGCCTTCCTCAATAATATTTCTCAGTTCCTCAATTTGTTTCTGGATAAGCAAACTCTTATATAGTATGTATAATAAAGTTAGTAGTACTATAATCTGACTTAGTTAATTCTCATATAGTGATTATGAGAATGTTTCACCATCTCTATCATAAAACAGTGCCAATATTTTTTTTTGATGACAGCCGAACGCACAGTACCACCACGAGTACCCCACGACCACCACCTATGCCGCTGCACCCAGCACCTCCGGCTCTACCTGCCACAAAACCACCAATTGGTAAGGATTTTGTTTCTTTACCTAAGGATATTATCCTATAATTATTATAGGAAGCTATATCTAATTAAGACTAATCTACTGATATAAATTCAACCATATTATACAATACTAGTTGTGTCACTGACTTCGTCCACGTAGAATATATTTTTGGCGTCAATTTTTTTTGTCATCCCTCTCCTCATTGTTATAGATTCAAGCTATTGCCTACAAACGTCGTTCTTACAAGTTAATCTTAAAAGAAGAAATATAGTATCGCGGCTTATTTTTAGATCATTTAAAGAGGAATCATTCCTTCATACTCATACCTTTGGTTATCCTGAACCGTTTCTGCAGCTTACGCCTCGGAAACCATAAAGGTGAATAATTTTCCCCATTACCTCCACATTACCCTCGGTTTGTTCGCTTCTACAAGTCGCAGCATGATGTTTTATATCCTAAAGCCTTCAATTCGAACCAATAGTTTCAGAGATTAGCGCGTTCAAACGAATATATATAGACACATCAAACAAGTTGGACCTGGTGGAAATCGAACCCACGACGTCAATTACAAGCCATCATTGACTCAACGAGTCCCTAATTTCTAGCTAAATATAAGAACAAAGAATATCAATAACATGCGCATGACCCAAATTGTGACTCATTTAGGTGACTGCCCGCATAGTGGGTTACTGATTAATTCACCTCAGTTGCCACAGAATAAACAATACTTCTTGATTTTGACGTGAATCATAGATAGGGCAACTGCCTCTATTATCTATGTCTAACGTATTTATGTAATGCGTTGAAAAAAAAAAAAAAAACTTTAAGAAAAGAGAAAATCAAAACGGAACGTCGGGCCCCAGTTAAAATAATTTCCAAATTAGTTTAACCCATGTATATCGCGTTTTAAATGGTTAACGTGTTTTATTTAAATGTATAGGTACTAGTCGCGTAAACTACAGATAGTATTTAAAAAAAATACTTACTATTATTTTATCGCTGGACTAGTGAGGTCTTGCGCTGGAATACTCGGGGAAATTTGATACATTTTTCGGACGTGAGACAGCGGTCCAAGCAAACGCTAGTCTTTCAACCGCTCTGGAAACAGACACAGTAATATGTCTACCAAACATATAGAAATTATATTTGATATTAAGAGCATGCGTGTTAATAAAAGACACGCGTCTTTAAATACACTTTTATTTTAAACTAGTAAAAAGAGTCGTCCGCGTTTGTCATTCTCGCGAATATATCTTAAATGATAATTGAAAGAGGAATCATTCGTTTTACATTTTCTTTGGAATCGTAATGCAGCGTACGCAATGGAGACGCTAAAGTTTTTCCTTTTTCACAATCCATTTCTTGCTGATGTTTAGCCTGAAGCCTTACTCGAGAAGTTAGAGCGAACCAATAGTTTCAATTCGAACCAGTAGTTCCTGAGAATAGCGCGTTCAAATAAACAAACTCTTCATTTATAATATTAGTATAGATCAGCACTCATGCGCATTTTACTGACTGATTTTAGTTTTAAGCACTTATTAAAGCCTTTTCAGCGGACAGTGGTGGTGTTGAGAGGGGAAGGTGCAGCCGATACCAGTTTGCGTGTCGTGCTGGTGGGGAATGCATCGCTGTATACAACGCTTGTGATGGCGTGCCTCAGTGCGCTGATGGGAGTGACGAAGCACCTGAGTTGGGTTGTCCAGTGCCCTCGACAGCATCGCCACCACCTCACCCACGTACATACCCACCTGTGATCCCCCAGGTTAGTTATTCCTTGCCTTCTTCGTTGCTTATGATAGAGGATGACAGACAACCATCTCTTGATGGACGGTGAAATACTCTAGTCCTATACCATCTCGACAAGATGGGCCGTCAATTTATTGTTTGTTTGAGTCAAGACTTACAGCGTCCCACGGTTTGTAATTTCTCCTTTAATATGGTTAGATAAGTATAAATTAATTAAAAAATTTCGGTAGAAATCGAACGTACGACCTCTTGATTATTATAAACCATTGCTACCATTAGACTGACAAGTCCGTCAAACCATATGCAATTCAAGTAATAAAACAATATTAACAGGTTAAAACAAGAAAATAATCAAAGCCGATACTCGAATGCTATACATACGAGTCTTACTATATTCCTTTAAGAAAAATATTTCGTGTATAGATAAACATGCCTTAGCAGGTAAAGATGCAAGCAGAGATGGAGGAGAACAACAACAGGATCGGTGAAATGAATGTACGAGCTGCTGAAGCAGCAGCAGCAGATCTGTGGCCACATCGACTGACACAAGCACAACCACAGCATCGATATAACAGTGGTAAGGTTAAATAAGGTTAAAAAGTGTCTGTGTGGATTAAATGATTTGATTTTATTTAAAAAAATATTAAGCACTTCTGAAACAAATATCCTTAAAGCAAAACCTCTATACCTATATCTAACCTGTTATATAGGGATACCAAGTATAGATGCATCTGGTGCAGGCGGACCCCACATTTTCAGCCACAAGGGTGGTCTAGTGCAAGAATTGGACGAAGGCCTACCACCCCCACCCGCTCCAGCAACGTGGCCGCATCGCACTTGGCAACCGTCTCGTCGCCATCCTGGCACCGGTAATTGATCCTATTAAGAAACTATACAGGATGCCGCAAAACTTTTAATTGAATAATTTACCTGCACATTACAATAAAACTATAAATTAAATACACGTCATAGTCGATTTTTTTCAACCTATTGGCATATGAACTTATCGCGCAATGTAATTTCAACCTTAACTATTGCCTATTAAAGTTCAACGCTGCACAAATGCTTTGAGTTTAAAAAAAATCATTGAGAATAACATTACAAAGTTTATTCATTTAAAAACTTTTATATTTTTCACAAGGGATCAATTAAATTTTAAATTTGATTAGACAAATATTAAGTTTCAAATAAAGCTGTGTGAAAAAACGAAAATGGCTTTTCAATTTCAGTAATTTCAGCACAAAATGTAATCATTTTTTTTCGTATTTTACCAGTACATATATCATTATTTTCTGTCTCTTTTGATCGTTGTGTGTTACTTATAGGCTATAGAGATTGACTTAATAAAAATATTTTAATTGGGCCAGTAGCTACCGGGACAAGAGCGTTCAACCATACATTTATTTTTTTTTCAATTTGGCATATGTTAACAGGATTAAATGTGGACGTAGCAGCGGAGAGAGAAAATGTGAATATGGGCATGGATGGACCAGAAGGCGAGTGGATGGGGCAGCAACTTGGTCGTGCGGTGCCCTACTGGCCGTCGCATCACCTCTCACCAGAAACGCAGCAGCAGGTAGAGTCAAATGTTTCTAATAAAATTTATTTTATAGGGATTCGTTGTCCAAACATATTCCTTGTTTACAGAAATTGAATTATTGCAATAATTGTAACATGTAGGTATTACTAGTTGTGTCACTTCGTTTTTGCTAACCTCAATTATTGATGTTTCAAACTAAGGAACTCTTCAGTTTTATATATATAGTATTATTGTTATGTTATCAGATTTCACAGCAAACATTGTACGGAAAGAACGTGGGCAACGTGGCGACTGGGATTGGCAATGGTGGCGACACAATGCCAGAATTAGCCGTGGTGTACACAAGCGATCGTGCCGCACCTCTATCCGACGCTCCTAAAAAAGGCTTTGAGCTGGCTGCTCTTCCCCCTGAGCCACCTACCCCCCCACATCCAACACATACGCCGCGAGCCCCTGTACAAAACGCTCATGATCTGGTCTCCCCGCCCTTTGAAAGCACTACTAAGAAGAAAGCTCTAAAAGATAAGGAGGAAATCGTAAGTGTACTTTATTGTTTTTTTTTGGGTATTCTTAAAAGACTTATTGTTAACGAACATACAAAGATTTAAATTTAATGGATTGTTTTACAAAGATCTTAGTTTTGTTTATTTTAGCATTATTAATATCCGACATACTACTTGTGTTCGTTATGACCTAGTTGTCGAAAGACGACCTTAAAAAAGAAAGCTCCTACGTTAATCATAAATGTGTTTTTCGAGGTTTTTTCTAAAAATGTGGTTATGTGTGTCAAATGTCCATGTGATTGACAACCTAGAAAAGCAGATACTTCTACTCCCGAAAATAATTATAGGTATTTCTTCAACACATCTTATCTTATGAACCAGTTAGGGTACCTAAATAGATACAAAAAATTAACAATTTCATTTTCATGATATTACTAAAATTGAACGCTGAACTGGGAGTTTTACGTAACGCGTTATGTAAGGTTACCATACCAACCTAACACTCGGAAGTTATTAAATAACCTGTTTCATTATCAATAGCATGTAGTTCAAAAGCCGCAATCGGCCGTGGTACACGAAGAATACCAAATGAAACCGGCTGCGCGGGAGCAGCACGAACAATGGGCGAGCGACGAGCACGAGGGACTGAGTGAACACCCAGCGGGCGCGTTGCTGCTCTTAGTCCTTGGAACGTTGATGACAGCTGCCTTGGGCACAGTGGCAGGTTGCAGAGCACGCGCCACCAGACGCCGGAGACACAAGCGATATGCCCTGGATGCAGACTACCTGGTCAACGGCATGTACCTCTAGCTAGCTGACTAGAGACCCAAAATTTACTTTAGCAAATTGTTGGCAAATTTGAAGCTTAATTTTTTACAGAACATCGACTACACATAAGCTCGCGTATTTTTTGTGGCTGTACTTATTGTGAAACATCTGACAGATAATTTAATAATTTTCCATGATTTAAAAAAATTTACGTCATGGGCGTTAAGTGCTGTTGCTATAAACGATTGAGCTACCATTTCCTACACTCGACGAATTTTTTCAACCTATTAAAATTACATGCACCTAGCGCAATTAATTTCTCCCTTAACAATTGCGTATTTATGTGACAAATATTAAAATTATCCATTTATTTTTCGATCTAAATATAGTTATTAAGAAATATTATAGAAAAAGTTGCCATTTAATTATGCGATATAATTATTAAGTAAAATTAATTATTTTTTTCAAGATCAAACTCACATATGAGGCTGCTAGAGGTAGAGTGGCCTATTTCTATATATTATATAATTGAAAAGACCACATTTAAATTGGGCGAAAATGAATTTGTACCATTATTTGTGTAAGAATTATGTTAACATGTCATGTTCATGTGTAATCTCGTAGATTAATATTATTAAACTAAAAATAAAAATAAATATTGCAGATAGGCTATTCTGCCTCTAGCAGCCTCTTATTATAATTCATCCGGCGTACAGACAGTTAGTAAGTTGTTTCTGCCGTTGCTTTGTGTCTGCAGCATACATATAGATATTGTGATATATTCATTAGCCTAGGTATTTGCTTTCGCTGCTGTATAAAAAAAATATATCTACTAAAATCGAAAACGTATTAATATAATAATTTTTTTGAAAGCCGGCCTGATCCGATACACAGGTCCGTGCTTCTCTAACCAATTGAGCTACCGCGTCGTGTTGGTAAGAGCAGCAAGGAACGCTTTGAATGCTGGTTCAAGGCCTGCCTGTGTCACTGTTTTTTTCAATCTTAATAGGTTTTTAATGTAAATACGGCCATCATATGGAAAATATTAAAGTTTTCAAATATATCAACTTTAATATCAATGAACTAAACATATTTTTTCAACTGAAAATCGTTTGAAGTTAAAAAGTAAGTAGATATCGTAATTTATAAGAGTGAAGTAGCACATGCAGCATAATATAAGGCCTGTTACAATTATGAGACCGTTCATGTATTTCATAAATAAAAAAAAAAAAAAAAAAAAAAAAAAAAAAAAACCCCCCCCCCCCCCCCCCCCAAAAAAAAAAAAAAAAAAATTTTTTTTTTTTTTTTTAAAAATTTTGGGGGGGGAAAAAAAAAAAAAAAAAATAAAAAAAAAAAAAATTTTTTTTTTTTTGTTTTTTTTCCCCCCCCCCCCCCGGAGAAGAAGGGCTTCCCCCCCCCCATTTTATTTAATTTTTTTTTTTCAAAAAAAGCCACCAACCCCCCAAGAGGGGGGGGGGGATGTTGCTTGTGCTTATGTAATACATGACGGTCCCCTATTATACTTTTTGTAATTGTCAAAATGTAAATAATTAATATTGAGTACGAATTGTTGTGAATGTAAGACGCGTACTTCGTGACCTGTCTTCGATAGAGAATGTGATCAATATTGTATCTTTTAAGTAGTCGTAAGTTAGTCGAACGGATAGAGCCCCCGCACTCATGCAACTGGCCACAACCATATTCTTTGATTTCGTTTGAACTCGCCGCCGCTTGTCACTCGTGCCTTTACGCTTTGCAGAACAATTTGTTTGAGATAGAGCAGGACAGACCAGCTGAGGTTCCGTTGATGGTAGTTGAAATACCCAAGCCATATAACATCTAAACAAGATGCGCCGTTGATCTATTTTGGCTTTGGATATTCGCAAAACCACAGACTAAAATCGTAAAGCGATTAAAAACGGCTTTTTCTTCTGTGGACGGTGCTTCGTGCCCGGGCGAAATTTCGATATTCGTATTAACATGTTTCATTTAAATAAAACACTTTAACCGCTTTAAAACGCGATATATTAGTTAAACTTATTTGAAAATATTTTTAACTTCGCCCGACTTTCCTGTTCGGTGGGGACCGAAGCCACGCCCGGTTGATCATTAGCCATACATTTCTACCATTAGACCAACGAGGCCGTCAAAACGTATAAGAACTTTCGCCGGTGTCGGCGTTTCGTGGCTGTGGCCGGTAGCTCTTGTGGGGGGGTGCCTTTTGTGCGTAGGCTACAGATTTTCAATCGCCCGTTTGATCAGCCAAGATCCTTCAGGTCAAGGCTCCTCCTTGATCATACTTTGTTGATCATCGGCTGATAGCTCCAGTTTTTTGTCTAGCAAAAGCGATACGTCAGTTACCTTTCTTTTAAGACTTGATGGAAGATGAAATACATATAACATCTCAATAGGATGCGTTATCGACCAATTTTGTCGCTTCGACTGAAGCCGAAAACGCGGTTAAAGTTTGTTTTTTTCATCTGTGTACATATCATAATATGGTAATATCCAGGGTTTCCAGACGTTGGACCTGGTGAAGATTGAACCACGACCCGTTGATTAACATTGCTAATAAACCAACGAACCAATAAATACCTACCTACATCCTACCACTATCCTACCACCAGCAGTAGGGTTGTTCGCCAGTTGTGCGCAAGAAATTTTCGACTAAACTATAGGGCGATAGACTGTCTGTAGTCTTCTCGTAGCCTTATAACACTATTGTTTATACGATTCATGGATTGCAAATAAAATAATTTGTTACATTTTGCTTTTACTTCCCCAATTCCCAAATTTAATAAAAAAAACAATAAAAAAAACACTTTAACGGTTTAAAACGCGACATATAGAAATGAAACTTACTTACAAATTATTTTAACTACGACGTTTCGGATGCTTTGCAGCCGTAGTGTTAACGAGGAGATAGTATCCCGTTAAGTTTAACTAATATAATATTTACTCGCGTTAACTACAGAGTGGTAAATAATACAACTATATACAATCAACGTATTTATTACAAGAATTGTATAAGCTAGGATCACAAAAAAAATCACTCAAGGGAATGAATACAGCGGTATAGCTTTAACCTAAGTATGAGCAAGGCATTTGATATGATGGCATGATTTTAATTTATTATAATTAGCCCTTCAATAGCAAAATATAAATCTAATAGGGATCTTTTTAGACCCCCAGAAAATTTTAACAAGATTAATTTTAAACTGGCTTCAAAATGCAATTGACATGCATAAGATTTGAAATGGTGTCAGAATCATAACAAAAAAAAGGCATAATACAAATCGTATTTAAGGCAATTTAAAACTTACAGCATGTACCTACAAAACTGACGATGGATTTTAAATTTTCAAAGTTCATAGTAATTTAAAGAATGCTTTCAGTACAGTGTCTATATGATACCTCAACAACATTTTTCTTCCTTAGAAACAAACATAACTCACTTATAAGTAGAGGCACGGATCTTTAGCGCTGAACGAATCCTGCGCAGATATCAAAAATAAGACGGAGCGGGCGCGGGGCAAGTGAAGTGAGTTGATTGGTTCCCCAGTCGTGTTGTCTTTCTCGGACCAATACGACGCTCCGTTTGCTTTCCGAGTACAGTCACGTTTTCCTAGCAATTACATGAGCGAACCCCTCTACACTTCGTTCAGCGCTAAATATCTGTGCCGCGACCTATACAAGTCAAACTTTGATTTGGAAACAACACAAATTTAATATTCATTAATGATATAATAAAAAGAAATACTTTTAAATGCGAATAAGAATTATTATGCGCAGGAACTAGATTATTTTATGGGCTACAATTAAAAGAATGACGTTTAGGTAGTAGTCTTATAATTCATAACTAATTAGTGCAATATTAATAATCACACGCATATATAATATTGATCCCATTATATTGAGGTGATATTTTTATTTACACTTTATTATTTCACCGCTAGGCGAATTTTATCTTGAACTTAGTAAAACTAGCGAAGCACATTAAACTAACTAAAACGTTCTAGTAGGGTTTTCTATATGACGTCACTGTTGGTGACGTCATCAGTTGACCGTTCCTCGATTTTTGATCCACTCGTGATAAACGGTAACCGGCTCGAAAATCCAAGTAGTTTTAAAAGGCGAAAGCCTTCTACAATTTATAGGTCTTAACTTATTCACTGTATGCGCTAGTTACTGCTACCATCTCAACGGTTATCTGATATAATTATATTTTTAATAACTTTATAACATACAAAAAAATATTAACTTTTGTAAGGCACTTGTTTGTTAAGATAGAGATTAATTAAATAAGTGTAGATACAAGTACAGTGAGATTCACATATGAAGAAAATAATGTAATAACAATCTAGGAACTGTTAACTGGGAAAATTTTTGGGCAAAAAATCCTTGCCATAAATTTCATGGCTGTGAACTAAGTACCTGCGTAACGCGGTAGGGCGACGGAGGTACTGTGCTGTAATTTTTTCGACCATCTAAAATGTATCAGATGTCGGAGATATAAACAAAAAATAGGAAAAATCACAAATTGTACTCTACGAGTCAGTCTTACATAAATTGGACTAAGTTGCGATGAGCGAAACACCCAAATAACAATTGGAAATAATGACCACACAAAGGTTGTCTTACGTTGGTTGACTTTGGTGGTTAGAACCACTAGTTGGGGTATTCAATACAAAAACAAAAGATTTAGTTCATAAACAACAACAGTTCAGTGTCATACAATATAACAATAGTGTATTTTTTTTAAGGGGGGTGGGGGGGGGAAAAAAAAAAATTAGGGGGGGGGTTTTAAAAAAAAAAAAAAAAAAAAAAAAAAAAGGGGGGGGGGGGTTTTTTTATAAAAAAAAAAATTTTTTTTTTTTTAAAAAAAAAAAAAAAAAAAAAAAAAAAAAATTTTTTTGGGGGGATTTTTTTAAAACTTTTTTTTGGGTAAAAACAAAAAAGGGGGGGGGGGGAAGAAAAAAAAAACCAAAAAAGGGGGAAAAAACCCCCCTTTTTTTTTTTTCCGAAAAAGGTTAAAAAACGCGGGGTTAATTAACGGGGAAATTAAATTAAAAAAGTCGTCAAAAAATTTATTTTGAGCTCGTTTGGTCCATAAAAATCGATGTTTGTTTGTCAAAATTGTCACTTATAAAAGGTCAACACTCTATGGTTTGGCGTCGGCCATATTTGTTGTTTTTGTTAGAAAAAATACACTATACATTTGCCATTGTCAACATATTGGAAAGTGTCATAAACAACAATGATGCCAATTTTCATATAAATTGTACTTTATCGTCTCGCATGTCTCACTGTTTACATATAAATATGTAAATAAACAAGGTGTACTCATAGTACGTTAAAATAGGTACTATCTATAAATATATGATGTCGATTACTTACAAGTATTCTTCCTATCGCTTTGGAAAAAACTTAAGTAACTATAACAACTTACCCCTGTTTACTATAGGCCTCAGGAACTGGTGCACAACCGTTCTCGGAATAACAAATGTTAAAACTATTGCAAGCATTTAGTGAGATGTGATTAGTCAAGGCATGCGCGGTAGATGGGGCAAATGGGGCATATGGGGCAAGTGGGATGAGGGTAAATGAGCAAGACGGCAGTTCTCGATGTAGAGGTCTTTGACAAGAAGGTCCGCGGCAGCGAGCCGCGCGTGTAGACGTTGCGCGGCGCGCTCAGCTCGCGCTGCTCGTGCCCGCAATGCGTTTGCGCATGCTCCCGTATCGGTACCTGTACTCGCGTTTGATCCGCACCAACACGCACTCGTACGCTGAAGGAAAATTAAAAGGGAAGTATTAGGGCAGGTTGTTTGAATTGCAACAATTGCAAGCATTGAAAGTTTTAAGAAAAGTGTGGTTGAAAAATGTCGTCGCCTTGATTTAATAATTAATAAATAAACATATTTTACTTCACATTGTTTTGTTGAATTTAGTAATTTTAATATTCGGTAACTTAGTGAGGTTCCCTCTTTTTAGGTATTAAAGTGAAATTTTATACAGGCCATTATAGGTATATTATATATTATGTATTGTTTTATTAATTTCTTAAATTGTGGGCACCCTTTATGGAAATGTATCTAAATATGCGAAATATAAAACACTCACCGTCTGCTTTCTCTGAACATCTATATCTGTGCAGTGTCGCGCATTCGACCGCTGTTGCAACTGCTGTAGCTGCGACTGGGTTTGCTGCAGCTGCTGCTGGTGCTGCTCGACCCTCTTTTCTAGTTCTTCTATGTGTTTCTTTTGTTTATTTATTTCGTCCACCTGCAAAATATACAAAGAAATATAACTGACGGCACGGAGTTGATTTTTTATTACTTATCTGTATATAAAGAACATTTGCTTGGTAGAAATATATTTGGACATAGAATTAATTTGGACAATTTCTTGAAACAAAGAAAACTAACAATCAAGAAATCCACAGCTGTATTAAGGTAATTCGTTTTTGTATATGGAATGAAATCTAGTGTAAGGTACATTTGTAAGTTTGACTTTTAAATCACACACATTTTGACGGGCTTGTTGGTCTAATGGTAGCAATGTATGGCTAATAAACAACGGGTTGTGGATTGGATCCCCCCTTGGGTCCAACTTGTTTCAAATTTTTCAATTTATAATTTGTCTAAAACAATGTTGGACTTTGTCAGACATTCTGAATATTAAATGGATGGTAGGAATATAGAAATTCCGTCCGGGTTGCCGCGAAGTTTCATCACGTTTCATGCAGTCTGTGGATTCCGAAGTTTTGCATGTAAATAAGATGCGCTAACGGCTGGGGTATTTTATCTACCATCAAGTGAACCGCACAACAACTTAGATTCTTTGTTTATATCAATATCATATAATTGTAACAAGTTAATGCTTGTTCTAGCCAAAAATTTCACCGAGGCAAAATTCATATTTGTTTATTTTACCTTGTAAAGAATCTCTTGTTCCTTATTGCTACGAAACACTTGCATTTCATTTTCCAGAAGCAAGTATTGCTCTTCTAGCGCGCTCTCTGTTATGGGGGGTAGGGGCGTGGTCGAGGCAGCAAACTGCATTTCGTATGCGTGTATTTTATCGACCAGCTCAGCCAGACGCTCGTCAGAGGCGCGCTGTTGTTCGCGCTCGTTCTTCAACCGACCTGCCCAGTACTCCTCACACCTTTCATACTCCTCACGCAGTTGTTCTACACTAAACTCGAGATCTCTGAAATTTAAATATGTAATCTGTATTTAATAATTAAGCGAAACACTTTATTAACAGATAATACAAGACAAGACATGTTGCAATAAAAGCTTTTAAGTATGTATGGCTAATAATGAACAGGTCGTGGGATCGATCTAAGCCAATCCAACATTTTTCTAATGAATTTATAATTTTCCTAGATCTTAGATAATAAATTGTTGGTAGGAATATCGACATTCCATGCGGGTCACGAAGCACCGTCTATATATAAAAAAGCCGTAAAGCATTTTGGTTTTAGCTTGTGTCCGAATATCCAAAGCCAAAAATGGTCGACAGCACAACTTGTTGAGATGTTATATGGCCGGGGCATCAAGTAAATACTATGTTTGTCTGTCCTTCTATATTATTAAAAAAAACTCATAAAGCAGTCTTGTAATCGAAAATACTTTTTTTTATTTCCGAAAAGACACATTTCAATTATTATGTAATAACATTTATATACTGACTTGATGATGTTATTTAGACTTTTGACTTCAGACTCGTGTGCTGCCTTCATATTTTCGAGCTCCTGCTTCAGCATATCCTTATTATCTGTCTCTGGTTGGGTGACTTGCACTAATTCCCCCTTGAGATCATGTCCATTAGACGCTGCTGTTGAAGTCTCTGAGACAGCTCTTTCACAATTTGTACTCTCCAATGATGAAAGGTCATCGAGTTTAGCAGTAACTGCTTTTATCATACTATCAGATTCTAAGTCATTGCAGTCATTAGAAATATCTTTCTGAAAAAGCAATTGGCTTTGATTTAGCTTATAAAGCTTTTTGAGGTAAAGTAAATTTATCAATATTAAAAAATATATATACTCGCCAAGTGTTACTTGGACTTGACTTGGAATCGAAGAAAAACCTATAAATATTGATTGTAATCTGCTCTACCAAAACCTAAGTATAGAAGGAGCATTATGAACTGAATTGTTTTAAAATAAATAAAGTTTTAGTTATTAAACTTCCATACTTGTTGTACTGCATGAGCGCGTTCTAAGGCAGCAGAAAGCTCGTCAACGCGGTCAGTCATGAGCTGGTGTTCTTGACGCAGTTCACACAGCCGCACTTCCAGTTCCTCCCGCGCAAGACGCTCTCGTTCTGCGCACGCTGCGTCAGCTTGCGCTGCTTCAAGAGCACTTTTTAGCTGCCTACTCCACTCGCGTTCAGCATCATAACTACGATTTTCATATTCGGTAATGCGATCCTATAAAAAAAAATGATTTCAAAGTGTTATCAACTTAATATACATATATAGTAAAAGTCACCAACCTCAAGTTCCTGAATTCGGTGATTGGAAGCAGCCAAGTCTCCACGAAGCCGACTTTCTGTTTCTGCACGGAGAGCAACTTCTGCTTCCAAATCGCGTTGCAAGCATGTTGCACGATCACGCTCCGCTGCCGCTTCAGCTGCAGTTGTGCGCATTGCATCTGCATGTTTCGCTTCCAATGATCGTACTCGGTTCTTCAGCTCTGCTTCTATCCGCGCATGGTTCTCGTCTACATCCTGCGCTAAAATTCGAGCACGCCTATTGGCTTCAGATAGGTCTATCCGTAACTTATTGCGTTCAGCTATCGCCATATCGAGTTTTCGACGAAACTTTTCTATTCGTAACTTGCTTAATGTACTAGAAGCAAGTAATAGAAGAGATTGGGGTTCCGAAACACTCGGTGAAGAACCAAGAGCTTGAAGTTCTTCATCTAGTGCCCGTTCTAGATCTTGGGGATGCAAACCTACAACGCTAAATCCTAGCTCATGTAACAGGTGCCTTGGTTTCTGTACCCCAGCACGTTCCCAGGCTTCAACAACTTCAATGCTGGCAATTATATCTACGTCTATAGAATGATCCTCAATGGTACTTTCATCAAAGCTTGCTTCAATTGATGTTTGAAGAGATAAATTTAATCTGTCAAAAAACTCTCCAGCACTCATTTCATCGGTCTTTGATTGTTCAAATATTACTTCTATGAGTTTTTTATCAACTGCATGCATTTGTAGACCTTGGCAAAGTTTCAGAGCACTCTCAATATTCACACGCTGCTCATGATCTAGCTTTAACACATCATCATCACTAGTGGGATCGGGACGGGTCTCCATGGCAGAAGAACTTCGTTTGCACTTCATGCGTTGCTTTACACGTTCTCCGTCCAGTCGTGACTCTGAGGCGACGCGATGTCGAGGCGATACCTCCGAATCAACCCTCGGTGGTCGTGAGCGACGACCATACTTTTTTGAACCGAAGGTAAATTTAGGGGCTACTTCACGACCCGAAGAATCGTCGTCACTATGGGATGGTGTTGATACAGATGCTCGCGTACAACCAGGAATTGAAGGAGCAACAGGCGCGGGTGATTGCGAGCGCGCTTCACCACCAAGCACTGATAGCAAGCCGTTCTTGAACTGCGTGAAGGTGACACGGCTACCCTGACTTTCGAATAAGGTGTCGACCAGAGCTGCTCCACGATCCTCCAGCTGTAACGCGTCACAAAGGTCGAGAACAGCCTGCTTGTTTAGGGCTTCATCGTTCTCTACGTCGAACGTTTTAAAAACACTATATAGCTGCTTTTCATAGTGATTCATAGAGACACTATCCATAACGAGGATTCGTTTTCTTACTCGAAATGTATTAGAACATGCTGACGGATTACATTAAAAGCAAATCTTATTTAACTGGTTTTTCTTTACTTTATTTTAATTTTGTACAGTGAACATTTATAAGTCAAACAGTGAACGAGTAACCAAATAATATGCAGGTTGCAGTTACCTATATTTTATTGCCTTTATTTACGATAACAGATTATTAAGTGAATTATCAAGTAATTCATGTATATTTGTCCATTTTCAATTGCACAGAATAACTTATGACAATTGACAAATGCAACTAGGGTCAAGAGTGAGTTGTACCGATCGTTGTTGCATTTTGAAAAGTATGTACTTTCCAACTTTATTCTTATTTAAATTTACAGTCTTCTGACTTTTATTTGATATTTTTCATGCGACCACAAAGTTAAAAAATATTTTTTTCTTGACACAATACCACAATACAGTACTCTCGCGCTAAGACTATTATATTATGTATTCTTTGACACAGTATAATCTATGATGTTTATTAGAATTAAATACAAATAATTTTGTTTATTTCATTGTAAAGGAAATATCAAAGACAAATATTTGAATTTTGTATGAATTATTACTTAACAATATTTTAATACGTAGTCCTGATTTATTGCTTTATTGAAAGACCTTAAAGCTACTTTTTATTACACAATACATGGGTCCTAGAAGTTATTTTAACGCTAAAGTTATAAAGGTGTAGCATCGATGTTTACGAATTATTAATAACTAACAAAGATTATTAACTTTAATGTAATCCGCACGTATTATTTTAATCGCTAAGTGGCCTTGTACCGTTGTAATTTCGCGATATCAATATTCGACGACGAGAACACAAGTAGATAAAGTATTCACGAAGACAGATTTAATGTATTGAATATGTAATGCTATATTTGTTTATTTTTGTGCTAGACCTAACCACAAGTGCTTTGTAAATAGAAGTGAAAAATGAATTTAATGTGCTCCAAGTACACAGTGCAAAAACTTCATGAAACAAAGGAAGATAATTTCATTCAAAGTTGTACATACTATGTTTGTATATTTATAATTTGCGTATTATTGTTCATTATTGTTTTACCCTACATTCATGAACCAAATATCAAAATAATATCTGTTGGTGATGAAAATATTCATATGCAAGAAGCAGAGCTAAGCAAGGTAATATCCTGTTACTATAATACTCCGTCAGAAGAAGCTGACCATCAGCTATTGCCAGATGGTATCAACCCCCTACTGTGCACCCATATCAATGTAGCTTTTGCTAAAATTATAAATAAACAAATATATCTCACAGATTTTCAAATCAAAACAATAAATGAGGTTTTACAACTGAAGAAAACGAATAGTAAATTAAAGGTTTTAGTGTCTGTTGGGGGATCAGGTAATAATGATGGATTTTCTGATATGGTGGTTAATCATGCAGCAAGAAAAACATTTATTCGATCTGTTAAGTATTTATTAAGAAATCATTCATTAGATGGAATTGATCTCGACTGGGAGTTTCCTGCTGTACATCTTCAAGAAGCGGAACAGGGCAAAAGGGAGAGACAGCACTTCTCCCAATTATTAAGAGAAATCAGAATGGAATTTATAAGAGAGAGGAGAAATTATTTGTTGACTGTAGCATTAGCAGCTCAGCAGATAATTGTTGACGTGTCATATGATATTGATCAAATTAATATGTATGTTGACTTTGCAAATGTTATGACATATGACTTTCATTATTACACTAAGTTTACACCGTTCACCGGACTCAATTCACCTTTGTTTGCTAGAAATTCTGAACATTTGTACCTAGCTACTTTAAATGTGAACTACACAGTACAGATGTTCTTGACTAAAGGATTAAATGAGAGCAAAATTGTAATTGGCATACCTTCTTATGGACACAGTTTCACTCTCGTCAATAAAGATAATGCAGGTATTGGTAGTCCTGCATTGGGGTATGGGAATGTGGGTAGCATAGGATTTGTAAATTATCCAGACATTTGTTGCTTCATTAAAAATAATAGTGATGTTATTATAGTAGAAGAGAAGAATACAAAAGTGCCATATTTACACAAGGGTACAGAGTGGATATCGTATGAAACACCTGAGAGTGTCGCCACCAAAGCTGAATACATCAGACAGTTAAAGCTGAGAGGTGCTATGATCTACTCCTTGAATGCTGATGATTATAGGGGTCGGTGTGGAGAAAGTTTATACAATGCCACAAACTTCCCACTTGTCTCATCGATCAAGAATATCCTTGATACTTAAATGTCTTGCAGCGATCCAAAAGTGTTATTCCATCACCACAGACTGTTCATACCTTCTTTCTTGAGACGTAGGTGATTTTGTACATCGTACAGGATTTCATTATTCACAGTATTTTATCACAATCGCCTCAAATTTGATGGAGATCGCTGTTGTCCAGTGTGGAGGCGTGGACGCGGGCGTGCGCCCACGTCTTCTCAAGGTTGACTGAGGTGGCAGGTGCCGTTGGTTGCCCATCGGCCTAGAACAGCACGCATCGCGCACGCTACATACCGCAAGTGAAAAACCCGAAGAATTCTAGCGCTAGTACGTCGTAAGTGCAGTGGGGATTTTCATTCGACCGAAACCACTTCGCGCCCTGTTAGTCGCCGAGCTACAGCATTATAGGTTTCAAGGGTGTGTGTACACACATTAGTATCCTCAACGGCTCTACGTAACGTGTAATTAAAATCCATAACAAATTATGATACCAAATAGCGGCAGTATTAGTGTGGTTTAAATATATATTTTGTAAATATAAAGAATATTTGTAAACTTTAATATTGTTTACATGATATTGCACATGATAGATTGATTAAAAATTGAAAATAAACTGAAAAAAATTCGGTAGGTATATAGACTCGGTAGCTCAATTGGTCAGAGCAACAGCACGGAACGTTGACGATGCCGGTTCAAGTCTTGCCCGAGTCGAACATTTTTCATTTTATTTTCGATTGTTAATCAATATAAAGATACCTTTAATTTCCAAGTTGTACCTGATAACAGAGAGGCTCTAAGCCCATATTGTGTCTATCATGATGGCTTACTAGTACGAGATATTTAAACTGTTTTTTTTTAATAACGAATTTTAAGATTGTTACGCAATAAATAAGTTTGAAATACCTACATTTTTATTTCTGTGTACCTTCCCTCGATGTAGATATCGTGATATTTTAAAATTAAAAGTATTCAGGTATGTGGGGTAATTAATGAAAACAAAATTGGTTAAAATCAAAATTCAGAAACAAGTGCTCAATTAATTGAAATTCTTACATGTTTGCAATCTATTCGCATGTGATAAATTTGTGCATATTTTTGTCATATGGAGTGAATCCAAGTTTAAGTAAATTTCTATCCTGCTAAAGTTTATCTCCATTAATCTCACATCATTCAAATTTTGCTTATAACTTGGACAAAGATTCCCTTAACTAGGTAGGTATGTAAAATAAAACATACATTAAAAATAGGAAGCTCTTTAATATGGCACTACCTTACAGTACCTACATTGAACTCATAAGTATTACATACAATAAAAGGATATGCAAGAATAACCAACTGTCTCAGGCGTACAAATTTGCATCAAATACTCCAATGAGAAAAAATATGACCACAGCTGGAATAGTTACTAAAACACACTAATTAAATCTCGTGTTTTCAGCAGTTAAAAGGGTAAAGTTTAAGTAATGACAGTATGTATATATTTCAACATCATGGCACATATTTGTTCTAAATAATACAATTTTAATCGCCGTTTCGTTTTGTGTGGATGAACATCAAGTCAACAATAATAAACAACCAGATAATCTCATGGTTAGGTCGGGCAAAATCTCTGTACTTAACTGAAAACTACATACAACTAAACTAAATTAAAATATTAAGTCTATTAATAAAAAAAAATGTAAATTCTTATCAAGCAAAAAAAGAGAGCAATTTCAGAGTATTTTGAGTTCATTAAATGCAATATATCTATTATTAAAGTGGTAACAAGCTCTGTTCAAAATGTGGCAAGAATGTTATACATTTTAATAAAATTATTCGAGAGATTCAACTCTAGGGAATTAAATGGAATGTGTTTAGCAGTACAAGATACTACAGCGCAACAGCACAGCATGGTGACAAGTAGGGCACCATGCGCACCACTTTTTTATCCTATGTTACACCTAATATTGTAGATTTCACACAAAATGTAAATTCCTTGTATCACAAACTATACGTATATATACTCTATGTCTCTATATGCATATATAATAATGTATAATAGTTGAGTATCTAAACATTAGGATATGGCAACTTAACAACAACTCTTATTGTCTAGTGGAATTCATTATCTTTTCACCTAGTAGCGAGCAACTCATTGACAGAGCTCCATACTTCCCCATCTCATTATTTACCAAACTTGTACAACATTAGCAATCATATTGCAGATTAGTTTTGTCAATCTTTACACTGGCGTATATAGAAATCTTAATAATAACAATAGTTAGTAGTATTTGTTGATCACAAAATGAAAATTGTGGCATCCATCATTAATTTAACATGTCATATCTATATTATATTGTGGAACATACTTTTACTTGAGAAACAACATTATTACTGCTAAATCTAGTGCGGGACGGTTATTTCAACTGGTGTGCAAGTTTCACAGTAACAAGCGGCCCTATCTATTGATATGTGTACACTAATATTTAAGATCAGTGTGAGTCTGTAATAAGTGAGATTCTACTAGAAGTAACACGCTTGAACGTTTTTAAATGTAACATTTTGCCAAATTTTTAGATATATATGGGCCAATAAGGCTTTGTGTAATTACGGTGCCGCTACGTTTGAAGCCAGTGAAACATAAGACTGTGGACCGTCGGATAGTCTAACTCCGTGTTAGGAGAATTGAGGAACTCTTTCAAATTGAGCGATACATTAGCGGGCAAAGCGTGTTCTGCTACAGATTGTGCAGAGTTGTCGTCTGAAGCACAGTCGGAGGATGCATGTTCTCGCCACTTATCTTCATAGTTAAGATCACAAAGCGTAGGTGGCTCATCACCATCACTAGTCTCTTCGTCGACAGATAAAGTGCGAGACTTACTTCTTGCTGATGCGGAATCGTTTTCAGTGCTGTCGCGGCTATTATCGTTTTGTCGCCGGGCATTCTTCAAGGCACGATATCGACGCGATCTCTCCCTCTGAAGTCGTCTCTTCCTCTCATCAGCCCGCTCTAACTCCTCAGGCGTCTTCTTTGTGGCATTCTTACCAAAGAAATACCTCATAAACGATTCGTCGCAGTTACGTTTCGATAGGTAGCTCGCCATTAATTTGTAGTAATATTGATTGTCCATGATTTTAAAAGGACAAAATAGCCCAATAATTTTATGTTAAGAGCACCAATTATTATAAAGATTTAAGATTTCTGGAAATTGCGAAATAAAAATAACGAGAACGCGACGTCGCTGACGTGACGTCATTGACATATGACATTTTTTCCCTTTCACAAAATCACAGACTAAAATTTTGTAAATAATTACAGTCCTCTTTGCCGGGATTCAGTATCGATTTATACGTCTGTGGTTTCCAATATTATTAATGAGTGAAAATAAATCTATCTATTAATTTATTAAAAGCTACCTAGTAGAAACTCTTCCAACTGTATTTTTACAGTTTGTATGTTTTACTTTACGTATTTAATACAGTATAAAATTACTAAGGACTGTTCTGATATATGCATAATAAAAATAATAAACTTGTATAGTTCTAAATGTGTATTTTGTAAGTATCAAAAAACTGCAATCTCGGTCCTTTTTACCGCAGAAAGTCCATCGTCCCAAGTGAGCATTGTGTTGAAGGACAGGTAGAGAGCCACAGCCGACAGCATATGCCAGAGGTCATGCGAGTCATAGAACTCTATTACCTGTAGAATAAAAAACAAACTACCTTCACGAAATTTTAGTTATAATAAACAATTCACACTGTCTTCAGCTTCACACATCTTTTTAAGTCACATATATTTGAAACAGAATATGATCGTGACTTTGAAGCTAATCTCAAATTATTGAAATGTCTATAACTTAATTTTCTTGTTCTATAAAGAAAATATATACTCACTTTGCACTCATGGTTCTTATGCCTAGATGCGGCCGGCGTAGTAGACCAGTCAGTGCTACCAGATATGAAAAAGTAAAGGGCTGGAACCCACGTAACCGCTGCGCCCACCAAGAACGCCCAAGCGTACCAACGCACGCGTTCGCCCTGTACCACTTTCATGGCTAGGTAGAACACCATGTACATGAGAGTGTTACCAAGTAGCACCTGGAGAATATGCGAGGCAAAATCGCTTCCTTGGCTCACTAGCCTGTAGGAGTTTAATGTACTTGCATTAATGCAAATATCGAAAAATAAAAGGATTCATGAATGATTATTGTTGTTATCTGTGCATTATGCTTCTTACTATACTTATCATCCAATAGCTTGTAAATAATGAAGAAAATTAAAAAGCTATTTGGAGTGAAAAACATTTACGACACGGGCAGGAATTGGGACGGGATCTACAGTGTTTTCGAAAGAAGAAAATTCCCAAGTCATATTACATACTAGCTTTTACCCACGAGTTCGTGGGAGTCCCGCGACTTAAAAGATATACGTATACTATTGCAGACATTTTTTTCGACCACTTAAAGAAGAATTATTCTTTGATACATAGTTTTTTTTGTTTATTACCGTTTTCGCAGCGCAGACAATGGAAGCCCTCAAAGATGAATAATTTTCCACGTTTCTTCCACATTTTTCCATATTTCTTCGCCCCTATTATTCGCAGTCTAATGTTTTATATTTATAGCCTAAAGCCTTTCTCGATAAATGTTCCACCTAACTCAAAAATAAGTCTTCAAATCGAACCAGTAATTCCTGAGAATACCGCGTTCAAACAAACAAACTCTTCAGATTTAATCAGTCTTACCCATATATCGCGAAAAGCCAGTTTATCGCATTAGCAATGACTAGAATGACGAGACGAGCGCCATACAGTGGACGAAGGTCGCGCCTCACCTCGCTAGCTGCCGCCGCCAAAGCCTCCTTCTCTGTTGCAAAACGTTCAAGTTCAACATTTTTAATCTCCTACTAGTAGCTACGACTTCGTCCGAATAGAATAGTTATTTTGGGCATCAAAATTTGTTTTTGCAAACCTTCTGTTCAACTCTATAAATTTGAGCGGTTACCCACGACGTCGGTCGCGTCCCGTCGTATTTGCTAGTTAACCTTATAAGAAATATATTGTCGCCACCTTTTATTTAGATCATTTAAAAAGGAAGCATTCTTTTATACATATTTTGGGTATTTTGATCCGTGCGTCCCCCCCCCCCCCCGGGAAAACCCCCCGGGGGGAAAAATTTTTCCCCTTTTTTCCCCCCTGTCCCAAATTTTTTCGCGAAAGAAAGCGATCAAGAGGCAAAACTGGCGCTCTTTAGTTTCGCAGGCCAAGACTCACTTTGGGTCGCTGCGCCAGCGGCGTAAGTAAGTATTAGTTGCAGCGTGATGTTTCCTTAAGCCTTTCTCGATGAATGGTGTAACTAACACAAAAATAAATTATCAAATCAAACCAATCAATATAGTTCGTGAGATTAGCGCGTTCAAACAAATGAAAAACTTTTCAGCTGTATATATTAGCTGTATCTTCTAAGTTGGCCAAACAGGTGTCGGTAGATGATAAATGTGTCAAAATGCATAAAATAAATGAAATACCAACCAAAACGCAACTGCCCGAGGTAGTAAATCCGAAGCGAAAGTAGAAGGAATGTAAATACGTGTATTACTGTAAAAATGCCCCAGAAAAGTGGTCCGCCGCCTAGTACGCCCCACACCACTGAAAACAAAAACTAGTATTAAGTACTGTCTGTAGTTTACCGGTAAAACACTTTAAAGGTTTAAATCGCTATACATATTAGATAAGCTTGTTTGAAAATTATTTTAACTACGGCCCGACGTTTTGGATGCTTTGCAGCAGCCGTGGTCACGGGGAGACAGTCTCCGTTTTATTTATAACTAGTTTTATAAAGATTTCTTAAAACTGTGTCAGATTAGTATATAGAAATATTAGTATGTTTTTTTTTAAATTAATACCATAAACAAAACAAAAATAATAGACGTAGAAACGTATTTTTATTCATTTAAACAGAAATAATTTTATATTTTGCACATTGCTGTGCTGAGTTTGAGCGAAGAGACTTAAAAAACTTAACAGTAAAAAGTGTTATTTGTAGGTATACAATTGGTACTTAAAATAATCCTGTTAAACAGTTTTAAACGCGAAATATTTAAGTTTTCTAAGTACCTGACTTTTATCAATAAGTCTCCACTAAGGCGAATCTTACCAAAGGCTATAATGACAGCGAGAACGCCGAATGTCGCGTGCGCTCGCGCATTCACGTCCGGATGCCTAGCTTGGTAGATCTTCACCATACTCAGTACTGCTAGCACGTACATGAAAGCTGTATCTGTTACACAAAGTATTTGAGAGTTATAAACAATGTTTAAACGACGTTTCTATACTAAAGTGGAATATATACTGATATGAATAATCCTCCGACTTAGCGAGAACGACACAACACTAGGCCGACGCGATTAGTGCGCGAGTCCCCGCACTAGCGCAGCAACAGTCTAATACGATCGCTTGCGCGCATTTTGTCGGCTAAGCCTAATTTTGGATAATAAATGTATATTTTCGAATTAAACATTGTGTTTTCGTCTTATTACAGATAACACGGTTGCATTGAAAATTAGTATTTCACATGCAGAGACTGCTCTAGTTACTGGCTGCATAAGTAAACTTTAGGGCAAGTATTCATTGAAAATCTTTATATTATGTTCGTCTTATTTTAAGCAATGCAGCATGTTATATCTCAGATATCTTTATTATAGAGAAGAATAGACAGATTATAGTATATTATAGATTAAGTAGTCCTTGTATGCCGAATATAGTAAATAAAATCTAATATCAAACTATATAGCATGGTATATAGATGTTATATGGGTGGATTTTTTCACCTTTCAACAAGTAAACCCTAGACTTGGCTACCTCTGACGTAAAAGAAAAGAATAAAGTATACTAACCGAATTGGAAGTTAAGTCTATTAGGGCATACGTGGTAGCTGGCAGAGAGAAGAGCCACTACCATCATACCAGCACCCAAAGCTGACAGTAGCCCATAATGTGCTGGGATACCATATTCCTGAAACACATTTCAGTAATTCATCAGTGGTTTTTAAACAACGGCTTATTATTGCGATAAGTTGAATGGTTCTCTTCGTGTTTGTTTAATGATGAAATGTATTTGCCTAACAACCAAGGGTTTTATTCTCAACAAGGTCAGGATATCAGTAACCTCTGGTCAAACTCATATTGAATATTGATATTCAAATACCATTACAGTAATAAAACTAAACTGCTCTACAGATAATTAATATTATAAATTATCTATAGAACTGGCATTTTTTTTAAAGGTTGTGGAGTTCCCAGCGTACCTCATCTCGTGGTTGACGGCGCCTGCGCGCGCGCCGTCGCCGCACTTGCAACATGAAGAGTGCTCCCAATAACAAATATCCCAGGTTGGAGAAGACATGGTTAAAGTCGCTCAGTGCACCAGCCGGATGGGCACACAAGAAGTTGTAGTAGCAAATATCTAAAGACCCAGACACATTCATCACCTGTAATATAATACAATAATTATATCTATTCCTTGGCTTTGGCGATTTGATAATGCTACTTAGATTTACTAACTGTAGATGATGAGCTCTTAAATATGCCATCCAACAAGAATAAAAAGCAAAGTAATTTGATCAAATACCTAAATGTAGTGTTAAAATAAATAAAATATAAGTTTTATTAATATAATAGAGGTTTTAAACGGTTAAAAATGTTTTATTCAAATATAGAATATGAACTATCAAGCTACTTGAAGAGCTATAGTAAATTGTATTATTTAAATGTTTACTACTCGCGTTAACTACAGACAGTACTTAGTTCGTTCATATATGTATAATGACTTTCATGTAACTGACGTTAAACATTTTTAATAGATTAAAACACGACGTGTATCAGTAAATTAATTTTCAAGTATTTCTGACGTTTGTATTACAGCAGTCGTAGTGGGTTAAAAAATTAACTGCGCATTGATCCATTAAAGGTTAGGAAAATTAATATTAAATATTAGCAGATTGATAGATGTTATTAGGCGACTGTTTTAGGATAGAAAAACGTCATTACAGTAAAAATAAATCAAATATACGTTTTACTAAAACATTTATCGACTTACCACTTGAAAAGCTATAACAAATTGTATGACAGGCAACGCGTAGAACACAGCAACTGTATACAACATGTAAAGATATCGGTCGGAGCGAGCTCTTAGGGTCCGGTCGCGTCGTTTTGCCAGCGCCGCCAGACGGAGACGCGCTGGTAATCCGAAGGGGCCCTGCGATACAACATTGAAAAGAAAAATATATTAGGCATAGTACATTCAGCAGTATAGCGAATACCGAATATTCGGCCAAAATAAGTCGACATTTTGTTTAGATGCTATAGGTATATTAAATACTGTCTATAGTTAACGCGAGTAGTACACATTTAAATAAAACACTTTAACGGTTTAAAACGCGATATATTAGTTAAACTTATTTAAAAATCTGTTTATCTGTTTATATAATCTGATGTTTAAGTTCTGCCAGTTTCGCCAAATACCAACTTCGACGGAACAGATGGCGCTAGCGTAGCAATTTTTTACTTGGACGTCAGAGCATCCGAAACGTCGGGCCGCGAAGTTAATAATCATTTTTAAATAAGTGTAACTAATATATCGCGTTTTAAACCGTTAAAGTGTTTTATTTAAATGCTATAGGTATTTCACACAGCATCAAATGCAGCCTATGCTTGACTGTCCTCTATCGTCCTCTATCAATAAAAAAATGTACCTGTACTTGATCACTAGTTATTTGGTTTGGATCTTGTGGTGATGCACCGTTAGTTTGGTGTATGTTCATCGGCCCTTGGTTGTTTCGGGGTTCCGTATTAGATACATTAGTCGTTTCTTCATCTTCTGAGTCGCTGTCGTCGTTTCTGTCATATGTGTCAGCTGGAAAATCACAATTTAGATTTTAATATAACTTACATTATCTTATACTATTTAACACGTCACCTAGGCAGTAGTTAAACGTCTAGTAATTGTCTAGCCAGTGCCTTAAGTGAAAGACACTGGCTTTGGATTCCAGGGAAGTTTCAGTCGGGCACGGCACAAAATAAATCAAAAAGATCAGATATGTACTTTGTGTTAATAAAATCGAGCAGTGAAAAGGTCAAAGATAAATTATAAAATAATAACTTTAGAAGTTAGGCCGGAGTCAAAAAATTGTTTCTTATCCTTTCCGCAATGTACTTAGTCTTATTAAAGACTTATCATCTTTGGATATTTTCTTACAAAAAAGCAAAAGAACGAAGAGACGAGGGAAAAATATTATACATTTTATGAACATAGATGCTGACACTGAAACTCAATGGAAAGTAACAACACGATAACCCGATAGTCGTGGATTTGAGTTCCGCTCATCATGTTATCAACTTTTCTTAAATACTTTTTAGTAATTGTAAAAAATATAAATTAAATAATTGTTAATTGTAATTAAGTATTAATATAAATTATTACTTGAGAGACGACGCGTTCCTTGTGTGGTGGTAGAAAAATTATTTGCCGCACCACTATTACCTTCTTCCGCACCTGAAATGTTCAATGAAAAAGCTCTCTATAGAAGTTAATTATAGTTTATATTGTATTACGTTATAGTTAATTTAGTCGTCATATTTAGTAAGTATTTACTAATTTTTAAATTATTATATTATTTTTCATTATTAACGCGTACTACGCACTATATTGCTATGTAATTGTTAGTTTGTGTGTTTAATGTATCGTATTATATTATTGCTGTAATTCTGAAGAACTATTCAAATTCGATTTGAAAAATATATTTACAATTAATATTGTAATATTGTTATTGTTATTAATTAAAATATATCTTAAATACTGTCTATAGTTTACGCGAGTAGTAAACATTTAAATAAAACACTGTGAACGGTTTAAAACGCGATATATTAGTTAAACTTATTTGAAAATTATTTTTAACTTCGGCCCGACGTTTCGGATGCTTTGCAGCAGCCGTGGTCACGGGGAGGTCTCCCCTCTTTAAAGTGTTTTATTTAAAAATTTATCTTATTTTTATAATACGAATACATATAAGATATATTTTATTTAACATTTTATTTCATGTTACACTCAGTTTCCGATTTGCAGGTAAAGTGACAGACGGCTTAGCAGTTATCAATAATCGTTACTCATTTATGTGTCTGTAGCTATAAACACATAGTTTATGGCTCATTCGAAAAAGTGTCCTTACGCCTAAGCGACTCGGGCGATATTAATGAAATTTTGCAAACATACTCCGGAACCTTACAAGTATTTTTTTTTTCACTAGGAAAATGTAATTAGTCATATGTCTAAACATGGTAAACATAAACCTTATACACATATTTTTGTATCTTACCAGCATCGCCAGTCGGAGTCTGCGCAAGCACCGCTTTGGGAGCAACGTAGCGAGCGAAACGGGGCCAACGCTGCGCCACCACCAGAACACCAAACACCACGTAGAACCCCAAGAAGAGAGCCAGGGTTGATATTGCAGCTATGACGTACTGGGTTCTGCTGATTGCGCCCTGTCAAAGAAATTAATATAGATCCACATTGATCAGTTGTCAATACTCACTATTTCCCCCTGGGGGCATTGAAAACCGGCGCTTCACCGCTACCCTTAGGTTTGATAGACAAGATGAGTTATTCCTATTATATTAGCACTCTCCTTTGTATAAAGTTATTAAAAAATTAATATGAAATTGTTTGCTTGCGAATTATATGAGCATGTGTGCAAAAAAATGTATGTATAAATACTTATGAGTGGGTAAATACCAAAAAACTATAGGTGTTAAGTCGACCGCTTGTGTACCTAAATGGTCCTGAGAGGTCTGGGTTCAAATCTCGGGGAAAGAATAGAATGATTAGGTCGGGCAGGACACAAAGGTCTGATCAACTACATAGCAAATTAAAGCGATCAGTGACACAGACACAGACATGTGATCGCCCCATACCCCACTGTGGGAAACGGAATTTCACCACTACCACCAAGAACACGTCGTAAGCAGGCCCGACTCGTGCTAAGCCAGTTTGTTTCAGGTTTTTAAGCACTAAGTCTTACCTCCACAAATACCCTGAACTCCTTGCGTCGAACTGGAGTGTTTATTTTGGCTGGTGTCTCAGCTGGATAGCTTTCAGCAAGAGACAAAGATGCCTCCCAAAGCATTTCGGCTGGTGGGGGCGCTTTAGTACCGATACATTCCTCATCAGATGGACTCACTACCAGGACTATGTAAAACCCACTTGGGTATTGCTGACGCTGTAATGATAATTAAAAAAAAACATTTAAATAAAACACTTTAACGGTTTAAAACACGATATATTAGTTAAACTTATTGAAAATTATTTTTAACTTAGGCCGTTTAACCGTTAAAGTGTTTTATTTAAATGTGTAATACTCGCGTAAACAATAGCCAGTATTTAAAACAAAATATTTTTAACGGGTATAATCGCGAAGTATATTAGTTTTTTTATGATAGAGATACGAAATACCCCAGCCATATAACATCTCTTTACATGCGCTATCGACCTATTTTGGCTTTGGATATTCGGAAATCCATAGACGGAACCGAAACGCAATTAAACTTGACAGCTTTTTCATCTGTGGACCATTCGTGGCTCGGACGACATTTCGATATTTCTGACATCCCATTTAATATTCAGATTTCCAGATGTTTTAGAAAAACTACAAATTGTTTAAGATCGATACTGTCTGTTAAAATAATTACCGCGATAGACATGGCACCGGACCGCATCATTGTCAAACGTGGTTCCGTAGATATTTCCGTGGCTTCAATTGTTTGCGCGATTGGGCACTGCAAAGAAAAATATATCTATTATATAACATTGTTCATAGTATAATTTTTGAAAACGGCTAAACCGATTTTAATTAAATTTTTTATATATGTACATGCGTTGTACGCGAGAATAGGTTTTTATCTATTTTCAATATACGTCAACGATACCAGATTTACCTGCATTCTTCCACTTTTAAAATAAGTTTGCCTGGATCAGCTAGAGTAATGAATACACGAATAATACTAATGTGATTATCTTATTAAGAAATAAAATAAGTTTTCATTTAAGAGAATATGAGGCATAACATAGGGACTCAGGCCTCTACAACATGACTTCGATATTAGTGAAGTTGTTATCTACTTATGCCTCTGTAATCCTATATTTTTAAACTTCGTTATTGACAGAGAAACTTTAGTTCTTGTCCTAATGAAATCGAAGGATTAAAAGAGATATTTACCGTATAGTTCTGGACGGATAGGGTGGCGCACAATTCACTATTAGACGACACTATGAGCCTCACTCTAGTTTCGTCTGGTCCGAATTTGTAGTGTAGGACTCGGGGTGCAAACTGAAAATGATTAAAGATTTTATTAGATCTCTCGAAGCAATTGTCCTTTTTTACTTCGGTTATAGGAAACCGTAGTGTGAGCCGGGGAACCACGTATAACACCCCCGTTCGTTCGTTGTTTTCACATTCCATTTTCGATGAGACAAACAAGACTCTTAAATTATATATATTTATTAGATTTAAAGGTATTCACCTGAGTCGCAGTGACAGTAGTGGGACCTTCTAGTCTCCAAACGGGGGGTAAAGACACACGCACGCTGACCATAACACTGCCAGAGTTAAAAGTCGACATGTGAAGTGAATACCAGCTGCGACGGTCGCCCACTGAAATTGTTAAAGTAATATTGCAATAAAAAGTTTCAAATTGCCTCGTAGCAGCCGTGACCGCTGACCAAGCCGAAACATCGGGTCGTGATGAAATTAAATGCAACGTCAAGCCGGAACCTCAACTCATATATTTTACATACCATTAAAAGTGCTTTATTTCAATCAATATTTAAGTAAAACAATCCCAAAAGTATCCCGTTTTAAACACAAATGTTTATTTTAGTTACACTTGTTTTAAAATTATTTTTAACTACGGCCCGACGTTTCGGCTGCCGTGCAGGTAGATATACACCAATGTTTACTACTGGCGTAAACTACATACAGTATTTAAAACAATAGTATAGCTATTACGTTATTTTAATTCATACACATTATGCAAGCTGAGGAACAAAACGGGAAAACATGTAATGTCATCTATTTAGAAAATACAATTTGAACCTGGTAATAAAAGCACTACCATATTTTAGCTGAACATTTTTTATGAATTTAAAAAACCTGGTATCGGACTTACCGGGTGGTTCTTCTGTCCATGCTGCAGAGTCGTCAGGACATAAAGTTCTCTCCAGCTCGAACAGCTTGCGTCGGTTTACTTCGTAGGGTAGTTGCCATGTCTCCGCACCTATATAAAGAAGTTATAAATACCCAGGTTATATTTAAATGACGTATTGTGTATGGTACAAGTTCATTCAAAAAAAACTTCCTTTCCTATTTATTTATCAGATTTCTAATATACATTAAAATAAGTCGATATACTTTGTTTCTTTGAAAGCTGTACGTATAAAATGATGCACTGAGATTAGTTACACCACCATAAAATTTTTTGGGAGGGTAGTTTTTTAGACCTCCTTCTACGTGACTACCTGTATTTAGTGAGGGCTTATCCTTTACCTTCCCGTGATATATTCTAACATAAAAAATCCACTTACCAGCACGTTGCCTCGTAGTAACGAGAACCGGTTGAGAAACATCACCCCCCCTCGCTACGCACCCATACCAGACGCGGCATATCAGCCCCAATTTCGGCTGACTACAAATATGAATCATAATTATTTATGGACTATCAATATCGATTGATATTTATTTATGATGGAGAAGGATAGGCCAGCACGGAAATATCTCAGCTCTAAGCCATCTAAGACGATGCGCTGTCGTCCTATTTTGGCGTTGGATAATTCGACAGACTGAAACCGAATTATACTTTACGGATTTTCGTGATCCGGACGGAATTTCGATATTCCTACCGCCTGTGTAATATCCAGATAACCAGGTCCAACACGTCTCAGAAAAGTTATAAATTGATTAGAACCATGTAGGACAGATCAAATCCACGCCCCGTTTATTAGACAAACCTGAGGACCAATAGACCACAAAGATCGTCAAAATACTTACCGTCGTAAAATCGACTATGTACTCCACTGTGCTGTTAAGTTCCAGACTGTATACTTCATCGTAAGAGAGACTACAAAAAGCAAACAAAATGTATATATATACAGGGTGTACTAGATAAGTCGAAATAGATTGTTTAATGGGAGTAGGAAGATCCTTTCCCAAAAATAAGTTTTTTTTAAAAAAAAAAAAAATTGTATAGCAGGACTACTATTGCTTGCAGCTGGCTTAAAAAATACCGATCGAATATTGCAATTTCTTCTTAATGCTTAATATATTAAAGTAAGGCAGTTTTACAGCTAAGGTCAACACCAATTGTGTTTTAGTGTACTTTTGTATTAATTAAAAATCGATTATAAATTGAAAAATGTTACGACTCGGGCGAGACTTGAGCTGGCATCCCAGGCGTTCCGTGCTGTTGCTCTAAGGACGTTACCCGTCGTCGAGGGCAACCTATTGAAACACACATGACTCGCGAAATGTATTTATGTATAGTTAAAAATTTTTGAGTTTAAATAGAGTAGAGAAGAGATATTTTGCTAATATTATTTTAAAACATCCCTACTCGCATGTAATTATTGTCCATAATTGTGTTTACGCTTAGAAAGACCATTTTTTTTTTAAAAATTAAGTACCATGTTTGTCGTTTAAACTATATTAAGCCAAAAAAGTGACTCTAAACAAAAAACTAATGATAATTTAATTAAAACACTTTAACTTCATTATTTTTTTCAAATTAGTTTAACATATTGAAAAATTATTATTAACTTCGACCCGAAAGGGCAAAACGACGAATGATGCTTAGGTATTAATTATATTTTTTCATAACTTGTAAGGCTTTCATAAAATGTGAAAAGTATTCACATATAGGTCGGTGACAGGTTCTGTGTGTACTAACATTATAATATATATATATTACTCGAATCCTTATGTATGCGACTTCGAGTTATGTATGTGATGTTTATCATTTTATCTAACAAAATTCGGTTACAATTTTTAAGCTGACAAATGTTTCGCACTAAAACTTATCCCCGGTTTACGGAGTCCTTGACCCAACAAACTTAATGATAACGAAAACATTAGGCATAAAATTAATGTTGCAATCCAATGGGTTGTTTGATGCATACTATTGTTTTGAACAAACATAATCTTGTAAATATAAGAAACGTAGTAAATATATAATTTTATACAAGCATAGAATACAATAATAACTGCGAGATTGCTGTTGACCCAAATAATATAGTAAATGTACAGACTATGAATCGAATCCGAAACAAAAACATTTAGTTATAATTTCTGTCTTTTAAATTAAAATAAATGTTGACCAAGAGATTAAAATTCTAGGAAATGTTTAAAACCTACTAATTTTAAACACAAAATATATTAACTTTTTTTTTCGGATTATACACAACATAGTAAAACATTATCGCACGTATTGATATCTTCACAATTATATTGGTGTGATAGGAACTATATGTTTTATATAAAATCTTTAAGTAATATGCAAGTTTACTGAAGGCGGGGTGCGTCTTCACGTGTAGTAATTAGTAGCGTACTCACTTTAGTTGTACGACAGTGACCGTCTGCGCGTGCGCAAGTCCACTCAAAAACAACAAAACCGAACACACGTGAATCACACACATCGCTATATTCACTAGAATTCACCTCATCTTAGAAAGAACTTGTTAAATATGGAAAAAATTAAGAATTCGTTATGAACGCATGTCGATTAGCAAAAATACTGAGTGATTACAGTGACACAAATCAAATGACTCGCGCTCTACGAACAACTGCGAATATATTATTCGTGATAGCGCTTTCCGATTATGGTTATCTGGCTGGACACTTATCAGATACCTAGATTCGGGCAATCGATCGGTTATCATTCATATCTGTTCAAGTATTAGGTCAACAAAATACCTTACGTGTACCATCACAGGAAAATGAATCATATTGGACTAAGAAACCGGAAACTATAATATGAGCAAATAGTTATAGATATTATTTATAAACACATACAATTATGATATAACTATAAACACATATACAACATGTTATCCGTCCAGATAATATCGTTCGTTGGCATTACAAGTTATTTATATAGAAGCTGTTATACAAAGTTTTAAAGATTTTCTTTGCACTTTTTACACACGACAGACAACTATGGAGTTGTCCTATCCGACCTATTTAGGCTTTGGATTTTCGGTAACGATTTGTGTATTATTCGTAGAAGTCTCTCTTCCAAAAAGTCAATAAATTAAATAAATGACAATGCGAATTATGTCCTTAATTAAGTTTTACAATCAAAATATAATTGTGAGCATACAGTTTAACTTTATTTTAAGTTATAATTGCTATTTTTTTTTTTAGTCTCCCTTCTGGTGTGATTATCATGCATATCTACTTGCGATTCAACGAGACAACTTTTTATCGATAAAACCACATTTTTAAATACTTTGTGACAGTAAAAAAATTGTATTCTAAGTAACAAACGATAGTTGTAGACAGTCAGAAACAATAAAAGGAGGATCAAATAAGAAAATAATTTATTGAGTGTAACTCATCATACATTAACAATAAAATTAATTAACTATAAACATAATAGTCTACGCAGCGCGGACTGTGCTTAGCCTGTTTTTTTCTTAACGGTGTTAGTTGAATTCATTAAATTGTAATACTTTTTATGTGCTAAACATACAAGAGAGGTCTACGTTGGCTTTTAAGTGGGGGTTGAAAAATTAACAAGATTGTGACTAAATACTGTCTATAGTTTACGCGAGTAGTACACATTTAAATAAAACACTTTAACGGTTTAAAACGCGATATATTCATATCGCGTAGACAGTATTTAAATAATATATTTACATATGCTTTATACATAGATTTAGTTAAAAAAAAGTTTCATTAATAAAGTGCGCACAGTCCGCGCGGCGCGTACGAGGTAGAGGTCCCTTGTGCGTGACAACAGATACGTACCGAACTTTGTTGTTACTTTTTCACACCGGGCAATATTCTATTCGTTATACAGTATACTTAAAGCAAATGAACAAATTTTCACCACAACTGGTGGGTGGGACTCAAAATTCCAATGGAACCATGTCAATACTTCGTGCTCTCTAAAGGTCAATACTAGGAGAGGGTCCCAATTCTGCTATTATTCACACTATAGACACCAGTGATTTTTTTCATCATGACAAACATGGGATTCATTTTTTTTTGGATTGATTTGGATATTTGTAATCCACAGACTGCAACCTAAACGCGATTAAACTTCACGGTTCTTTCATCTGTAGAAGATGGTTCATCATATGGATAGAATTTCCCATATTCCCACCACTCATTTAACATCCACATTTCCGTACGACGTCCAAGATGTTTCAGAAAAAATATAACTTGATTAGCAACATGTTAAACCTGGTGGGGATGGAAGCCAAGACCTGTTGAATATTAGTCATTGCTACTCTTAGAATTGTGAGAGTATCTTTCGTCACTGGAATGTCACTGGTTTGTGGAATAGCAGACTGGGGATTCATATTCTTTAACGGAGAGCAACCGCAGAAGAGAAGAGTTAGCGGCGAGAATATCTCAACCCCAGCTCGTCGACCACTGCTTCTATCGCTTCGAGGCACTCATCCAGTTGTTCACGAGTATGGGCGGCGGATAGGCAGAACCTGGAAGATGTAATAAATTAATTAAAAAAACTATTATAAATTGGAAAAGAAATTACGAGACGAACAGGACCACAGCGTTCCGTGCTGTTGCTCAAACCAATTGAGCTACCACCTTACCACAATCTCCACCTCTCGCCCCATGTAATTTCAACTTAAGAAACCATTGTAGATGGAATTGCGTTACATAGTGCGTAAGTGGATGTGTCAATGGGTGTCTGCGATGACGATTGTGACACGGTAGCTCAATTGATTAGAGCAGTAGCACAAAACGCGGTAGATGTCAGTTCAAGTACCGTCCATTTAATGTTAAAATAACCAGACGATATCCAAAAATATCAGGATAAATTATATATTGAATAGAGACATGTAGGACTTCATGTGGAACCCACAACCTTGTTATACCATTAGCTCCAAATTCTTCGCTTACCTAATCCGCGCCTTATTAAGCGGCGTCGCTGGGAATCCCACGCCCACGGTGGCCACACGCCGCGACTGCAACCGCTCGACGGTAGCGGCCATTTTGCTGAACGTGTAAACGAGCATAGGTACGACGGGCGAGTCTTCGTGTCCGTACGTGATGACGCCGAGCTTGCGCAAGCGCTCACGGAAGTAATGCGTATTTTCGCGTAATCTCGCCACTCGGGCTGCCCCCTTGGGTGAAGCTATAGCGCGCATAGCCGTTAACACTTGCGCGGCTACGGGCGGTGACATAGAGTGCGCGTAGCTATGGCCATGTCCACGCGCTTTCACTGAGTTTATTAGCTGCTTCGTACCTGGAAATATTAAATATAAGACTTTTAACGGTTCTAAACGCGAAATGGTTTATATCGCCGGGTAAGAAATTAACTATGCAATATACTTCTTACGTCTTAACATGTTGTTTTCAAATAATGATCTAAAGATTTTTTTTTAATTTAAGCTTCAACACGTGAAATAAAATAATTAATTTACGAGAACGACGGGATCCGAACGACGGGAGATGGGACGCGACCGATGTCGTGGGCAGCTTAAATTTATAAAGATGTAGAGGTTTGCAAAACAAATGAATTGGATGCCCAAAGTAACTATTCTCCGCTGACGAAGTCGCTGACACAGCTAGTGATATACAATATCACTTAGTTGAGACGCACTATTTAAAATACAACTTTATTGTTTACACAATAAGGTACATGTTCCTTTGCAAGAATTCGCAAGTATCGCCGCGTCGCGTTTCGTCGTGACCTGACACTTAGCCTAAGAATGCACCGAGGAATACAATAAGTTAAATCAACCAGTTTCCTCAAAATAATCAGCACTTAGGGAAAACAATACGTTATAATTTAATATTAATTTATTATTGTCTGTGGTTTACGCGAGTGGTACCCAGCGTTATATTACTATAGTAATTGCGTTACATAACGTAACATACTGTTAGGTGAGCAGTTTATGTACGTCAATCGGTGAGTCCGGTAGAAAACCAATAAATAAAACTTTTGTGACGGTTTAAAACCGCAAAGTATATTATCTAACTTATTTACCCCGTGAACAAAGAATACGGAACTTTGATTCGTAATTGTAAATAAGTGTGATTGTAAATTGTAAATACGTTAACAAATATATTTCACATTTTGAACCGTTAAAAGTTATCTAATATTAGCAGTGCCCACGACTTCGTCCGCGTGGAATAGTGACTTAGGTAGATTCTTAACTATTTAGGCTGTTTATTAATTTATGTAAGGGCGCAATTAAGGCAGCCAATCTATGTTGTAAGTGCTACTTTGTCGCAACATTCACACTCCCACCCCCATTCCTACTCCTATTCCCAAAAAACCAAAGGAGAGAGTTTCATTATTCTAGCTTCATAAACCACGAATTTCCATACAAACTTTCATCCCCTTTTTCAACCCCTTTTTTGGCATTAAAAAGTAGCCTATGTTATTTCTCAGGCTCTAAAATATCTGTGTACCAAATTTCACTTAAATCAGTTCAGTAGTTTCGGAGTTAAAGCCGAACAGATAGACAGACAGACCGAGTTACTTTTGCATTTATAAAATTAGTGTAGATTATTTATTACTAGGGACACCGATTGACGTACGGATCATTTCATATTGCTGAGTATTGTTTCTTTTTCCCATGCTGAGGATTATGTTACGTTATGTAACGCCAATGCTATAGTAATATAACGGTGAATCATAAGTATGTTATCTTGATGGAGAAATGTACTTTTCGAAAGAGTTCTAACAGATAAGCATAAAGATAAGCGTTTCTAATTTCAGTCGTAATACTAACGTCGATAGATAGCATAAGGAGAATGAATAGTTGACTCTTTTTTTTAATAGGATAGGGGTTTAAGAATCCTTCATTGCGGCTAACGACTACCGGTAACCGAATGAATAACGACGAACCAGCACCGACGACTTAACGTACACATCTATACTAATATATAAAACTGAAGAGTTTGTTTGTTTGTTTGAACGCGCTAACATCAGAAACTAGTCGTTCGTATTGAAAAAATCGTTTTGTGTCGGTTAGAGCATTCGAGGAAACCTGTAGGCTATAAAACATCGCCCTTTAACTGATAGGAGGGAAAAAACAGCGGAAAATGTGGGAAAAAAAAACGAGGAATATTATTCAGCCTTGACAGTTTCCGATGCGTTCGCGGCGAAAACGTATCAAGATACCCAATAAATATGTATTACAGGATGATACCGCATATGTCCGATACATCTTTTAAAGTTAACCTGCAAGAACGACTAGACACCCTTAAATTTATAAAGACTAGTCAAAGATAGTATTAAAATAATTTCCCTTACCAGCAATATAACCTCCAGCAGCTCCAAAACTCTTGGTGAACGTGCCCATTAGGATATCCACATCTTTAGGGTCCACTCGCGCATAGTCTGTTACCCCCCGGCCCCTTGGCCCCAATGCCCCCACAGAATGCGCTTCATCTAAGTACAAGTACAATCCATAACGCTTCTTGAGGGCTACCATCGCCTGGAGAGGCACTATAGATCCTTCCATACTGTACACACCTTCGACGACCTGAAATGTTCAAAGACTATTAAAACTTAGTGAGAAGTTTCGTTTGTTGAAAGAGAAACTGTGTTTTTTTATACATTTTTTTTTTAATTTACACTTGTATTTCCTACTTATTAATTTTAAACTCATATTTCAAGTGTCACCAATTTCACAATTACGAAGGCCGAATACTACAATCAAATTAGCACTTTTTATTTTGACGTTACAGACACCCTCCATTTTTACTCGTCCCGTGACTGCGACTACTACAAATAATTAATTAAGTTAAAATAATTTGTAATTAAGTTTAACTAATACATTTCGCGTTATAAACCGTTAAAAGTGTTTATTTAAACTCTCGGAAACTGCAGACCGTATATAAACCCAATTAGCTTTTGAAAACATTAATATTTTTCACATGTTATTGCACATGAAGGCACTATATAATTTAAAAATCGAAAATAAATTGAAAAAATTTTTCGACCTGCCCGAGTCGAAAAATTTTTTCAATTTATTTCCAATTAGCTTTTAACAAATGTTTTGTAACAATAAATAGTTAGTAATCAGATAAAAAAAAGACATCCTACTTGCAACACTGCCTTAAATAATTATGAAATCTCTATAATTGTCTATGAATGAAACTCACTATATTACTAGGTGAATAACTCTAGTTAAAAACAACTCACGATAATTATTCTCTTCCACTTTCCCTCGGCTATCGCGTGCCGAGCCAACTTCTCAAGATGAGCAACGTCGTTGTGGCGGAAGACCCTGACAGTGGCGCGTGCTAGCCGCAGTCCAAGGATCAGCGACGCGTGGTTGTTCTCGTCACTCAGCACCAGCGACCCTTCCGCAATCAGACCGGGCACGCCCATAGAGTTCGTCGCGAAACCCATGCCGAATACTATCGCTGACTGAAACATAGAAAATCTAGTAAATAACGAAACATTTGAATATTTTTTGTAATGAAATATTATTAACTAATATATATCGCGTTTTAAACCGTTGAAGTGTGTTGTTGCGTCAACTACAGACAGTATTGAAATAACGAAACGTTAAACATTACGTAATACGTTTCGGTTATTTGACCTTTGGTGTATGTACAATGTACATACATATTTAAATTACATGTATACACAAATAATTTGAAAGGCTTGTTGGTAATGGTAATGGTAGCAATATGATGGCTGATCTGAAATCTGAATTCGATCCTCTGGACATGTTCTTTAGCAGGTATCACAATTCACAAACCAACGTCCACAGATAAAACCGTAAAGTTTAATCGCATCCATTTCAGTCTGTGGATTTCCGATTATTAAACGATTATGGCCGGAGTATTTCACCTTCTATCAAGTGAGTTTCTTGCCTGTCCTCCTCTATCATAAAAAAACACTATAGTCTATATTAATATTACAATTCTAATCATTTGCTTGTTTGTGCGTACTCTCATGAACTACTGTATACTAATATTTTTGTGTTGGTTAGAGCACTTATCGAGAAAGACTTTAGACTTCGATCACCAATAGGCGCGAAGCAACAGTGGGAAATGTAAAAAAAAGACGCAGAAAATATTCACCTTTCAAAGTTTTCGTTGCGTGCGATGCGAAAACGGTTCAAGGTGCGGTTTAAAGAGTAAACGATATAAAAAATATTTATATTGTTTAATTTAAGAACAAAGGAAACAGCAAAAATTTTAGAGATGATATTTTAAAGATGAGGAGGACGCTTGCAAAAACAAATTTAGATGGCTAAAATAAATATTCTAGATTCTCTAATTATTAATCAAACCGAAGTTTCACCTCCACACCGAGAAAACTGGCCGTAGTCTCCTCCAATTCTCTATGAACTTCGCAAGTACCGAGTTCAGCGCGCGACGAAGCGAGCGCGAGGCCATATTTACGCGACGCCGCCTCAGCTGCGTCCGCGCATTCTCCTTCAGGTTCGGCGAAACCCAGATAATTGTATGACCCAAGATTAATGCACCTGTTTTCTTTACCGGTGAATCTGAAATAAATGATAAAAAAATAATTTCACTGAATACGCAATTGATTTATTGTACCAACCAGAACAGAACAGTTGCCTACCCTCCAAATAAGTTTAGGTTGAATGTAAAACACAAATTGCTTGGTTAAGGGTTATTCTGACGTTAATCAATATTTCAAAGATAAAAATGTTTGGTGTTCTGAGGAACCCATTCTGACAAGAAAAGAAAAGGAATTTGGCGATCAAAGGAGTGGCGGCGAGTTTATTGCCAGTTCTTGTCGTTCGTTCGACGCCCTTCATTTGAGAAGTGTTAAGAGTTTAGTTTTTAACTGGTGGAACGTTCACATAAGACCTTAGTTACCAACGTGAATAAATAACTTTTTAATTTTTGGCACATATAGCCTATTTTAAAAAATGCTCTTGCTTGTCTGTCATGAAAGAAAGAAAAAAAGTTGTGATTGCTATCGTAAACTACAATACAACGGTTTGACAATATTGGTACACTGTACGTCTTTGGCTACTTCCTGTGCAAGAATATTCTAATAAATCTACTTGTAATAAATTTAATACCTAAAGGTCCAGTTATAGTCATCTGTAGCACGCTCTTTAAGTGAGAGCTCGGCGGCGGGCGTTGAAGTCACGGGGAGATTGAAACAGTGGCGCACGCGCCGATACACGTAACGGGAGAAAAACTGCTCAAAAGGATTGTACAAAGGCGCATATCCCTGAAACAAAGACGACAAGGATAATAAGTAAATTGATTATTTAAAATAAAACAATGTAGCAATAATTTTCGCCTTTCGTTTCATAAATATTTAATTATTAAAATAATAATCAACAAAGAAAAAGAATTGTCACAAAATTGCATTAAACAATATAATGAAGCGTAATTCATTCTTTTAAATAATTAATTACTCTAATATTTATTTAAACAAATTCTTTAGTTTTATGACTGATATTACAAAATGACTAAATCACCAACAAATTATGAAACATTAAAAGACGAGATGAGGTGTGTGGAAAAATATATCTACACAATTAATCATTTTGTCAAGTCTGTGCAAATCTGAGTATAATGTATAGTATAAATGAAAAAAAAATGTTTATTTACTCAATTCACTATGACGTATATTTTTATAATATAGCTGATACATTTACGTACAGTATTATCTTAATATTATTTATCATACTCAAAGATACGTAAGGTACGATCTCTCACATAGGATTCAAAGGATTACGATTAGTTTTGGAAAGTTTCCGGCAATATGGACCAGTCTCGCTCAACTCTTCAGCTCACTCCTACTTAACTCTTCCTTTCGGGCCCGAAAAACTACGTCTAAATATAGAATTAAAAGTTTTATATGTCATCTCTAGTTGTAACCATAAACAAAATAATTTTAACGTCGATTATAAATGAAAAAAAGTTACAACACGGGCAGGACGTGAACCGGCACCCCAGCGTTCTGTGCTACTGCTCTAACTAATCGACCGGGGTGTCTAATTTAAAAAAAATATATAATCACTTTTCCATTTATACATATAGGGCTATCATGTGTAGATAAATGAATGTTAAAAAAATATAGTTTTCAAACATTTTCAACGATTTAAAACGCGAAATACATTGTGTTTATATATTTTGCTATTTTCCTATAAGTTTTATAGATTTTTTTATGCTGCTACAAAGAAATACGCGACGTGTCGATAAAATCGATAACAACGAAACCTTGCACTTTGATCAATTTTCGTTTTCAGGAATTCATTATTTTTCATTGTAGAAACAAATTGAATATTTTAACGGCTATTATATAAACATGTTATTTCGAATTGAAACTGTTTAGGAAAACACGTTCAGAACGCCGGTCTTTAAAGAATAATCTGAAAATTATTTGATAAAAATGCTAGACTCGGTGGAAATCCACGACAAATTTTGTATACTTATATATGAAGCTGAAGAGTTTGTTTGAACGTGCTAATCTCAGAAACTATTGGTTCGATTTGAAAGTTTAATTTTGTGCTAGTTAAACATCGCTCTCTGACTAATAGGAACGAAGTAACAGCGGGAAATCTGGAAAACACGGAAGAGTTTTTCATCAAATTAAAAAAAAATCACTAAGGAAGCACACAAATTAGCAATTGCTACGGAATTTAAACAAAATGATTCAGACTATCGTTATCTGAATTATAGATACAGGTTTACGCTAATGGCATTTAGATATTACAATTATTTACAGCATTAATGACATAAATTGATGACGAGTTGGCTCTGATTTGATAGTACATTAAAATCACAAACATATTTTCGGCTACTTTACGTCGATATCTATACTAATATATGAAGCTGAAGAGTTTGTTTGTTTGGACGCGCAATTTCAGGAACTACGGGTTCGTATTGAAAATTTCTTATGTTGGTTAGAGCATCTATCGAGGTAAGCTATAAAACGTCGCCCTGTGACCAATACAAACGAAGATACAACGAGAAATGTGACAAAAAAACGGGGAAGATTATTCATCTCTTTGCAAGTTTCTGGTGCGTACGCTGCGAAAACGGTTTAAATAACACAAAAAATATGTATGAGAGAATGCGACAGCATATATCTATCTCTTAAGATATGACAGTATTCTACGCGGACGAAGTCGCTAACTCAGCTAGTTACATATACAACATTGAGAAATACTGTGTTATATTTTAAGAAAGTACGCAATTACTAAGCAATCTCATATAGAGACACTACATACTCTATATACATACTATATAGAGTATGTAGTGTCTCGTGTTACTCAGGTAACGCGTAACGCGGTAACGCCACTCTGGCTTCCCTTTATTTAAATCCTTCACCTTGGATTGGTTCAAGTTCTGCCTTCCGTAGACAGTTTTTTGTTTGTTTGTACCCGAAGAGTTTTTTATTACCTTCACTGCTATTTTATTTGTGTTATACGATATTTCACTAATCAGTATCACATTTCACAGTAATCACATTTCCAGACGAAGTCCAACATGATTCAAAAGACCGGTGAGGATAGCCTTACATCGCTACCATAGCACCAACGAGCCCGCCCGTTATAGGCCTCTAATAAAAACAATTAAGGAAACAAATATAGCGTATAAGTAACTATTCTAATGACGCACTTGGCCTTGTTGGGAAGTTTTTTATTATCTATGTAATGTAAAGGGTTATGTTGAGATTCAAAACTATTACCTACTATACGTTCCTCGTAGATATCATTGTTCAAAACAATGTGATAACGAGTAGTCAAGCAACACGCGATTTCCTTATCGTTAATATCTGAAATCACAGAACGCTAATCGATATTTCAGTATTACAGTAAGAATAAAAATTTACGTATCAAGCAAAGTGAGAGATATAGTTTCTCTTGTGTTGTGTTTCAATATTTTTATTTACTGTTAAGTACAATCGTTTTTATAAATACAGAGAAGGACACGCAAGCATGTGGCATATACCCCGGCCATATAATAACTAAATAAGATACCGCGTAAACCAAAATTTCGTCCAGGTCACAAGTTAAAAATAATAAAAAAGCTGTAATGTTTAATCGTGTTTCCGTGTCAGTCTGTGGAATTCCTAATATCCAAAACTAAAATAGATCAACAGCACATCTTGTTCTGAGGTTATATGGTTTACCTTCCATCAAGTGATATCCATGATTTTCCTCTTTCACAAAAAATATATTTTTATCGATAGATGTCGTTAGTCGGATGGAATTTCGATATTTAAAATCCAGATTTTTCAGGAAAATTATAAGACTCTTGCGCTGATAAATGCGTTTAACCCTTGAGTCATGGAGTCGGTATATAATGTACTATGTAGTCTCATTTATTTGCGTCATTGTAGATTTGATGATACATTGTTATATATATACAATTTTATTTTTCCTTCCTTAGCTGTTCCCGGACGTCATATATATCTAATAAAAAGGACATGAGTAAAGTATTATGCGTTTAAGGTAAACTACAATTATTAATTGCAATCCACCATTTTGTCTTTTCGAAATTAAAGAAAACTAGATGTTACTTGTCGTATAATGTATACAGGGAATTAAAAATTTACACACATCATCCAATAAGCCCAATAACAATATCACTTTTAACGGTTTAAACCGCAAAATATATTAGTCAACTTATTTTACTTAGACACGATGTTACGTTTGCTGTGCAGCAGCCCTTAGTGTTTTATTTAAATCTGTGCTACTCGCGTAAACTTCGCGGTGCAACTCTATATTATAATAGTCCCTTTTCCCACTTGGGCCGTGGACCTAACTCTATTGTCTACTTTCCATACTCTTTTTCACAATATACTCAAGTTTTATAGATTTTTTTTTATAGACAGACTAGCATGGGGTTCATATGAAATAACTTAGTCCAGGCAAGACTTGAACCTAGGTAGATCAATTAGTAGAGCAACAGCACGGAACGCTGACGATGTGCAAGTCCTGCCCGAGTCGATCTTTTTAAAATGTATTTTCGCTTTGTAAATTAAAGTCCAACATGCGTGCAAAAATAGTTGGCCCGGTGGTGGTGCTACCATTAAAACCCCGTTTTGAATATTATAAAAAGTGAAAACTTATTATTACTTAGACATGTTGCTAAACGACAAGCACGTTCCATTTGCTTTTCGCTAATTGACCCGAAACATTTAGACGTAATTAGACCGTGTTAGGTGCGCGCGCACCGAATTTTCAATGGTGGTTTTACGATCTATGTAAATGAAAATCCTTGGAAAATAATTAGTAATTAGCTATACAATACTTTAAGTAAGTAAGAAAAGTATTATATAATTGTATAACATAGATTTTTCGTTAGTTCTGATGTATAAATAAAACACGATTTATAAACAACTAAATAAAACACGTTAACGGTTTAAAACGCGATACATTTGCTGCAAAGCAAGTTTTCAAAGAAGTTTAAGTAAAATATATCGCGTTTTAAACCGTGAAAATGTTTTATTTAAATGTGTACTATTCGCGTAAACTACAGACAGTATATAAACAAATAGTTAATTTACAATGTCCCGTGACAATATCTGTTAGAATAAAGCATCAAAAAAAATTGGGTTAGCAATATTTTTTTAAATATTTGGCGTTTCAAACCGTTAAAACTAATTTATTTAGTCCTTGTTGACAAGATTGTGCGGCTTCAAACTAGGATTGTCATATGGGATCACTTTAATTCAAATATTATTGTAGGCTTTAACTCCTACATCTCCGAGGTATATTGTCCCGAGAAAGAATGTGGGTCGAGGTATATTAAAGCAACAATGATAATAGCGTATCGTAGATTGCTACAATTTGTTGTCTGTTGGCTTTGTCGGTCAAACTTGCATTTAAATATTTACACTTCAGGCTTCTATTAAAAAGTACTAATGCTACAATTTCAGAGATCACGAAGCGCTTTGTATGTTATATCGGAAATTGATGTACGCAATGCAGTCCGTAAAAGAGCGGACACGCGCACTCAACGCTGCGCCAAATACCATTTCACTTTTCTTTCTATCCGCTGACCGATATCATAAAGATGTACTCAAATGCTAAATAAACTCAATGTATAGTTCTTTAAAGCTCGGCATTAGTTTTATTGCATAAAAAAAGCGATTGTCAATAGTCACGACCCACGAAAAACTTCTCACTCCGTAACCAATTGAGTTTCTGTGTTCGAAAGAGCAACAGCAGCAATATAGGAAAGTCACGGACCATGTCAACGAAATTTTTAGGCTTAATTTTAATAGGTTTAATTTGTATAAGCTATCAATAACACGCCATTATAATTAGACTTAATTTTACCTATAGATTTACGCGTCAAAATAATATGACAGCAAAAAATCGCATTAGGTTTTGTTATTAAATAATGATGACGACTCACAAGGAAGAAACTATGATCACAAAACTAATACTACTAATAACTACAGAATAATACTTCAAAATGTTGACGACCTTCTTTTTGTATTGCATAACATGATTAATGAAAAAATGAATGAATACATTCTCCCACCATAGTATTATAAAAAATACCGTTCACAATATCACAAATCGCATTTAAAGCATTGCTTAAATAAAATTAAACAACCGACTACAAGAAAAAATAAATTAATAATTCATTATGGTTTTAATTCGTTTATCATTACTAATACGATAAATTATTCATGAATCTAGCGACAATTTTGCAAAGATTCTTGTTAAAAAAATCACTTATTGAATTGAATTGTTTTTATAAGAATTTTATCTTTATGTAATATATTTTTGATGGATAAAAAGCCTGGTATTATTACACTCGTGCATGTAGGCTCATAAAATATTTAATAGCTTGGTAAGCCATTACAGCTTCGACGTAAAGTACAGACATAAATGTAATTCTCATTGTATTTTGTTTTCAATACCATATCATAGAACTAAAATTGTTGCATGTTCAGGAAATAAAACCTCAATTTAGAGTTAAAAAAGAAGATAATTAATTACTTACCTCTCTATTCCTTTCCGTTGCTACATTAGGTTTGAATAGAAGCTGGTTGATGAAACCAAGGAACATAAGTATGTAGAGACCAGCATGTGTTAGGGCTGCAGTGAATATGGAGCATTTTTCAAATGATCCTGGAAACATTTCATATTGAGACCAGTCCATGAATGGCACCGCTTCGCCTTTGCCTTCACGGGGCATTTTCTGTAACAAGTTAAATTATTTTAAAGACAGTCACTAATATATCATTTTATTATGACGTAAAGGACCTTACTGTAAGTCTTGTTACACACAATGCAGAAATAACTTCAATAATTATTATATATAATTTTATACTGACAAGCTTTGAGGAATATCTCTCGAGACTTGTGAGCACCAAATGAGATCTTTAGGGAAAACAACACCTTAAATATGTGATCTTATTATATTATCCTTCCTTATTAGTTTAACCACAAAGTAAAATTAACAGAGAATATAATTCAGCAACTACGCGACAATTATGCATTTATATGCTTAATTTAATTGCAACACTCTTATCAACAATTACTAATCAAAGTTTGGGGAATAAATGTTAAAAAGCTCTATATTTTTATATTAGAATAATAATACAAAGTTTCTATATGTCAGCAGTTCATGCAAGTACAGATAAAAATATACCACTTTAAAACGTAAAATATATAAGTACACTTAATAACTTTGAGCTTTCTTCACTTTACAGCAGTAATAATTATAAGATTATATATAAAACTTAGAAGCCATCAGTTAAGATTGGTAAAAATTGTGATAACAGGCTTTTATTATTGTAGTTAGTATTACTAATGCTTGCTTAATAAATGGTACTTTTTGAATTAAAAAATTGGGTAACAATAAAAAAAATCCAACATATCAGGTTCCATTTAAATAAATCTGTTTTTTTTTTTATATCAACAACAATGATGCAATCACATAAGTTTGATTCAAATTAGAATTTTAAATTCGTCCTGATAAAATTTGATACAATACGGTGAAGCAATTTGTAAAATCGTTTTGCGCTATTTAATACAGAAAATTGTGTTAAAAATATTTTATATTATTACATTAAAATATATATAGACAAGAAATAAAGTTTAAATGTTGTATGGTAAGTTTATCAATTTGTCGACATACTGATAAATTTTCTTACACATCACATTTCGGTTTCAATTACATGAGGCCTTGGTAGAACAATTAATCTGAGTTCCCAAGTGAACAATAATACTGCATCGCTAACGAAATTCTATTATGTATTTTTGGACACACTATACTTTTAAATAAGAGCCACTTTAAATGCGTTAAACACGCTTTCAAACTTCGTAGAAAATCAAGTTTACGAAAAGATATTAAAGTAAACATCTACTTACAGTGATACCATTGCTAGGTTGTGGGGGATTAATGTATCCATTTGTACGTGGATTTATTTTTCCATTTAGCAGTTTAATTCCGTTACTTTTTGGAGATTTCATTGATAGATTTATATTTGTAGAAGCAGCTAAGCCGTCTACTTCAACAGCCGCCATCCTTTCAATTGATAAGGAATTATTTTACTAGACTTCAGTTTCGAGAGTTTGTCACTTATGACACACAAATGACAATTGACTTTAATGAAATTTGTATTGCCACAAATAATATTTTTTTTATAACTATATAAATTTTTGGCTTATTCTAGGCATGTTTTAGCAGTCCTAATTTATGTATGCAGTATGCTATTAACCGAGTAGTGGAATTAAAAAAATCCATAATGGTCTGTTAACTTTCATGCTATAACACAAGGAAGACAGATTTATCAAAAGATGTATTTATGTTACATTATGCTGCTTTTAAAAATGTGAAAGGCATCACCGGATAAACGACAACGTCAATGTCATTGTCAGTGCAATTGGCCTTGACAGAATGACAAAAAAAGTATTGTTACAAATACAATTTGTTAGGTACTGTGAAATTGTCGGTAAAACAGTGTCGTTATTGAAACTCTGTGAAATAAAGTCAATAATTTTCACAATTCTGAATTCACATTTTCTTTCGCGATTTTGCTGTGAAAAGTAGCTGTTTTGTCGACACATTTTTTTCAAACAATTACTTCAGATTTTCTATTCTTTAATGTACATTTTGTAATATCGTATTTAATTTAATAGTTTCGACCGGCGAAAACATAGAACTTAATTTAGGGGCGGGTCGTATGCGATGAGTAATACAGTTTCTCGTGTTGAGTGACGTCGTGCAGCAATCGGGCAGCGCGGCGCGTAAACCTCAGTACAAAACTGCAAGGAGGCAGGTCTAGACCCCTTTGCACTCGCTGCCGCGACACCGCACCCACTCTTCGTAAATCTATTATTCAATAAAAAAAAAACATGGACAATACTGACACACTTTTAGCTGGCCTGGCTAGCGGGGACCGCGCTCCCGTTGATGGAGCTGTCACAGAGACCTTAAAACGTGATCAGGACTCGATGGACGACTTTGAGCACCTGGATCGAGAAAACAAGAAAGAAGACGGTGAGTCGCCGCTGCACATCCCTCAAACGAAAATCACGACTCAAAACTTCATCGACATGGAACGTGACGTATTTATGGATACGCCACGAGCACCATCTGTTACGGAAAAATCAGAGCACCTCGCGGACAAGTTCACGGATAGTGAATCCGACGCTGGCGAGTCTCCCTTGCATCGGCCTGATCCGGCTATAGCTCGGGAGGCCACGCCTGAACCTTCAGCCCCAGTTGACCCCACGCCGGTTTTAATCCCGGCGTTCATTCCTGAGAAAAAAGATCCTCAGCCTGAGCCGAAACCTGAAGTGAAGATCGAGACTTCTAGCCCCGTAGAACAATTGAAAGCTGAGGTGAAGCCTATCAGCAAACCAGAAGAGGAATTCAAACATTCGACGACATTAGACGAATATATGGCCGAGCCTCTCGTACCTGAGAAGCAGCCAGAACCACCGAAACCAGCTCCGGCTCCGGCACCACCTGCAGTTGTACCAGAGCCTGTCAGCCGCCAGGATACCCCACGAGGACCCACCGCGCACATCATTGAAGCGGAAGTCATTTTCTGCCAGATGGGACTTGGTAAGCGAATTTTAATACACATTTCGCGTAGCTATAAATAGCGATTTATCATCGTATTCGTAATCTGCAGTGATTTACATTTCTTAGGAAAAATTTACAGCGCTGAAATATTTATGTATATTTGATACAACTGTGTATACCTACTCTCCCACTTATTTGGGAGTGGGTGTGTCTGATTATTTTGCAACTAAGTACACTTGACAAAGCTTGACAAAGTCGCAGTCTATTAAATAAAACACTTTAACGGTTTAAAACGTGATAGATATATGGCGGAAACGTCGCGCCGTAGTTAAAGAAATTGTCAAATAAGTATAACTAATATATCGCGTTTTAAACTGTTTAAATGTGTACTACTCGCGTAAACTACAGACAACATTTAAATCATAGTCCATTGAAGTATTACTGGAGTCTAGGACTGTCGATGGACAGGTCACTGCAGGTAGCAACTGGGTGGTGGCGAACCAGACGAAGCGGTAAGAGCAATGACCGGTGCACGACGGTCTAACGGCATTTGCTGAAACCCACGCCGCTCACTGCACGTTGAAGGAAGTGTTTGACCTGGTCCTATCTACCTTAGTAATCCTAACCTCGGTATAAGTTTTGACCGTAATCAGTCTGATTTCCAAATTTCCAAAACGAAAATAGGTCGATAGCGCATCTTGTGTAGATGTTATGTGGCTGGAGTATTTTACCTCCCATCGAGTGAACCTCATGTTGTCTGCCCTCTATCATCAAAAATGCCTAAATAACGAAATATACGTAATTATGCTGAACTGTTAGTATTCGATACACATACGTATTTTGTTATAGCGTTATTTTCGCTGTTGCAACATTATTGCATTACTTTCCAAGTATTAAATGACCAAATTAGGGTGACTCAGTAATACAGCGCCGATATTTCATGATAACTTGACACTCCATCATATAATAGGCATCTTTATTACCAAGCCTTTACTACTAATTGACGTAAAATTATCGTCCTACCGCCTCTGTAGCCAAATGGTTAAACGTATTGCCTAGCATTGTGTTAAGAGCGAGAGGTCCTGGGTTCGAAGCCCAGGGAAACATAAACTTGTTTCGGTCGGGCAGGGCACAGAAGTCTGTTCAACTACTTGCCCGTTAAAAGGACGGATCAGTGTCATGGACACAGAAATGTATTCGTCCCATGCCCCACTAGGGGAAACGCGCTTTCACTTTTATCGTCCTACCTCCGAGGTACTTTAACCCGGGTTCAATACCCGGGTTTTCATATAAAATGGTTAAATCCTGAAAAGTATTTGTATATTTAAATAAAACGGTTTAAAACGTGAAATAGTTTAATTAAAGTCTAAAAAAATTACATTTTATTTCAACTACGACCTGTCTCCTCGAGACCACGGCTGCTGCAAAGGTTCCAAAACGTCGGGCCGTAGTTAAAATAATTTGTGAATAAGTTTATATATTGCGCGTTTTAAACCGTTAAAAAGGTTTTATTTAAATTTGTCCTGCTCGCGTGAATTACAGCCAGTGTTTGTACATTCTTTTCGTGGATAGGAAGTCCTAGACACAGTTCCTATGGAACACATGAGCTGCATGTAGAACGAGGTGACGTACCCACCTAATTCCTAGTCTTGTGTAGTGTGCTAATTTTAGCAGTTCGGAATCGCGGCCCGCTCATAAGTGAAGAATTCTTAGCGTCGAGCTCACGTTGAGCAGTATTATTCGTATATACGTAACGGAAAACAGTTTTTTACGGTTTAACAAGTGAAACTGTCACTATGGGATCGCAAGATGACGTCACGCGTAAGTTTTTCATTCAAATTGACAGAATTTTCATAGACGGTGATGAAATGTGCGACAAAAAATCGGCTTGGTTCAATTGCTTCGCTTTTAAATATAACTCGTTCGCATTTAATATTATTCGTTTCTGAATATTGTAATTATGGCCCCAGAACTTTGATCCCATTGCATTTTAGAGCTGGTAAAGACGATCTATACATATACCTTAAACGTTGAATGCACGCGGTTCAAAGAAAGAAATCGCTACTTTCCTAAGAATTGTAAAATCGGTGCTAATTATGATAGAACCGTTAATTGTACGCTAAATGCATTAGTGGAATAAAATTAAGATTAAATTTAAAGCCAGTTGTCAGGCGCTGCTTGAATGTTCTTTTTGCTATTTCAAGTATAGTTTAGTTTCCGCGCTTTGAAAGTCTGAATAATTGAGATGTTGGCAAAATGTCGGAGTGTATGGATTTTCCGGTAAGCAGACTTGGTGGAGCAATAAATGCTCGACTGGAGGACAGCGACGGCGCAGCGTTTGGATCGATAGGCCACACGCGACCTGAGAGACGTGCTGTCTATTATCTATATCATTCATAATATTCTATGGCTTGCTTCTGTCTGTTCTGGTCATTCAAAACTTGAATATCTTAAACACAATATTTTAGCTATTGAGGGTGTAATGTAGGAGACAGTTGAACAACATAGCAGGGTTTATAGATTTCCTATACCCATGTTCTATTTTGATATTCATTAAAAATATCGCTACAATAATAATTGAATAATCGATAACGATTTTTGTAGAAGGGAAAAATATTTTTAGCGCGTAAAAGATTAAAAGAACTCAATTTTAATTTCGATTCCCTGTTAACTATAAAATTTGTTGAACATCTGAATTGCTAGAAGAATATGAAGTTTACAATATAGTAAAAATAATTGATTGTAAAAAATAGAAACGTTAAAACAAACGGAGTACTATATTGCTATAAAACGTGATTAAGGGTTGTAAATTGTAATCACAAACAAATTGTGACTCATTGGAAATTTTACTATCCCCCTTTCTGCTTTGGACAGAAGGGTTTGTTAATTTTTAACTGTCGGTATTGGTTTGAATCATCTAGCATTGACCCTTTATATGTAAACTAAGTTAACGAAACCTCAATTGTGTTTTAATGTTTTTTTTTTAAGGAAATAAGAACAATTTAATTAGTCCATAGTGCTAAGTAGGTTAATTTTAAGACATTCCGAAATATTCCTTTTTTCTTACGTAGGTACTATTTCTTCAAATTGTGCGCCATCGAAATTGAGCAATTTTTATTCTCAGTAAAATTACTGTTAAACTCAAATATTCCATTGATAAATCGGATAGTCGGACGTAACACTTCCTCCAGAACGATTTTTATCTCAGTTGGAATTTCAAGTAGATTTTCAGTGCGATTCTTCTAGATAACATACAGCTTCGTTTGGTAATCCTAAGGTTCAGTGAGACATAGTATGATGTCACATGAGGCTCTATTTGGTGCGCCTGTGCAAGGTAGCTTATGACTCATGGGTTTGTACTTTATTGTTTGATATATTGCAAGTTCTATCGTTTTATAAGTAGAACTATGATACTTGAAGTAGTAACTTATTTTGAGCTAGTCGTCTCTTTTCCCTTACGTTTTTTTTTAAATAATAGAGCAGGAGACAAGCATGGCGTTCGCTTGATGGTAGGTGATATATCCCGGCCTATAGCATCTAAACAGGATGCGCTGTCGGCCTATTTTTGCTTTGGATTAAGTGATCGGAACGGATTTTCTATATTCCCACCGCCGGTTTAATATCCAGATTTCCAGTCAAAGTCGGATATGTTTCAGGGAAATTCGAAATTCGACCCGGTGGGGATCGAATCCACGACCCGTTGATTATTATCCATACATTGCTACCAATTAGACCAACGTGTCATTTGACTTTGCTGTATTAAAACTGATAAGTGCTTTGACTGTGGCATTTTGGAGTTTTACATAGAATGACGAAACCATCACCCTAATTTGTGTCTTCATCATCATCATCGGTGAATAATTAAAAGAATAACGCTACCGTCAAATAATAGCCAGGTGCACATGATGTCAGCTCAGTCACCGGTCGAATGATATTTTTAACTGGGTCTGTGGTGTGACGTCCATCACTCGCTGTCGGTGTGCAAGTATTCGGTGCATTGTTTGATCGAGTGCTTAAAAATCGAATGCCAAAGAAAAAAATCATTATATTTTTAAATTAATTAAAAGAAAATATTTAATTGAGATCTTTGTAATTTCATCTCCAATGATTTTCTTAAGCTGCAAAGCATAAGACATTGGGCCTTAATATGCAAGTGATTATTGCGAGTACGCGTGTATCAATAGATTGAAAAATTGACGATGACATTTAGGACTCGGTAGATCAATTACAATCCCGGTCCAAGACCTGCCCGACCTGCCCTTTATAATCGATTTTATATTTAAATTTTTAGATTACCTGCACATTTGCCTTTTATAATGTTTTTAATAACATTTTTAGATTGTCAATTTTTTTAAACGAGCGACAATCGAAGTTCTAGCAAATTCTCTTGTAAATTGGAATTGGAAAGTACCTTTGTAGGGTAAAAAATTTTAATGCCCTAAAGCAGCCAAATCGAATAAAATATTAGTAACACGCATAATACGTAAATACATTCTAACAAAACGTTGTAGAAAAAAGTTATGACAAAAGTCAAAACTTTTTACAATGAGGAGGAAGAGAGGAGATATCAATGCTTAGTTTGTTTTGTTGTTTGTAATTTACACGAGGGGTACACATTAAATAAACCATTTTAACGGTTTAAAACGCGATTTACATTAGTTATTAACCCCGTCCCGATGTCCCATTTCCTAAACAATGCCCTCAATTTGTAATCCACGAAACTACAGGACAAATTCAACAGCCAGTAGATAACTAAATATCAATTGTTACGCAACTCATCTAATATAATAGACGGTTTCCGAGATTAAACAAAAAATAGTATAAAAATAGAAAAACGTAATTCTTTTGCCTTGAACTTGTCGATTCGTTGTCATCGTTCGCGTGATAGTTTCCATTTGAAGGTCGCGTACGTTTGTATGTTCCTTGCGCGGTGCTAATCAGTAGTCGGTAGACGGCGCCATGAGTCATAGCTTCGTCATCAGCGAGGTCTATCTATACCTACTTCTGAGGTTCTATCATTGTTCTCGGCTGTTCTGAGCCGGTCATTACTGATAACCAGCAGATCGTGTGGCGTAGTTTACAATAGTTTTCCATTCCCAGTTAGACATACACAAGTCATACACGAAGTATTATTATTAATATGTACATGTTTATTGTTCACTAACTTCTTAGTATGTTGCTTTGTTTTGTTATTTTGTGTATCTGTAATCGATGAATCGGAGTCATGTGAATGAGACAAACTTTTACTAACTACTAAACGTTTATCTATACTAATATTATAAAGCTGAAGAGATTGTTTGTTTATTCGTTCGTAATCTCGGGAACTACTGGTCCGAATTGCATTTTTTTGTGTTGGTTAGAACATTACTACGCAGGCGAAGTTGCTGGCACAGCTAGTTAATAAGTTCTCATTCTGTATGACAACGATGCATTGATGTGTATGTGGTAATTGCACCGGTGCGAGGGTAGGATGGGGTGACGGTGGGTAATGGTGCTCCCTGACATACTGTTTGCACTGGGTCTAGTGTCGCTATCGCGTTAAGTACGGCTAATGCAGCATGCCAGGAGTTGAGGGTGCGCATTGTCTGTGCGCATGCGCGGGTCGAGCGCGGGCGGGTGCGGAGCGCGGGGCGCTGCGCCGCGGCGGCCAGTATCGACGCGAGTGTGAAGCGCGGTGCGCGCTAATATCGCCACTGTGAGCCCAAGTAATTACGTAAAAGTGAGGATGGCAAGCCCCGGACCCTCCCTTTGCACTGTGCTCGACCCGCGTAAGTGTCGCAGGCTTCGCTTCGCTTGCTTTCTATCGCGACTAACCCGCTAACGCGCAGCCTTCTCTTGCAGATGCTTGGTTCGACCCGCAGAGGCTACACCCTGAAGGTGAGTGAAGGAGGGCGCGACGGGCGCCGACGACGCCCCGAGCGCTGCCGACGCTGAAGTCCACTGTTGAGTGTGCTTTTAGTGTCGGCATGTATATAAAAGAGGTAGCGATCGATCGCGGATCGGGGCTGAGGCTCGTCGAAGTGCGACGGTCGCCACCTGACACCACCACTGACATAACTTGAACTAATTGTAGCGTGCACCGTATGTGCAATCTGTCAATAACACTAACAATTAATCCCTGTAGCACTGCACGAATGACATCCTAGACGTAATTCTTCATTCCAACTATGTATTAGTCATGACACTAAATTTTGAAAGGGTTTATACTTTTTGAATAAGACAATGATAAAAATATGTCGGAAGTCACTTGGCAAGCTACGATTTTGTAAATGTTATAATTCACGAGGCTAAATTGATAGGAAGGTGTATCTCAAATCGTCTGAATAAAAACTTTTAGAACTAGCACAGTTGAAGAATGCATCAATCTAAGATCCACAGGCTAATGCAAATTGCTAGTAATTAAATTAACCCAAAAACAACGATGCGCTCAGCTTTTGATATTGCGTATCTGTGGCTGTTAATTGTAATGGAAGGTTGGTTTCTATTGTTCCCTTTCACCCAGTGTAAACCGATATGGCAGCTGTTCTACCTGTAAAATGACACGGGAAGTCACTTGATCAAAAGAAAGATACTGCAGTTTTATATGACAAAAAAACAGTCAAGTTGAAATATTCTGTTCTGTGTCTGTTGCCCAAGACGATGCTGATAACATAGATAAAGCATGGAATATTTTATTTATCAAAGTTTGAATGCTTATAACGAATTAAACCAATTTATAAAAATCTTTACAATTTAGTACCTATGTGATCTTGAAACCAGGGGTTCAGTTCAAAGCAATTTTGAATCGTTTGTTTTATTTAAAATTCAAAATCGTGTGAAGGAAAAGTAACTTTCGTTTTATAGAATTTGCACTACAAATTGATTGAAAATAATAATAAAATACGGATACATAAATAACACGTAATAATTCGCACATGTTATGTGACACGAAAAAAATGAAAGAAATCAAAGAAGAGATGAAAAAATAGCTTTTTCATTAAAAATTATTAAAAAATGCTCATCTTAATTTATGATTTTATACATAATATGTACATGAATCACAATGCTTGCTTCATTGTTTGAAACGCAAAGTAAAACGCTGTTTAAAATTATATTTTTTTTGCAAAATCTATTATAATGGAACACGTTTTCAATTTTAAATTCTTTATTCCTATACATGTGCCACATTAAAACATCTGTTCACCAAATAGCTAACTTTTCAGTTAACTTCGTCACACTGTTTTAAATATTGTCTGTAGTAGAAACATTAAATAGAACATTTTTAACGGTTGTAAGTCTCATCATTTGCTGCTGCTGTAAAACATTCGAAACATCGGGTCATAATTCATTTACGTTGAATGTGTCGCGATTTGAACCGTTAATAATGTTTTATATACTACGTGTGTTATCGTCCTATTACGCAAGCTCGTCTGTAATCAAGGTAGATTAATCTGCGGATGATGTAGTCCCCTGAGTTTTGTATGCTGAACGCATCAAGTACAAGCGAGAAAAATTGTGCAGTCAGATAATATTTACTGTACTTTTCATAATTACAAGCCTAAACTTACAAATATATAAGTAATAGTTCGTCGGCACATCTTCGCATCATCATTGGATCAAGTCGGATCTCTGGCATATATTAATGAGCAAAATCTATTACCATTTTGTTATTCCTTCACATATATGTACATATACAATCTGAATGACTCCATTCTACCTAACAATCTTCAATTAATTTCCAACGCCCAACATTATAGTGCCTAGTCGCTAGTCAGTCTTCTACTCGAGTGGTATTTTTAACGCGCCCGTTTGTATTTATGTTTCTGTTGTCTATTTCAACGTATCGTGGACGCCAATTGGAGACAACGGAATATTTTTCAATAGATTTATATGTATAGACATCGTTTGACCTTTCCTCGGTTTGTGTGTTCGGTTGTGTGTATGGCATACCATAGGCATAACATTTCAGAGAGATAAAAGCGACACAAATGATAAACATTTCAGATGCACAGCTACAAAGGAACCAAAACAATATAATACATGTTGTCACCAGCTGCAAGCTTCACTCACAATTGTGAAACGTAGCTCAGTCAAAACCGTCTGATATTGTCTCTTGGTTTAATGCTGAGTGCTATAAATAGGCCACTGAAACGCTGGGATTTCATACGCAAACATTTATTGCATCCAAATATTTGAGCTGGATGAAATTGTGAATTACCTAAAATTATTTTCTTGTCTCCCTCGCTGCCTCGATGCCACAATTTGTTACTTTCAAATTACACAATATTTATTACCCAAATAAGGTAAAAATTGCTATCTCCGATATTGGTATCTTGCAAATATTATGTATTCAAGAAGGTCAAATCATTATTTTCGTATGTGGTAGATGTTTGACCCCATTGTTTGACTAAAAAGTAATTATTGAATGGTTGGTAGGAATATCGAAATTCGTCCGAGTCACGAAGCACGGATTCACACACGAAAATGTCGTGAAATTTAGTCGCGATTCTATCTGTGGATTTCTAAATATCTATAGCAAAAATAGGTCCACGGCGCTTCTTGTTTAGATGTTATATGGCTGTGTTATTTCACCTACGATCGAGTGCACCTCACGCTTGTCTCTTCTCTATCATAAAAAATTATTGGCGCGGATATATCGCGAAAATATAAATGTATAATTTTTCACGAGTCGGCGACTCATTGTATATTGAAACATATTAGGTCTGACAAAGCCTCTCCACTTGATGTTTGGAGCCATGCCAGCCGACGATCGATAAAGTTCGCCGTTGCAGCGGTTCTTTTGTCACTTGACGGAATTCCTGAAGTTTTTGAGACTACATGTTGCAGTTAAAATTTAAGCGACAAGCTGTTAAGCTTAAAAGATAATATGGCTTTGAACCTTCAGGCTTTGAGGTGCCCTCAAATGGAGGTCAGATCTATTGTCATTCAATATTAGTCTTTAGCTGAGAGTCGTATTGTGATTCTACTAATCTTAACCCTTATTCCGGCTCTATTAATGTAAAAGTAAAATTAATATCTCCTTACATTGATTTCGTTGTTGAATAAATGTTCTCTGTATTTGAAGCTTAAATGTTTTCTTTAAGTGAAAGATTATAGGAGGTATAAAAATTGCTATATGCGGGAAGAAACAACAGTTTATTTATAAAAATATTTTTTACTACCGGTTTAATTATAAAAGTTAAGTGTTGAAAATGAGATAGCACTGGCCGCTATTGCTAACATATAAAACAAATTATATCTGCCCGCTGCAAGTCAAGTCATTTAGTCCAGTCTGGGTTATTTTTTGTTTTTATTTCATTTTACATTTGGATAAAGACGGCTTCATGATTCTAATTAGTGGCATTGAATTACTCAAAACCCCCGTTATATAAATGCTATGAAATTAGCATTCATTCATTGTGAATAATTTTGTGAAACTTTGAACGCCATCTAGTATTACAAAAGTTCTTGTTTTCCCTTTTTTAACTGTTGATAGGAATCGGAATTGTTTGTCTGTTAATGTTACTTATTTTGTATTTATTCTTACTTCTTTTTAAACGTAATCTTTTTTTATGCAGTACTGCATAACAACAATTGGGATTGTCATCATTATTATCTAATTGGTAATATTACGATAAGCGATTTCATTGAACTTTAGGCTTTATCACCTTGTTGTTAGGTGCTATTTTCCATATCTTTTACATTTGTATATTCAAGATAAACATTCATGTTATTTTTACTTATGCATGTTATTTTGTTGAGATTAATACTTTTTACTTCGAAGTTCATTATTAAAAAATACTTCAATTTTCTAACGCGATGTAGTGATTATTATGATTTCGACGGGTTCCTCGATTCAATTGTAGTAATCAATGGCTCGTGGTTTATATCCCTACCGGGTCCAAGTCAGTTTCTAATTTTTCGTCGTCTGAAAATTTGGATGTTAAATCTATGGTAGAAATATTGTAATTCCCTCCGGTCTATTAACTTTTTATTGAATTTTATTCCCATTTCGGTGTCAGTCTGCATTTCCGACCATTCAAAGCCAAAAATAGGTCGATAGCGAATCTTGTTTAGATGTTATGGGTATATCACCTTACATCAAGTAAGCCTAAGTTTGTCTGTCCTCTATCATAAAAAATATCATTATTATTCATTAAAAATCCCATCACTAAGCAGTGAGTTTGAAATATGTGAATTTCAATTTAGGATTGTAAAGCTAATAAGGATTACCAAGGTATAATTTGTTTATAGTTTGCATAGGATAGGTTTTTACAACGTTTTTGCCATTTGTCTCTCCCCCCGTTTCCCCCCGATCCGCTTGTGCACTATGCCCGTGCAATTCATCAATAGAGATTCATTTTGGCAACACTTCGATCGATGCGTTGATGCCACCAACGTTTTTCGCTTCAATTACGACCCCGTTGACCTTTGGGATTTTGGGACAACTTTTTCCATATAACATGGTATCACAGACGTTGAAATCTTTGTCGTATTTGGGCATGTTATCTTTGTCAATCGACTCTTACATCGGCACAAGCGCCGCCTCCGAGACGCTTGCGTCACAAATTTCAGACGGTACTTTTCACTTGCGAGTCTGTCCCATTCGATATAGTGAAACTATTTTTACGTAATCAGGATCTGGTGGTGAATTAGCAAGATTCGAAACGAATTGCCATTGTAATTAACAATTTTACTAAATATAAATTATTTGTAAAATGTAACAAAGATAAGATTTACACAGGAGTAGCCACATTAGTTGCCTGGCAATCATTTTATGGCATGACTTTTTAACGGTCTAGGTTTTAGCTAAAAGCATGTCATATATTTTTAACCATTCCAAAAGTACTTGGGTTAATAACAGATACAATTTGAAGATTTTAGAAAATTGTCTGCGCCTGTAAACAAAACATTATTAACGGTTTTAAAGGCGGAAAATGTTATTTACTATATATTCGATTTATTACAAGTTTAGAATTTTTTTCAGCAGCCATGGTCACGGGAGGAATTCAAATAAATAAATATATGTTTATTCGCATAAACTACAGATCACTCCGCGTTGTTATAAAAAATAATTTACGTATGTTTTGTCGCTTAATGTCGAATTAATTACAATGCTATCTAGAATTCTTGACCTACGGCACGAAAGAATTGCATTCTACCATACATGCTTCAAGACTTGTTTTATCGCTCCACACGTCCTTGGACTGGTTTTTACAATCTTTGTTTCTCTGGTCAACGAAATGACGAGATCTTTCTCTCGGCGCATAATATATTGTATAAGTACATATTCTTAATTAACCCACAATTTAGGGCTGCCACATAAAACAAAAAAAGATTTGTTTTTTGAAACAAATGATGTATTTATTTTGAAAAACAAAGTGTCACCCCTAATTTTATAACATGATGACAGTTAAAAACTTAAACCACAGTTATATGTATTGCTATTTACTATATAAAAGAATTTCTTTTAACGATAGATAATAAGGTACTTCTGCTGCAATGCTGTCGTCTATATTTTGTGATAAGATAATTTTTATCAGATCTGGATTAAGTGAAATCCTTTCCTATAGACTCCATCGTTTTCGCTTATTTTTCAACGGGACAGGCGCAGTCCTGCTTTTCAGAAATAATTGAAATCAAACGGATATATTTTAAATGATACGCCTCCTCTTAAGTCAAGAAAAGGCTTTTTTTGCTTTGAAATTTTAAACATTTTGTTTAAAATTTCAAAGCAAAAAAAAAACTGGCAACACTGTTTAAAAAGTCAATGTTCCATTCAATGTCATTCCTTATCTGTGCGTAGACATTGAAAGTATATAACTTGTCTAGTGTATAATATTAAAACCTAGTTCCTCTGCTTTATTTATAGGCATTCGTATATCGGAATCGGCATACATTTTATTCAAATTCAAATCATTAGGGTAACAATATTATCATGCTTTCTCCGGACCGTAAACTTAGATTAATGGTAGCTAAGTGTAGCTAGTAATCAACGGGTCGTGGATTTGATCCCCACCAGATCCATTATCTAGAAGTCTGGAAATGGTCACAGATGAAAAAGCCGCCAAGCTTAAACGCATTTCGTTTTCAATCTGTAGATTTCCAAAACTAGGTTGTCAGCGCTCTTATTTAGATTTGAGTATAACCTACCGTCAAGGAACCACACTCGTCTGTCCTCCTCTAAAAAAGGTCCCCATAATCTCGATCGTGTGGGTACAGTAGTCCGGGTGACGTGTGCGTAGAAAGGCACCAGCGTGGCAGCCGCGCCACGCGAAGACTGCCGTCCCGCACGTCCTCGGTCATTCCGCCGACATGGCGCGCCCCAAGCAGTCGCCCCGCCACGCCGCGCAGTACGTTGACCTCCCACCCCGAGGACCAGGTAGGCAGGACAACCCTTAACTATACAAACAGCCACGTCGATACTACCAGACAGTGAAGTGTTTTGTGCAAATTTTCCTCGTTATTTGTCTCTGCAGACGCGGTTACGTGGACAACATATTGTTGGATACCATGGTTATCGGGTGTGCGCCAATGTTTTTAATCCCATATTGTAATCCAGGTCTCCAGTATCAAAGTTTATCTTATCGTTTATACTGTTTCAGTCATGTTTACGGTTTTAGGATCTTTTAAGACCCAAGTGTGCAATTTGACAGGCGAGACATCGAATCGTTCAAGCGAGTCGTTCTTATTTATTTCCTCTGCTTAGGTATCTGATATTTACGTTAGCCAATGAACCGTTAGCTTAGATTATTAACTCAGCTGTTTTATAGCTTGCCTTTTTAATTCTCGTTAATTTCCCTTTAACATAATATATATTATATCACACAGTGTATGCGTTCAAAGGCACCGGGCATCTAAGTGCGTGGGCTTCCGTTTTGGTATTCTGTTACCGGTTTTACAACGCTTTGTTAGTAACGCTCTTGAACCTGTGGGTTTACTTCTTCTTTGAATTTTTGATAAGGTTGGGTCATTTGATATTTATAAAGTTGCGATAGACTTGTTCGTTTAATCTGCGTATCACGCTTTGGTAGAGAATTACATTGTATATTTAATGAATACTATATGATTAATAGTGAGTATTTAAATACGGTTTAAAACGCAATATTATATATTAGTTAAATTTATTTTAACGATATATCGCGTTTTAAACCGTTTAATTGTTTTATTTAAATGTGTACTACTCCTATGGGAAAAAGGTATTTGTGAGAATTTCAAGGAAGAATAGATTTTGTTTGACGTTGCTGTAGTTTCTAATACCTAAGCCGACAATAAGACGTTGAGAGTTATGTAATACATAGGTACATGCACTTTACATTTCATAAGCGATTACCCCGCACAACTGCTAGTCGCGTCGCGTGACAATATGTATGGCTTCATAGGAAATTCCCTTTTGTAGACGAAGAAAACCTAGTGCATTTCATTCTATTTCACTTTTATACAATTTCTTATGCGAAGGATTTTATCTGCCCTTATCCATAATATTAGAGATTAACCACAGATTATATCACTCGTATTATACCCAGTATAATTGTTTCTTTAAATCATTAGCTATCGGCTATCGCCTGTACTTTTGACATCTGTAACTACGTTACGCTGTCCAGCTGAATCAACAAAAGATTATTGTCGGCATGTGTACTTGCTTGAAATCGTTATTCAAACTTACACGAGACGGATGCATTTTTAAACCTAATTACACCAAGAAGTAGTGACATTGATTGGAAAGTTTTTGCTATACCAATATGATAAAAGTTTGTTTGTTTGAACGCGATAATCTTAGGAACTACTAGTTCGAATCAAAAAAATATTTTTGTGTCGGTTGAAGGATTTATCGGAGAACGCTTAGGCTATAAAACATCACGCTTTGACCAATAGAGCGACGAATCAGATGGATGAAGTATTTCAATATAAATATAATATACCTTTTAATTTGCAGTGGAATCTCTTATATACTGGCGATCAGCTGGGCGGTCTGGTGCAGCGCTAGGAGCCGGCTTGGCCGTACTCGTGGCATTAGCGTGCTGCTCGGTGATATCGGTGTTAGCGTATTCATCCCTGGTCGCTCTAACCGCAGCAGTTGCCTTCCGGATCTACAAAAACGTGCTGCAGGCCGTACAGAAGACTAACGAAGGTCATCCCTTTAAGTGAGTACAAAAATATCTATACTAATATCATAAATCGAATGGAACTACTGGTCCGAATTATAAAAATATATATTTTTCGTTGTTTGGAATATTTATCAAGAAAAGCTATATCACGCTGCTAAGTAATCTGAATATAAGTAATCAATATATAGCTTTCAGTAGCTAAAAAACAGTGAAAACGTTGAAAACTTATTCGTCTGAAAACTTTTATATTTTTTTACATGTTATTGCACATGAAGGCACGAGTTTTTAAATTATTTGTCTTCAAGATACATATAGAATATGTATGTAAGAATTATACTTTTTTAGTTCTATGATATGTCTTGTATTTCAAAAATTACTGACAGGAACCATTTTTATAGTAATCTAATTTAGGCGAAATATTTCATGTGGCAAAAAGTGCCAGGTCAACTAGTGTAGTATAACTTGTCACATAAATAACAAACAAGCAAGATATACTGATGAGGTATATTTCAGACATTCTTAACTGTCCACATAATTTCATTTATGTTCACTTAATATGAGTCTTCGAAAACAAGTGATTTAAAGTCTTAAACAGTGGATTTGGTGTTCCAGGTGGCTGCTCGAGAAGGATATTAACTTAAGTGCAGAGCGAGCGCAGGCGCTGGCCGCATCCGCCACCGCTCATCACAACGCAGCCCTACATGAGCTACGCAGGTAAAACTGGTTCGATTTAAATTAAACACTTAAACGATACATATATTAATTAAACTTATTTGTAAATTATTTTAACTACGGCCCGACGTTTCATTTATTTGCCCTTGACCACGGCTAAATGATGGTGCTAATGTCCAGTGACAATCCCCCTTGAATTGTCACTGTCCGAGCCAATTAGTAAATTCAAAATAATCTTGATAGTATATATAATTTCTGTCTATTCATCACGGTAATATTGTTGTTAGAAAATTGGCTCCATTATGGTAGAGCCTTAAATTTTTTATTATATTGATTCTGTGTAGTCTATTAACCTTTAATTTGCAATTACAGATTGTTCCTAGTGGAGGATCTGGTGGACTCTTTGAAGTTTGGCGTGTTGCTGTGGTGTCTGACGTACATTGGTTCCTGTTTCAATGGCATTACGCTTGTCATCCTCGGTAAGTTACATACATACATATTTTAAACTAACTTCCATCCCAGCTCAGCCAGGACTCACTTTTCTTTTATAAATAACCAGAATTTTTCATGTATTTATAAAAGAAAAGTATTAATACCCAAAAAACCTACCTAGTCTTTGTAAAAGAAATGTTACAAGTAAAGACTCCGCTGAACACGATCTCTAACCGCTTCATACTCTGCTTGTTTTTTCATTCAAACGAAATACAAAATGACTAATTTTAGTTTTTGATGTTAAGACATGGTTTATTTGGGTTTTCAAATAAGTAATTTAATAATTAAATCTCTCTTTCAGGATGGATAGCGCTATTTACACTGCCGAAAGCGTACGAAATGAACAAGGCACAAGTGGACGCTAATCTCGAGCTTGCACGCGCTAAAATTAATGAGATCACAGCTAAGTAAGTATTTTTTTCTTACTTCTAAATGCAAACTAAGGATAATATGGTTTTTCTCAAGAAAAGTAAACCTTTTTTTGCCACGTAACAAAACCGCTGTGACCTATGTAACATGATATAGGTTATAGCGTATTCTCATGTCAAATGTCATTGATGGACGTGTGTATATATAATACATTTTCTGTGACAATTTCCCTCAAGGTTCTTATTAGAAATATAAACTATATTGCACAAATAAATTACTACGAATACATAGCTTTTATATATATATAGCGTAGAACTTTTAGTGGTACAATAGTTCTATAACATGTTCCCTTACTGTAGGGTTATGAACTGTGGTCTTGATTATTGCTGCATTTTACAGGGTACGCGCAGCAGTGCCGCTTGGCAGAAAGACGGAGAGTGAGAAGGACAAGTAGAGCAGAAAAGGTGTGAATGAGTGAGAGAGCACTATGTTCTATGATTAGCGCCGGAGTTTCACTGTTTGTTATAATATTTATTATGTACTATTAAATACCTACTTTACGTGTAAAGCTTTATGAGACGAGTCATGCGGAGATTAATATTGTATTTGCTTTTTTTGAAATTTTAAATTAAAATAACTGTCGAACCAAACGTTGTTTTATTGTGCATATTGTTACCTACAAAGTGAAAAAAATACCATACACTTTTTAATTAATATGACACAGAACTCTGAAAATCATAATAATAATTAATTTAATGAGGATCTAGCTCGCTGACGCTATATCCACTTCTAACACGCGAAATTCGTGCCAGTTTTGAAAATTTTCGTATTCTAGTAATAGGAACAAAAAACAAATCCTTGTAATTATATTTTATTGAATCTTATGCGAAATGAAATGTTGAAATTACCAATTATAGCCCAGTCATATTTCAATTAATATACATTGGTGTAAACCATATTGTTGTGACAATCGTAACCGACAATTAAAATTTTTAAACTTTTGCGTTTTAATATTCACAATTTTTAACTATTGGCTGCAACTGACTGTTGAGAGGGTTAACTTCTCACCATTGGTAGGTGACTTCATACAAAAGAGAACTTAAGCGTTTCTTAACTTTGAATGATAACTATTGTTTCGAATTGCGACAAACAGTTACAGATTTGGTTACCTGCTGATTTTGACGGATTTCCGAAAGATTATCGAATGGCTTACAGCTTCTAAAAATTTCTTGCTTTTTTTTTTATTAAACGTAAGGAACAAATTGATTGTTTAGTGATGAACGTGACGCTGAAATATTCGAGGTCAAGTTTATTGTTGTTTAAGACTATTTAAAAATATTTTTTACTGTTAAGGAATAGTGGGAATGGTCTTTAGATCAGTTGCTCTTGACGTTGAGGTTTTACGCGCTTACCTTTCTTTTATCTGTGTTAGATTTTATTGGAGTATCCAAATCCACCCCAAAAGTCACAAGTGCTATTGCTATCTTAGGATATTGAAGGTATAATAAATGAATAAATATAAGGTCATAAAAATTAATTACTAAACTAAATTTGCACCTATCATGAATGTTGTGCATTCCCTATGCAATTTTTACAATGTTTGTTGTAATTTTTTTATACGATCAACCTTTTTTAGTGTCGAACTTAAACGGTGTGCTGCGTTATAACTTTAATTAAATGTAAATTTAATAAATTCGTATTTTTGATTTCCTCCATCTAACATTGGTACAGTAGCTTTTAATGCACGAAGACAAAGTGAAATAATGTCAACTGTCATTTGTGTATATGTCAGAGTAATGACAACTGTCATATATAAAAACCGGAACTCGAACGTCAAAGCGACATGAAAGTAAGTTCATACTTCATAATTAATTTTAAGTCATAAAAATTTTGAGGTTCGGGTATGCAGGTTGTGTTCATTTTTTTTATACACAATGTTATTTCGTGCTCCTTTGACCCTGCCTGGCGTTTAATACATTTTATGTAATCTAGTTTGAGCGAAGAAAAGATTGTTTCTGGCGTAAATAATTTATCAGTTATAACTTATTTAAGCATTGAAACAAGTTGTGGTATATATAATAGTGCAAAGTCGAAGAATTGACCAGTATTATTTCTGCAATTGGACATAAGACCATATCAATGAGTTTGGCAAGGTAAGGATATATTTTTTATAGTATTATGTGTGTTTCAGTCAATAATACTTTCACAACACTTGTTGTAAATTGCACGACAATCGAAGTTTATAAACTTTACATGGGTACTTTAAGTGATTTTTACAGTAATCATGTTTTTTTAAAAGCAATGTAATGGTAATAGGAAAGATTTTAAAATAGAGGGAATTAAAAGTTACTTATAAATCTATTATTATAGTTCTTATCCTTATTAACTAGTGCAAGTAGACATTAAACATAATATTTTCCTTGGTATTAAGGGTATGTGCATGTCAATCTTTAAAAACTACAAGTGCAAAAACTTTTACACTTGTGTACACTTAATACTAATTAGATGACTACTGAAAATGATTGCTCTGCTTCTGTGTGTTCTAACATAACTAATTTAGTTCTGCAATTATCTTTAAGGCATTTGAGGATTTGCAAATTTATTTTCAACCATAATTATTTATTCTAAAGTAATGCAAGCATATCAATAACTTGATACCATGCTTGTATTTTAATGTGTTAACTCATATCTAACAGTTTATTTTTCAAAGTTGCTTAAGTTGAAATAAATATATAAATAGATGAATATATAAAAAATAATATATGGATAGCTGGTGGTTTTTCTAAAGTACAAAGTCTAATAGAATATCATATTTCTGCAACTAAGTCATGACTCTGAACTTTTTTTAATATGTACAATAAATCACTTATAATGTTAGGTCAGCATTTTGCAATAACAGATCTCTTCATATGCTTCCACTTGGTTCTGACTATTGCTCTTTTTCCCATAAGATGTTAACTGTTTCCTTAAACTCATCCCTCATTCTCTTGTCTTCCTCCCCCTCCCATTATTACCAAATGCAGTCCAAAAGTTGGGACCAACAGTTGTCCTTCATACAAATTTCAGCTTTACCATGGCTTTCCATATATTTTTTCCCCATTTCTGTATTTAATTGTTTTTTGCACAATTTAAATTTTAATGCCCCCTATGGCTGAATTCAGTACCCAGTTGGCAAATCCATTGCTTTAGTGGTTTTTTAACTGTAGTTCAAGTTTAGCAATAATTCCAATTCATTTTTATCAAGGATAGGGTCATTAAATAATTAAAGATTTCCAGGGCGTAGGTATTACCCTGGGCCAATTTATCCAGGTTATGTCAAATCATTACTATTCTTATAAATAAGCTTTGCTACATAAATATGTTACTTTATCTAGTACGTAGCTAAAAAAATTGCTGACATTGTGTTAAGCACAAATAGTTAGATTAAAACCTAGGAAATAGTACAAGTCATTATAGATTATCTACTTTTCTGTAGATAAAATCAATCAATTGGTTCTATTACCAATCAGATTAATATACTTAGAAATGTGTTTACCCTATGTCCCCCGTTGGGGAGATTTCACTTTTTGTACAAATGTAAACCCTATTGCAAAGTCTAGAGCACAAAATAAAACATGATAATATCATAAATATTATCTCTTTACAATGTTATTAAAAAGCTTTACTTTAATCCTGTAATCCTATATAAATCCTATTCTATATATATATATATATTTTCTGATATGACAATGTACTAAAGAGCGACTTTGTTTCAAGTGCATTTTTGTTTGTCTGTTGTTTAGCAACTAACAAGCATTTATTTACTCCGCCATCTTTGTAAATAATGAGTAAAAGTCTTGCTTCATGTCTTGTCAACAGTGCTATAAAACTTAAACAAATACTGCTACAACTAAGCTCTTGTCCTGAATTAAACATTGACTAATTGCCCAACATATTTATTTAACCAGCTAAAAACTAATGTTATAAAATGTTATCTGTGATAAGAGTTATTTTACCCTGAGTTTCTAATCTTACTAACTGTGATATGAGATGTGCATTTGTTATCTATATTTTTATTTGGTTTTATCATCCTTAGGTGGCTTCAAACAACACATTTGATACAGGTGCTTTCCAATGTTTGTTTTGACATAAACTTCCTTCAAATTGTGTACCAAGTTAAAGAAGTTATGTATTTTATTGAAGGGTTATAACTTTAACACTAAAATAACTTTGTTTACTAATGCTTTCATTAAATGTGAGCTTGTCAATCACCAGAGCCTAATAAAGATGCCCAACAGATGATGTGCCGTGACTCTTGTAATATTACTATAATTCTAACAGTACTATACATATCCTAATCTCTACTGACAATGCCTTAATTTTAGCCTTGGCTTACTTCATTGAAAGCATATAATAACAATAAAGATCTCTTCTGTTGGCTTTAATTGTTATCATAAGATTCTTAAACAGTTTGGCTTTAGTATTGGAGGAGGAATAACTCCTTGACAATATTTTCTAAATTTATAACGCCTCCATGCTTATGGGTCTGGTCTTATGGGTATTGCACTGTCTCAGTGAGCAGCGGTGAGCACTGAATTGAGCAGTCACGCCACATGATCTTCGTGGGGCCATTGCGGGGCATAGCGTGTTTAGTGTATTTGTGGCATGTCATCAGCTGAAACGGCGGGCAAGGCAGCCCTAGAGGAGGCCAGACTTCACCTCCATCGCTCTATATCACTTGCCGTCGACAGGTATGCCATGCATCTACATACATCCGGTATTTACTGTTTAGTTACCCAAATATATCGCTAGGTGTCGTGACTATGTCGCAATTCGTAGAATATGCTAAGCTTGTGTGTGTAAGTGACGTGTGCTTGGTCATTGTAGCACAGATAAAATCGATAATTTTTGAAGTAAAAGCTTGTTTAGCGGCGTTGTGTAATGGGTGAAAATATTAAACTCATCGTGTATTTTACTTTTATGATGTCGAAATCAAAATGCACAGCATTGATGTTCAAGTTATTACTTCTGGCGGCAGTAGCAGAGGGAAACAAGATTTTTCAGCAATGTCTTGAGGATATGAGGAACTTATAAAAATAAGTATTCATCTTGTACGAAGTACGAATACGAGTAGAACCAGTGACCATATCTGTAGCGAAGCATCCGAGAGTTAAAATGTATAATCTGTCGAAATCATCACGTCTGTATGATCCTGTTAAACCGTAAAAAAATAGCATTAAAAAATTAGCACTAAAATAGGTCGCAGAAATCATCAAATCACATCTTGGTCAATGGTTACGCTCCATTTTTCCTTCTTTCTAAAATGACCAAAAAATATGATGATTGAGGCTGCTAAAGGCAGAGTTGCCTAATAACAAAAAAGAAACATGACTTCTAATAAGGAGGTAAATAAAAATGAACAGTTAACTAAATTAGGCAAAAATGAATTTGTACTTTGTATTTGTGTAAGAATTATGTTAACAATTGTCGGTCACTGTGCTCTTGTAGATTAACATTTTTAGACTGTGAAAATATAAATAAGTCGAGTCATAATTGCTACTGTGCCTCTAATTACCTGAATTGTATTTGTAGAAGAGTACTTTTACTTTTTTTTTTACTTTTTGACAATATGTTAAGACCTATGTCTAGTATTTTAATCAATGGTATTCCTTCCTATACCATAATATTATAGGATATCTCCACAGTCTATCCTGTTCATTATAGTTCTGTTAATAATATTTTCCCGAACAAAATCTTTGTTTCCTCAATGTACTAATTGTGGGAATTCGGTCTAAAGGCATTTATTTGCAAAACTATCGAATTTTCTTAGAAGAATGTTTAAATGTTGTGAGCGAAACCGGTTTTTGTCTGATAATGTGCTCGGTGTTTTGGCTTAGTGTTTATTTGTACTCGTTTGAAGGTGTACCTGAGTTTTGAATATTTTGCCTGGTGCTAACCATCTAAGAATATTTTTCGTAAGTACTGTAATTCTATCTAGTACTAGCTGTGTCAGAGACTTTGTCCGCGTAGAAAAAATATTTTGGGCATTTAAATCTGATTCTTGAAAACCTCACTCTCGTTTTTTAACAAGTTGATCTTAAGAGAGACATTTTTTTAGATAATTTAAAGAGGAATCGTTTTTTTCATTGGTTATCTTGAAGCTTTTTCGTAGCGTACGCAACGGAAACCCACTAGGATAAATAAGTTTCCCCGCTTTTTCTTCGCCCATAAAAGTCGCATCGCGATGTTTTATAGCCTTCCTCGATAAATGTTCAACAAACAAAAACTCTTAGAGCTTCATATATTAGTATAGATTGATGAACAGTTATCAGGTACCTTTTGTAATGCGCTGTTTTAAAGTGACAATCGCGGTAACCTTGAGTTAACGATATATTAATGAATAAAACATACTTATATAAATTGGTCTCCAGCTGTTTTCTTAATTACCAATAACTATTATTAATAAATACGTCATTGCTATACATTTTCTTTTACGCAATGAAAAAATCTCCATGTTTTTTCATTCAAAGGCATTGATAATTCAATTTGATACATAAGAAATTGCAAATCATTATAGATCAATGTCACATTTATTGAATGCCTAGATTGATTCTCGTGTTTTAAACAAAGCAATAGACCTGTCAGAGATAGAACACAATCGGGCCTTTTTCAAACAATAAGGATATCTAATTGTAACAGTCAGCTTAAAATATTTTCGTTCATTATAATTAAATCCTTTTTTACTTTAATTAAGGTTATAAAGACACTGAACATTTACCAAATTTCGTACTGTATTTTCAATATTTAATTTTTATACCTCAAAAGTGTTGTCAGAAGCCAACTTTTAAACGATCCTCAAATATGTTGAGATAAGAGTTAAGTTTTAATCATTAGTTCATATCACTTTGTAGACGAACAATGTCTCGAAAATCGATTGCGTTGGTATTATTTTCTAATAAACAAAACACGAATTAATGTAAGGTTTCCCGTCACAGGTTGAGCGAAGAGAAGGAGCGGCTGGCGTGCGTGGAGGAAACACGTGACAGCAGTACCACCAGTATGTTCACCAGCCGAAGACGAGTCGCCCTCGACTTGCTCCTTGTCTGCTGGGGCCTTGGAACATGGCTCGGTGTCAACGGGCTCTTCGTACAATTACCGCTCTTAGTGGAGCGCCTGCCCGAGGGCTGGTCTTTACCCTCCGCTATGTCAGTGGCTATTCAAAGCGCTAACATTGGCTTACTTATTTATGCTTCATTAAGAAAAGTTACGCGGATAAGCGATACAACTTGTATTTATGGACTGCTAGCTATCGGCACGATAGCTCTATTTCTCAATTCCTTCCTCTTCCCAAAGACCGTGCTCATCGGTGATAAGGAGAAGTCCGTAGCTTTCCTCACCTTGACATTCTTCGTGGCCTTAGTGGGTTGTACGAGTTCTGTACTCTTCTACCCGTACCTGCGACACTATCGCGAGATATACCTCGCCACCTACCTCGTGGGAGAAGGGCTGAGCGGTTTCATCCCTTCCATAATCGCGCTGATTCAAGGTGTGGGTGGGGAGCCGGATTGTGTACCCGCAGGGAACAACACGTTTCAAGCCGTGTTTCCACCTCCTCGTTTTGACAGTACCGTTTTCATAGTCCTGCTGGGAATTTTATCGGCACTAAGCCTGATCAGTTTCTGCATACTGCATAATTATTCTGGATTCTCTTCGGAGAGAGTTAAAGAGGGTGAGGCAGCTAAGGAGGAAGAGGCGTCTCTTCCGCGCGTTTCTCTGTTGAAACCGGAGTGGATCGGGCTGATGGTGCTGATGGCTGTGCTCAATGCACTGTCCAGTGGCGTGATGCCTTCGATACAGTCATTCTCTTGTTTGCCGTACGGTAGACAGGCGTATCACTTGTCAGTAACGTTGGGAGCGATGGCCAACCCCACGGCGTGCCTGGCTGGTGTTTGGCTGAAACCTGTGAGGGGCCGGTGGCTGACCCTCATGCTAACGTTGAGTGCTGTGCTGTTGGCGTACATCTTCGTTACTGCCGTGCAGAGTCCCACTCCGCCGCTCTACACACAGACGAGCGGAGTTATTATTATAGTTAGTACTTTATTCATTTATAAAGTTTTATTAAGATAAAAATAATAACATGCTGTTTGTAATCGTAACGTCGAATCTCTTTGTTTTAAAGTTTGGCTGATAAAACTGATAAACCTGACCTTAATAATCATTAAACGATCTTGTTTCAGGTGGTTAGCTGGGTGGTGTGTAGTGGGTTGGTATCGTACGCGCGCATGTGGGTATTCGCGAGTGCGCGCCGTGGTGGAGCTCGTGGGATGCGCCAGTGCGGTGCTCTATCCCAGCTAGGTTCAGCTTTCGGCTCCATTACACTCTACTGTCTCATTAACTACACTCAGTTCTTCAATCAAGCGCCAGATTGCCCAGCTCGACCTTCTTAACATATATTTTCGTCTGGTACCAGATTAAATGAGACATTTCGACTTAGACATCTTTTGTCGGTTTTCATTATGAAGTACTGTCGGTTACTGATCTAGATCTTTAGATGCGATATAAATGTTATGCTCAAATGAGTACTTATTTAAATACTATTTGACTCGAACACGTAGATATAAGTAGCTAATATAAACGCTGTAAAAATAGGGAAATAAGCAACGTTTTATTAAAAAATATAATAAATAACCAAGTGCGGTGCAGCCTGTTGCGTTGCCTCTGATTTTTATAAGATGTAGAAATTATCCTATAAAAAATCTCGCTTGATAAAATTTAGAAATGTAATTATTCATAACAAATGTAACGCGGGTATACGTTCACATTGCTAAGTCTGAAAGTTTAAATTACCAAATGAAAGCAGCTTAGTTCTCTTTTGATTGACAATTGCTTTGTGGATCTAGTTGTGCTTTCGTCTGTAGATCGTGAGGTCGTCGCTTCCAATCTCGTATCGGGCGAAATGTTACTTTGGAATTTATCTAATAATGGCCCGAAATGGAAGTAATTCCTCTGCCTTCAAAAAAAACCTTAAACCGTCGGTCCCTGGTTATCATTAACTTAGTGACAGTGGCCTAGTTCAGACTACCTTCGATTGACAAATGTAACGCTACTATGAGAGAGATGTGTTCCCAGCTGTCAGTTAAACCGATTTATTTATATTATCTTGAGGAATTCATAATATATCATATAAATCTATGTTTTTGATAATGATCGGGCCTCTACTCGTGCGGTGCAGATTATGTACCTTTGATCACTGATATGACGAAATTGTGATATAAATTTTGTTCAAATTTCTTATTTATTTTGTAACTAGGAGAATGCAACGTCATTAGTTTATGCCCTCTTGCCAGTTACTTAAAATCCACATATTGACAAGTCCACTGCCAAATATCTTAGTTCCTGGAAAGGAGTTCCTTTTTTATGTATAACATTCACGTATGGGTACGTCAAGTGTATCACGGAAGCATCACGGAAAAACATTCTCTTTAAGGAAAATTATTTTATGGAATGAGGGTAGTTTTGCTAACATTGCTTATTTATACCGATAGATTATAATACCTTTTCACATTATATCTGGAAGGGTTGTATTTAAATTGAAGAAGTATTTTATAATTTGAAAAGAACAATGACACTTATGTGAATAATAAGAACGAATTATTATTTGACAAAGGTTAAGTTACTTTTGTCTTGTCATCAATTTTTCATTTCTAAAATATTTTTTGCAACATTTATAATGATAGTTTAAATTTAACATTAATTGAATAGTAGTTAATAATGTCGCTTGTTTCGCATAAAAATCCTGCGAGTGACTGGAACAGTATTATTAGATTAAAATGTTATATATGTATTTGTTTTGTCTTAAAAGATCGTAGTGGGAGGGTTTTATTTTAATCTTCACAAGGATCTAAGAATAAAATCTCACACTACAGTTCTTAAGGAAATATGTAACATTACAGGTTAGTTTTTAATTTAAATACATTATTTTGTATCTACTTAAAATGTTACCAACTTTTACAGAATTTTTGGTTAATTTTATGAAAATTTGTTTGTGAAGTTAAGGGGCAGAGCCCATTGGACCAAGTCTGCAATATTTTTAAGAGGATAAATATGTTATGGTGAAATATATATGTTGTTATATGTATATGCAATATATTAGATGGTTAGCTTATAGCTTCGAAACTTTATAAGGGGCTATTGATGAAATACGTCAGACGAATTACTTTTTGTTCTGGTATCAATAACGACCCCCTAATATGACGTCACCGTTGATTAAATCTACCACTGTGTCACACAGTCATGTCTGTCTCTATCCCTTCTTAAGGTGTGACATACATTATGGAAGGCCCCAGGTAATAATGATTTGAAACATGAATTACACTTAATCCAGGATTAACTAAGACCCAAGCTTATGCGAAATCAATTGATTATGTTAGATAAACTACATAGATCTATTCATTTTTAAGTTTTTAAATCGATAGTTTTAAATATTCCATTTATTTTTTATAATTTCTCATGTACGTAAGTTTATATGTATCAATATCGTTTTTGTTACTATTGTCTGTCTCAATTTTTGTGCAGTAAATTCTCTTTTTATTATGGGGTGTGTTTCTACAAATGTTGAAAAACGCATTGTTGGTATTATGTTCCCTAAACAAAGTTGGAATAATATCCGATGATTATTTTGATTGTGAGAACTTATGTGCTAATATAAAATGATATTTTATTAAAAAAAATAAAGTTATTTTATCTTTACTTTCACTGCAGTCTTAATTCTTGTTTTCTTGTGATAGAAGGGGACAGAAAATATCCTAGCCGTATAATGTAGCCCCGTTCCTCCGTGACCTCAACGGGGCTTCCAGACCCGGAGTGGATCGAACTTAGGACCCCTTAATTATAAGCTACATTACTATCAATTGCCTAACAAACCCGATCATTAATGCAACATGATTTAGTCTAAATATAACATCTATCACACCGACACTATGTGCCTAAAAGCAGACAAATTTTTATTGAATTCCCTTGAATAAAGTAAAACTAGGATTAATTTAATATATAAAATCACTGAATAATACAGTAAAAATGCTGTACTCTCGGATATTGGTTGTGTAAAAGAAATCGAAACGTCGGGCCGTAGTTAAAAAAAAACAAGTTCTCCTTCAAACAAGTTTTACTTAATATATATCGCGTTTTAAACAGTTAAAGTGTTTTATTTAAATGTGTACTACTCGCGTAAACTATAGAAGACAAACTTTTTATATATCTTAAACGTAATAATAATACATACATATTTATTAGTATAGATAGCGAGATACCTTTTCTGAACACGTAAATTAATTCTCAGTACCTAATATCGTAAAATATTTAAACTGCTTGCATTATCTACTTAGATATGGATATTATAGAAGTACTTGACAGAGTCACAGTTTATTATTGTTTATTCAACGATGAAGTTGTTTACGATAAATGCTAAATTGAAGACGGAATAAATATCAATTTAAATCAGTTAAAAATCCATACAACGTTCGTGTTACAGTACTAAATATTTTAGTAGTTATGTGCAAGTAGCAGGTGTGATACGTTCAATCAATGTGACAATCTATAAGGGATTAATATAATATAGCCAAAATACACGAGCGTAAACAATTTTACTTTATCAAACGATAAGTGGCTGGTATATATCAGTTGCTCCAAGTACGTGATCTTTACTATCTGTGTTCCAAATATAAGACACTGTAGTGTTTAACTGACATTAAGTTTCTCCTAAGAAACCTATCACCTCTACATTTGTTACTAAACTGTTCAAGAATATTAATATTAATAACTTGTATTGCCATATGTTACCCTTAGTTCCCATTGACCAGTAATAGTGGAAAGAGGATTATTTTTAATATATCTACTATTATCCTTCATAATGAGTTTGGAACACAGTGATGAATTATCAAATCCGATAAATAGCTATCGATAACGCTGCATCGGATCGGATAAACCGCTCGTCTTAACTATAAAACACTTTAGATTTTGTAACTTCAGTTACACGTTCGATATTAACGACAGTACAGACGTCTCAACGCGTCACTCGGTTATAGTGCGTCAAGGACAATCACGATGATTGTAGCCGGGCGTCGTGTCGATCTGGACTTGGCCTTGATGGTCTGGGGTTGGGGTTCGTGGTTAGGTGTCAACGGTATCTTCGTGCAGTTGCCCCAGTTTGTTCAGAGGCTGCCAGAACAATGGGCTCTGCCCTCCTCTATTACGGTGGCAGTCCAAATCGCAAACAGTGGTCTACTTATCTACGCATTCATCAAGAGGTTTTTGCCAAGAATAACAGATGCTATGTGTATCTATGGTTTACTGGCTATAGGCACAACGGCGCTCTTCCTAAACGCTTTCCTCTACACGGAAACGGCGTACGTCGGCTCGACGGAAAGATCAGTCGTTTTCATCGTCTTAACAATCTTCACGGCCATGGTAGGGACCACAAGTTCCGTTGTCTTCTATCCCTACATGAGAAACTTCCGTGAAATGTATCTGTCCACGTACCTAGTCGGTGAGGGCCTCAGCGGCCTTCTTCCGTCCATTCTCTCACTTATCCAGGGTATTGGAGGTCCCCCGGAATGTGTGCTCTCACCAGACGGAAACTCAATGCAGGCAATATTTCCCCCCGCAAGATTTGATCCCACAGTATTCTTGTGCATAGTTGGATCACTGTGCATTACAAGTTTCATCAGCTTCTTCGTCCTCAATAATTACTCTGGTTTCGATTCAGAGAAAATATCCGCCACAGAAAAGAAAGCACTAACCGAGGAAACAAAGGAAATGCCAGACGAGACAGTAGTAATGAGTTCAACCCCAAAATCCATGTTAGATTCCCATTGGTTAGGTCTGTTTATCCTGATGGCAGTTATTAATGCATTCTTCAATGGATTAATGCCTTCACTGCAAACGTACTCCTGTTTGCCATACGGCCGACAAGCCTTCCACTTGGCAGTGACCCTCGGAACCATAGCAAACCCTGTGGCTTGTCTAGCTGGTGTGTGGATGAAGATGGCGCATGGTCGGTACATCGCGGGAATGCTGGTGATTAGTGCCGGTCTTATAGTCTACATTACGGTCACTGCCGTCATGTCTCCAACACCACCGCTGTACCAGGAGACAAGTGGAGCTGTTATAATTGTAAGTATCCTTTTATTACTCCATATAATAATGTCTGGTAAAAATAATTGTTGGCTATGAGGCCGATCTAGAAATAAACATAAGGGCTACAAAAATTGTTATAGGTTTTTGGAGACACAACAAGGTACCAGAATTCTGCATCGTGTATAAAGGATTGGTGTTGGCGTTATCCAGAATTATTTCTGGAATATGTTAGTTTGAAGCTTTTATGATTGCAGGTAATTGTCTGGGTAGTGGCAAATGGTCTCATCTCTTACTCGCGTATGTGGATCTACAGTAAGGCGCGAGAAGGTGGTATGAAGCCCATGCGCGTGTTGGGAGCAATCGGCCAGGTCGGCTCAGCGCTCGGTTCCTTTACGCTTTTCTGGGTGGTCAACTTCGGCAACTTCTTCCAGCAGGCTGAAGATTGTCCTATGCCAACATTACTTCTTTCTTAACGTGCTGTATATATTTTTTTATGAGAAAGATATTTTCGGGAAGAAATAGCAACGACAAAACCGAGTTAAGCTTTGCAGTTGTTAATTTCTGTATATCATAGCGCGATACAGCGATTTGTTAGATGTAAGTAGTTAAATATTTGTGCCTACTTTATATTGGAAATTTTAAGATCTGTGGTGCTAAATGTTATTTTTTACTACACAAGGGCAAAAATGACAATGAAATCTGTAAATACATATAGATGACTACGGCTACACTAGATGCCTATACGTAAAAAGGTTGTTATTTTTTTTTATAAATGATAGGCTTCAAAACAATACAATTAAAATAGTTAGTCCCAGGTAAACCAATGTTATACACCTATATTAAATGTTTCCGTCAATTTCTAACGAACAGTATTGTAATTTGTACTTGAATTCATATAATACCTACAATTAGTTTTGTAATCAGTTACACTTATAATATAGGTACTCTAGATAAATTGAATCCAATTCCATCTAATAACCTAAAGGTACATACTAGGTAATATTATTTAATAATAAATTACGAATAAAAGAGATTTTTCATAAAACATATTTTATTTAAATTTACGGGAGTTAATCACAGCTATTTTAAATACAGAACTTTTAACGGTTTAAAACGCGGGATATATTAGTATATATGTTTATTTTAACTACAGCCCATAGTTTCGGATGAGCAGACCACAGTTGCTGCTATATTTCGCGTTTTAAACTGTTAAAAGTTTTTCATTAAAATGATTACTACTCGCGTAAACTATAGACAATACTTTTGTATAGTAAATTGTGGCTTGCGAAAAAATCTGAAGGTAATTCAACAATTTGAAGGCCAAATGACGTAATATGACGCGGCAGTGTCGTGTTACGTCGTGCACACTACGAAATATATTTAAAGCTTGGAACCGCAGTCATAGCGGTTTGCTTACGTAAGACAATTTGGAACACAAAACCTTTCGAGTTTGCGTGGCGACTCATCGATGTGAAGATATAAAAAAATTACCACCGTCTAATGAATTATTCACGTTTTCGTGTCATCGTTCGACGTTTATAGTCCAGGGGAAATTAACTATGAACTATATAGGAGTTAACTGCTCGTCTCCATGGCTCAATGGTTAAGACCTGGGTTCAAAACTTGGTCAGACGAAATACTTAGTTCCGGTCGGATTATTAAAATACAGATAAAAAATCGAATCGAGAAGAGAGATGAAGTAAAACGGACACAAAAAAGTGTTTGTTACAAACGTGATTTCATATTTTACAAGTAAAAACTTTGAACGCTAGTGGACTGATCTGACTGATCAACTATGTTAATTTCAAGCGCACAATTGCGCTCATCAAATATAATTAGATACCGATCAAGATGGTTGTTGATTTTACAATCAGTTGTCATTTAATAAGGTAAATTGCTAAACAAACAGCGCACAATTTCCTTATGTCCCGTTAGTAAACTGAATACCGGCTATCTATACTAATATATAAAGCTGGAGAGGTTGTCTGTTTGAACGCGCTAATGTCAGAAACTACTAGTTCGAATTGAAAAATTTTGCGTTGATTAGAGCGTTTATCGAGGAAGGCTATATAAAACACGACTTGCGACTAATAAACAGCGGGAAATATAGAGAAAACGGGGGGTACACTGCGATAACGGTTCACAAAACTGATGATTCCTCTTTAATTGCCCTAAAAAAAGTCCAAGATATATGTTTCTCTTTTAAGATTAACTTGCAAGAACGACGGGGCGCGACCGACGTTGTGGGCAATAGCTTAACTCTATAAAGATGATGGCTTGCAAAAACTAATTTTGATGGCAAAAACTATTCTACGCGGATGAAGTCGCTGACAGAGCTAGTATTAGGATAGAACGACTCAAACGTACGTACAACAGAATATTACTGTTACTTTATCATTTACAGCTGACAGCGTTAGAGGCAACAATGAATTTGCCAAAATGTATATTAGATTATTTCGTAGCGAAACACCTGACGCTTATCACCGCCTTTGTATGCTGGAAACCAGGTACTGGATACGCAAAGTGAAACCGTTAGGTCATTAAACTCTGTAAAAAATTCAAGTTAGATAACACACCTTAATTTAGTAGTGATCTTTCGTTTGTCCGTAGTTTACGTATAAACAATTACCGGTTTAAAACGCGAAATGTATTAGTTAAATTATTTTCGTCTCCCCGTGACCACGGCTGCTGCAAAGTATCCGCATCGTCGGGTCGTAGTTATAGTAATTCGTTAAATAAGTTTTACTAATACATTTCGTCTTAAACCGTTAAAAGTGTTTTATTTAAACAACTAGCAATTGTTACACAGATAAGCAATTGCGAAATTAGTTAACCAATTTACAATTTCTTTTCAACTACCCACACGTCAAAATTGCTTTGCTTGCGATATATTACCCGTTTCAAACCGTTAAAATGTTAAATCTAAAGATTGTATCCTTTACTTTTATTACCTGTATTTATTATTTGTGTGTTTGTTTGCCTTGTATTTTTGTTGTTCAATAAGTTTTTGTTTCCTGTATAATATAATAACAGAAAGATAAACGTTTAAAAAATCAACGCCATCTACACGTTTACTTCCAGAAATTGTATCGAAATTATTAAATGATGCAGCAAATATGGGGATTCGATTAAGAGCTTACACTTCTGTACAGATTGGACCAGAGATGCCCGCTTATAACATTTTCAGAGAAGGAATGGTGTTGGATCTTAACTGTCCTAACGCAAGACTCATTCTTGAAAAGGTTTGTTAGGAAAGTTTTAATGCAAAACGTTAGACAAGCGTACTGCAATATTATAAAGAGATATGTATTTTTCTAATGGATAAACTCAAAAACCCCTGTGCCGATTTCGAAAATTCTTTCACAATTAGAAAGCTACTCACACGCCGAGTAAATAACATAACCTGAAGTCAAAAATTGCTATCATTTTAGATTTATAATTTATATAATGCCGTCAATTGTGCTTTTACATCCATTTCCTGCATTAAAAGAAGTTATCTTTCTACTTTTTGCCCCAGGAAGTTATTGTAATTAAATTTACGTATTCTCTTTGAATTTATTACAAAGTAAATACACACATTCACATTTAAGGTAGTTTACAAATGAAATTAAAATTCTTTAGTAAATATTTGAGACCTACCTACCTTGATAAGCATGCATGTAATTTAACATTAAAAATAGATTCAAAATTAAAAAAATACCGACTGCACTCAATTCCACGATCGTTGCATTTCGAGTCATTATGATAAAGTATTTTAGCTTTGTGATATTTATTTTATCTTTTTGTGTTCCTAATGACAGCATAAAGCAAGCAATTTGTGAATTAGGTCTGTTTTCATACTTTTTGTATTGGTTTAAGTAATGGGTAATCCAGAGTGTTTGCGAAGACTTTAACATCTTTTAACTTAGCAATCTTTATGAAATGAAAACAATAATACTTTAAAATGCTGTATTTGAAATAGAGGTTATATCTATCTATATATACTAATATATAAAGCTGAAGAGTTTGTTTGTTTGAACGCGTTAACTCAGGAACGACTAGTTCGAATTGAAAAATTCCTTTTGTGTTAGTTAGAGCATTTATTGCGAAAGGCTAAATGCTATAAAACATTGCGCGATGACAAAAGCTGTTATATAAGCGAAGACAAAGCGAAGAAACTCCATTGTTGTTCCATTGCGTACGCTGCGAAAACCCTTCAAGGTGCCTAAAACATATCTATAAAAGAATTATTTCTCTTTCAATGATCTAAAAAAAAGTCCACGACAGTATATCTGTTAAGATTAACTTGCAAGAACGTCGGGTCGGGACGTGAGTAACAGCTTTCAATTATAGTTGAACTGGGGGTTTGCGAAAACAAAAATTGACAGCCAATTAACTATTTTACGCGTACATAGTCGCTGACTTAAGAAGTAAGTAAGATAAGTAAGAACATTCATTATTGTAAGTTTAAAGTGTGTCCAAAGTCAAAATAGTTCGACAAGACATCTTGCTTAGATGTCATGTGGCTAGGATATATCACCTATCATCAATGTTTGTCTGTCCTCCTCTACCATTAAAAAAATGTGTGCAAATAACCAATGGGTTGTGAATGAGATACCCAGCGGGTCCAGGAAGTTCTTGTGAATCATTTTCCGTTTTTCAAACATGTTTGACTGTCTGAAAAATCTCCCTCTCCTTTTCGTGATCAGATAAGCTGTTCTGCTATATGAAATGATATGTTGCAGGCCTCTACCAGTCGCGCGTACAATCTCCGCTACTCATGGCTTTTATTCACCAATAATGATACCAATCTAGAAGATATCCTCGCAGACTTGGTGATATTACCAGACGCTGATGTGGTGGTCATTGTCCAAGAGAGGATGTTTGACGTATATAGGGTGAAAATTGGTGAACCATTGACGCTGCATGATTTCGGAATTGGAAGAAGAAGATTAAAGGACTTTTTGATTTCCATGCCAACCACTGTAACCAGGAGAAAGAATTTAATGAACGTGTATCTTAAGGCGGCCACCATAGTAACTTATTCATATCTTAACTTACTTACAAGCAATTGCTTAGCCAAATATTCAGTGTAAGATGCAAATTTAAATAAAACATCTTAACCGTTTAAAACGCGATATACTGGTCACGAGGAGACGGCTGGTGCAAAGCATCCGAAACGTCGCGTCGGGCCGTAGTTAAAATAGTTTTCAAATAAATTTAACTAATATATATCGCATTTTAAACCGTTAAAGAGTTTTATTTAAATATGTACTATTCGCGTAAAGTACAGACATTATTTAAAAACAAAAAAAATTGCAGGTCAGTCAACCACAATTCTTCAAAGGATGGTCAGATCTCCGAGATCGCCAAATTGACACCTTTCCTAAGCTGACTTATCCCCTGATGATGCTTTTGGCTGAAGACCTGAATTTTAGGTACAGTAACATTGTGCAAAAGGTTGACACGGTAGCTCAAATGGTTAGACTAACATGATGCAACGCTGTGGATTCCGCTTCAAACTAATTCCTAATAAACAAAATCGATCACTGTAACAGTGGAGAAAAGGCTATTTAACCTTTTATCGAGTGATAAATAATTAACAACATTACCAACAAGTCCAATTTAAATAGTTCTAGGCATTTTTATATTTTGAAATACGATGACCATGCTTAGTGTAATGTTCTCGAGTGTAATAATGTTTAAATCAGGTATAACATGAAACAAATCGATTTGTACGGCGAAGAGCACAACGGCTCGTTCAATGGCTTAGCTGGGATCTTACAACGCGAGGAAGTGGAGGTCGGAGTAGCCTCCATGTTTCTTAGGAAGGATCGCTGGCGAGTCCTGCACTACTGCTCGGAAACTGTCGAGCTTGTGTAAGTTTAGTTTTTTAGAAGCGAATCGTTAAGGCTGCTTAAATATTGCGCTAAGTGCAAGTTGCACGTGAGGGCCGTCCTAGGTTCGAATCCTGACACAGAAGCCTAATCAACTTCGTGAATCAGAAACGTGTCTGCAACATGCCTCATTTATAGGGGAAATAGGAATTCAATAATGGATTGCTAATAGATAACCTCAAACAAACCGTTTTAATTCTTTGAAATGTAACTAGATGGCGCCTTTACCAATCGCTGTTATGTTCAAATACAATTTTTAATAGATTGGTATAATTTTATATATGATGATTTCTTTATTACCTACAACGCTATTGATCCATCATATAACAAAACAGCGCTTAATTATTACGGTGTCATTCCATTAATTCATTATATTTTTGTATCCCTCACTTTTTATATTTATCCAAGGAAAAAAGAATAATTTAAACATTTTCTCTTTAATAATTTCGGGCGGTGTTAAAAGAAAATTATAATAAAAGAGCATTTAATAATATAGTTCGCCTTAAAACATGTTTTTCCTAAATATATCAGTGCGAGTACAATATTATCTTGGGCATGTTAAAGATAAACGTGCCTGAATGTTACAGCTGCAAAAGACCACCTCCTTTTGCCAGAACGAACTTAATGGAAAAAGCACAATGGACGAGGACTGTCGAGGTCGTAAATTTATTACGCGAAAAACAGATAGTTTTTACAGTCCTTGGGGTGAACTCACAAATCCATTAATGTTTATTTTGAGTTCTATTATATTAATATTGTTTTGTTTTTTTTTTCTAATTTCTGTCGCATTGGATTCCGTCTGTTAAGACAGTGCATATATGGAAATATTAAATAAATATATAAATTATGTATTTTTTTTTTCATATGTTCTTTTCCGTTGGGTTGCCTGAACGATATCGCTTATTTAATTTTAATTTCTTCCGTTTGTCTCTATGTTTTGTGTCAATCTTTGTTACTACTTATATAAACTTGTCTCTTGCTCTTACCTCAATTAAAGAAGTAACCAATGCTTTGATTTTGTTTTAAGGGGTGCGTTTATGTTCCGTCAGCCAGCACAGTCAGCTGTTTCCAACGTTTTCCTTCTGCCGTTCAGCAGAGGCGTCTGGGCTGCCGCTGGTGCCGTATTCTTAGGCGCTGGTTTGTTACTAGCCACGCTGGGTTTTATCGTGCGATACCGAGCTCTCCCTGATGATTGTGGACCGCGCCTCACCCTCGGGGAAACCATCACCTTTGCAATTGGTGCCGTATGTCAACAAGGTAAGTTTTGACGATGTAAAAAATATACAGTTTCTTAACGTTTGAAAACTTTAATATTTTCTATATGCACATGATGGCACTATGAATTAAAAATCGAAAAAAAAAGCAATTACGAGACGGGCAGGACCTGATCAGGCATCCATAGTTGTTGCTCTAACCAATTGACCGTTGTCTACCGTCTCCTCCGCGTCATCATCGTAATTTTCTCATAATCGAAAATTGAATTTTTAATTTATATGCTATCATTTGCAATGTATTAAAGTTTTCAAAATTATTGTAAATTTCATCTTATTTTTGTCATAGTATTTAACATAGAACAACTATAACCATTTAAATAAAACACTTTAACGGTTTAAAACGCGATATATTAGTTAAACTTATTTGAAAATGATTTTTAACTTCGGCCCGATGTTTCGGATGCTTGCCGTGGTCACGGAGAGACGCGTCGTCGGGCCGAAGTTAAAAATCATTTTCAAATAAGTTCTGTGCTGTGGCTCTGAACGCTGACGATGCCGGTTCAAGTCCTGCCCGAGTCGAAATTTTATTCAATATATTTTCGATTTTTAAAAGATACCTATAGTGCCTTCATGTTTAATATCAATCGTTAACATGAACCATTTTGTCCAGGTTCGGACTTGGCTCCCCAGATCATGTCTGCCCGGATCCTCATGCTCTTCACCTTATTATCATCAGTATTTGCATTCACCTCCTATTCAGCTAAAATTGTTTCCATTCTGCAAGCGCCCAGCAACGCAATACAGACTATAGATGATCTTAGTCGATCCCCCATGGCTATGGGTGTCCAAGAAACCACTTACAAAAAAGTCTACTTCGCGGTAAGTATACAATAAAATAAAAAGTCCTTTATAAAAAAACTTTGGCAAGCTCGTTGGTGTAGTGGTAGCAATGGCTAATATTCAACGCGTCCTGGGTTCGTTCCCCACCGGGTCCGACATTTTTCTAATCAAGCAATATTTTTTCTGAAACGTGTTGGGCTTCGTGTGGAAATCTGGAAAAATCAAAATTCCGATCTACATTTATACGATAAAAAGGCGGAAAGTTTAATAGCGAATAAAGCAAAGAAAATGTATAATCGCGAAAATTTTTAATTTTATTAACTACGGCCTGACGAGACCACGGCCGCTGCGAAGTTTTGGAAACGTTGGGCCGTTGAATTAAATGAAAAATAACTTATTTATTTCGCGTTTTAAGCTGTTAAAAATGTTTCTTTTCTTAATGATAGAGGAGGACAGATAAGTTTTGCTTGATGGCAGGCGAAATACGCCAGACATATAACAATTTTAACAAGACCTGACGTCAAAGTAAAAAATTGCTACGCTAGCGCTATCTGTTCCGTCGAAGTTGGTATTTGGCGAAACTGGCCGGGTCCTTACAGAATTGACTAACGGTGTCTTCGCGTTTGCTGGTATGCTGTTTATTGGGATCCAGAGTTTTTAATATGGGATCCCAGGTGTTTGATAGTTTGAGGCCGTCCTCCTTTGGAAATTTCGGTGTTTTTTGATTTCAATTGCTTCGCGTACCAATCTTGGAAAAAATCGACTCTCCTTTGCGAGGATTTTTGGTTGGTCAAAGCGAATGTAGTGATTGGGCCCTTCCAACACTCAACAGGACGTCAGAGACATCCTCCATCTTTAGTCTCCCCGTGACCACGGCTGCTGCAAAGCATCCGAAACGTCGGGCCGAAGTTAAAAATCATTTTCAAATAAGTTTAACTAATATATCGCGTTTTAAACCGTTAAAGTGTTTTATTTAAATGGGAGCTTTTATTTAGTATTTCTTTTGCATTTAATATAAATTTAGTTTTAGTCAACATCCTTTGCTATGAGAGTTTAAAAAGGTCCTCTTTATTGGAAATCTATTTGAAGCCGTGGAAATAACGTATTTTACGCTACCTAATTTTGGTGACATAAGCTTTGATGTGTTTTACTTAACTTACTTCTATACCTACCTCTTACTTAAAACGAGGCTAACTAGGAAAGCACCGAACCAGCCACTCAGCGTTTGTACAAACGAAAGTTGCAACCCTTGGGTGAAGGCGCCTATCTTAGTGTTGTGGATGGAATAGCACGCATGCGCACTGGCCTATTTGCTTTTCAGGTATTTATTTTTTAAATATAATCGAATTTAAATTTTTGTGAAGGCAACTAACATAAAAATACCTTCTGTTAATATATTTAATGCACTTAGTTTTCATACATTTCGCGTTTTAATCCGTTTAATATATAGACCCAATGTTTAAAATATAATACCACGTCGGCGATTGGTCCATACCAAATTAATTGTGATCTTTTTAAAGGTCGAACAGAACTCTGGCTACGATGTAATCAGTCGGACCTTTACGGAACGTGAGAAATGTGGGCTGAAAGAGATCCAGGCGTTTAAGTTGCCCATGGTAGCTGTTCCTATAAGAAAACATTCTGGATACAGAGATCTCTTTGCTGTACGGTATGTAAATAAGAGTAATGAGTTGACTAGGTATGAAATATAGATTGTACCCAACGAATTTTTTTTGCTACCGTAATTTTTGTATTTCAATAAACATTGTAAACTATTTTTAACTTTGGCCCGTGTTTCGGATGCTTTGCAGCAGCCGTGGTCACGGTGATTACGGTCAGTTTCGCCAAATAGTAACTTCGACGGAACAGATGGCGCTAGCGTAGCAATTTTTACTTTGACGTCAGAGACATCCTTCATCTTTAGTATCGCGTTTTAAACCGTTAAAGTGTTTTATTTAAATGTGTACCACGTACGTAAACTATAGACAGTGTTTAATACAAAATATTTCATATAGGTTGCGATGGCAGAGGGAGACTGGTTTGATGGATCGCACCCGACGCGTGTGGGTTGCCAGGCGTCCACGATGTGAAGCTGATAGCGGTGGATTCGTCAGCGTTGGACTGACTGACGTGCTCCCGGCGCTTTACATATTGCTAGCTGGTGCCGCCGTAGCAGTCATTTTGTTAATTCTCGAGATACTTGCTAAAGCTTCGCGCAGTTTTCAAAGACACCAAATAATACACTTTTAACGGTTTACCACTGGCATCAGTTTACTTATATTCAGTCCCTACAAAGCATCCGAGATGTCGGGTCGTAGATAAAATAATTTTCAAATAAATATAACCAACAACATCAACACATTGATTAAATTAGTTTACTTATTTTCAACTGTTTCTAAATCTTTGTTACAGTCGTGATGCTAAGATGATATTAAATATAAGAGAGCCCTAAAGTCAGTCTTTCTTTGACTAGGATTTTTGGATAATCAAAGCAAATATTGAGATTAGCCCATTTGGACGAGTGTTGGCATACTATTGATTTCGAGAGAGACGAGAATGTTCAATGATCGCGATGTGTTCGGTAAACCTATGCTCATATCAATTACGACGAAACAGATGGCGCTTAATCACAATAATCATCATCATCACACAATGTTTAGTTCACACTGCATTGCACGGCTGCTTTTTGAACGTTTTCAATCATCTTTGTTGTTATATACCTATTTGATAACCTTAATATAAAGGCCATTTATGAATAAGTACTATCAGTGTGTTTACATTTTATTCTAAGATTCTAGTTTGAGTAATACACACATAATAAATCGAAATACCTAGTGCTAACATATTCGCTACGTTGTTAACTGTAGAGGTTTAAAAAATAACAGATACAAAATGGTAGTAAATTCTTCACTCATTGGATTTTTACTTAAAATGCGGCTATAGTGTTTGTAGACACAGTCACATCTCCTATTAATGTAGTAAATAAATTGACTAGTATAATAGATACTATCTGTAGTTTACATTTAAAGAAAACACTTTGACGGTTTAAAACGCGATATATTTTAGTTAAACTTGTTTAAAAATTATTTTTAACTACGGTTCAACGTTTCGGATGCTTTGCAGCAGCCGCAGCGTAGCCGTGTACCCGTGACCACGGCTGACGCAAACGTCGGGCCGCAGTTAAAAATAATTTTCAAAGAAGTTTAACTACAATATATCGCGTTTTAAACCGACTAGTATAATAGATCAAAATATTGCAATATTATTTGTAATTATCATTTCTAAATTAAAATCTATTAAAGTTTTATTTATTATTATTTCTATTGTTTAATTGCAATATACAGTTACTTACACTGTTATTTAAGAATTGTGGGAATATGAAAAAAATACAAATTCACTTGACTAAATTGATATTTGTTTATTACAGCAGAAATTTTCTTTAATCACACAGAATTGTTAAAACAACACATTATATTATGTTAAACAAACCTAATCAGTAATGATGTAATTAAAGGTAGATACAAACTACGACAGTAAGTGTGAAGAGTAGCAACGCGAGCAGCAAGTAGTCGAGAAGTTTAGCAGCCGCTGCCCACGCGCTGCATTCTGCTTGAGAACCCTACAGTCAAAGAACATAGTATTAGCATTATACATATATTTTTTTAAATATGCAATGCATATGAACTTGCAAGGTTCACGTTTAAGGGTGTCAGCACACATATGGGATCGGAAAGGGATCGTAACCGTAACGCCTTTCGCCTCGCTGTCAACCAGGCGTCAACCTACCGTACGCACGTAACGAAAGCGTATCAGCAGCGCCTGTACGTCAACTCGGCTACGGCTAGGCGACACCGCGCTTACGCCTCGTCGCCCGAAAGATATTGGGTACACAATATGAATAAAGCAAGGAGGACGCAAGCGCGGGGACGGAGAGACGTAAGCGCGGGGACGATGAGCCGTAAGCGCGGGGACGATGAGCCGTAAGCGCGCGGACGATGAGCCGTAAGCGCGGGAATTGCAAGTTCGGAGCCTGTTCCGAGGCGAGGCGATTACGTTACGATTCCGATTAGTGTGCGTTGCAGTAGGGAGTTTAATACAAACCATTCTGAACGGCTCGAGGCGTTACGGTTACGATCCCTTTCCGATCCCATATGTGTGCTGAGACCTTAAAGTTTATAATCAACGGGTCGTGGCTTCGATCCCCTTGGGTGCAACATGTTTCTAATTACAATATATAGTTTTATACACAACTACTTTAAAAATAATACTATTTTAACAAATAATCAATTTGGATTCCTACCTAAAGAAGCACCACACAACTTCACTCGTTCTTTACAGATTTCATAGTCTTCGTATTGTTTATTGATTACAGTAAAGCTTTTGACACCCTCAGACACGACGTTGTTATAAAAAAAACTTAAGTAATTTTAGAATAAAAGGCAATCTACTCAATTCGTGCAAAGACTACCTACAAAATCGAACATACAAGATAGCAACCCAGTAATAGTGTCAAAAGGCACAGTACAAGGATCTGTAATCGGACCTTTGCACTTTCTCGCGTATGTAAACACCTTACCTAATTCCGTCAAACATTGTAAGATATATCAATTTGCCTATCTGCTGGACACAGCGTAGAGAACGCGGAGGAAAAAGTACAAATAGATTTTTAAGTCCCTATTAAAATGCTCTATTGATATAGGATTAACTCTAAATAAAGATAAAACAAAGCAGATGCACATCAGAACGAGTCATAACAAAGCAGTATCTACACCGAAAATATTAGCTCACAGCCAGTCGTGTCTACACAGAAACCCTACTGGCACAAACTGTAAATGTCAATCATTAGAATTAGTCCAAACTTGTGCATATTGGATTAACAAAAGATGAAAGACTGAACTGGAAAGCCCACATTAATAGTGTTTGTGACAAACTAAGATCATATTTAGCTAAATTTACAATAATTAACCACAAAACATAATATAAAACATTCTTACTTTTATATAAAGTGCTGGCCGAATCTATAATAACGTACGGTCTGACTATCTATGGAAGAACATGCAAATCTAATCTCGACCGTATCTTCTCGTAACAACTTCGAATATTAAAAAAAAATGTTCCAAGCAATCTGAGACGTAAACACGACAAGGATTATCGCGGATTCTTTGGAATGTGCAGTCATACCAATTCACGAAAACACTGAACTGAAGCTTTGAATGGAAAATTATTTCACCGACGTATCTATATCTATACTAATATATAAAAGAGTTTGTTTGTTTGAACGCGCTAATCTCAGGAACTACGATGCGAATTAAAAAAAATATGTTTGTGTTGGTTAGAGCAATTATCGAGGAAGGCTATAAAACATCGCCCTGTGGCTAATAGGAGCGAAGATACAGCTAGAAATGTGAAAATGATTGGGAAGTTTATCATTATGGGTTTCTGAAGGAGACGCTGCAAAAACGGTTTAAGATACCCAAAAAATATATATGAAAATATAATTCCTCTTTAAATGATCTAAAAAAAGTCCACTACGCTATATGTCTATCTTTTAAAACTTACAGGATACAATAAAGATCAACTTGCAAGAACGATGGGACGGGATGCGACCGATGTCATGGGTAACAGCTTGATTTTTTAAAGATTAGGGTTTGCAAAACCTGCGATTTGCGATTCACGCGGACGTAGCTCGCTAAGACAACTAGTATTTAAAATTTAAATCAAGTTTTATGAGATAGTTACCTCAGGAGGTGTAAGTTTAATAATATTAGAAGCGGCTGTAACTAACGAACGTAGAACTTGCGGCGGTGGTTCAGTGCAGCGCGCTACACGAATCACCATTGCTGAGCAGGCAGCGGCGACGCCTGCGCACACGCAAGTGGTGCTCAACAAGGACATTGCTCTGGGCACTGACGACGCGCCGGGGATCCGAACTAACGCTGATATCAACCTGAAACAAAGAGAGAATAGACAAATCCCGTTCCCGTCTTGGTGGTAGATGTTATTTATAGGCAAAAAGGTCTTGCCTGATTAAAACACTTAATGTATCCACTTCACAGCTTGTATGGTACGGTAGCTTTATTGGATACAGCAGCATTGTGGAACGCTGTGGATGCCGGTTCAAGTCCTGTCCGTACCGTAAACTTTAATCTAAAATCTTAACTTGTATGGATTCTGTGCGCGATGGTTTGTTACATGAAATTTTTAAACTCTTTCCGCCGTTATTATATAACCAGCCTTTCGAAGACAATTGAATATATTTTTAAAATATCATAAAATTTAAATAGGTTTTAACGGTTTAAAAAGCTAAATGTATTAGTTAAATTCTCCCAGCGACCACGACTGCCGCAAAGCGTTCGAAATGACGGGCCGTAGCTAATATAATTTATAAATAAGTTAAATTTTTCATTTCGTGTTTAAAACCGTTTAAAGTTTGAAAACTTTAATATTTTTTACATGTTGTTGCACATGAAGGCACAATATAATTTAAAAATCGAAAATATATTTTTTTTAAATCCATTTTTTTTTTGCAACCGCACGGTGACGATGCCGGTTCAAGTCCTGCCCGAATCGATTTTTTTTTTCAATTTATTTTCGATTTTTAAATTATACCGTTTAAATTATTTTATTTAAATACTACGGACAATATCTAATATTGTAAATAGATTTTACATCGCTTTTGTATTGAACACGCGAGCCCTACTAATACTAATTGAAGAAAGAGAGTTGCAGTAATTTGATGCTGCCAGGTTTATTTGCTTATAAACGAATAAGGGAAAAAATAATTATTATTATCAGTATTTTTTTTACAAACTCTTCATTCCTTTTATATAAGTACCGCCTGATATTACTGAACTCAGTGATGAATAAGAAATTACCACAATGAAGCAGTAGTAGCGGAGGCTGCACACAAAGGCAGTCTAGTGGCAGGTGGAAGGAATGTAGCAGCAATCAACAGCAGGACACTAGCAGTAAAAACAGTAGTAGCAGCTAGCGCGTGCGCCGCTGCACGTCTCTGCAGCGTCACGGACCAGGTCACTACTCGTCTTTCAACGCCACTTCCATCCCACGATGCTTCTGTGCCCCTTACTCGTAGCAGTTCCCACGCGCCAGACTCAAACACCGTCGCATGCTGAAAAACCAACATTTACTAATTGATATTGAATTTCGTAAAGTCGGGAGTTCAATCCTCGATATATACCTGTAGATCGCTTATCTGCAACTGCATTTCATCTGTGGAATGAGATCGTGATCCGAACTTAAAGAACACAACTTGTTGGTCACGAGGCCAGTTCGTTAATTGGAGAGTGATAGGCGATGATATATCCAGACGCAAAATCCAGGAGATACGGCCGTCATTGGAGAGCCTAGCACGCAGATTGTTATCGTCTTCGCTCTCCAAAGTGCCCACGCTAAGGATTCCAACATCAGGCAGCCAGAGACGATCTGCAGAGGCGAGGGAACTGTCGCAACCCCACTCTGTTGCGTTCCAGGATATGCGCTTGTCTTCCCAGCTCTGGAAGATACAAAAACCCACACATATAGATTGTTACCATTGAAACGAGCCTGGCAATATAATTAATGATTTTCATAAAACTTTTAACGGTTTGAAACGCGAAATTGTATATTAGTGTCACTATTATTTTATTATATAGCAGGATAGACAAGCTTGGCGTTAACTCGATGGTAGGTGAAATATCCTAGCCTTAATAATATCTAAACATGATGCGCTAATAGGTCTAATTTTGGAGATTTTCGGAAATCTACAGACTGAAAACTTCACGGCCTTTTTTATCTGTTGACGGTGGATCTTTTTACTTTCTTACTTTCGATTTAGTTAAAATGAATATAAAATAAGTTTAACTCATATATTTTGTTTAAAATCCTTAAGAGGTTAAACTACAGACAATACTTAACTTTAAAATTTTGAAGTCGTATCAACTTACCAAGTGTAAATCTGCAAGCAAGCGGACTGTGGCAGTTCTTTCGTAGACTGCTGCATGTCGCACGTCCAATGCCGCTTTTATTTGAACAGGTGTAGCTGGCATTATTTCACGGTCGTACTCCGCAAGCAATGTATCTAGTTGGGTCGCGAACGACGACATATTTGTACAGGCGCATTTCGTAATCCTGCATCCTACAGAAAATAAATAGTTTTTAGCTTAATAAAAAAAATATATATTATTTTCCCAACACACTATAATGATATTAATATTTATAATTCTGGTGCATTACCAAATGATGATATAATCGCAATAAACAGAACGAGTTGCCCGGACGCCATTTTGTATGTACTAAAATCATTTTTTCTCGCGGGTTATAGATATTCTCAACCATTGGTACAATTAATTTATTATTAAAATAACTGAAAAATGATTACCTTTTAGTTCGAACTTGTTGGTAGTTATACTTTAACAAAGAAATAAAAACAAAAAAAAGGATAAAGCTTTGCAATTGTTAAAATACTTACTGTAAATATTTCTTCTAATAGTGACCTATTTGTGGTAAAATATTAACAATCTTATTGATAATCTAGGTATTTACATTGAAAAAATTAACGACTCGGGTGGGACTTGAAAATTCATCCACGCACAGAGAAACAGCACGGAACGCTGTGGATACAGATTCAAATCCCGACTGTGTCGTCCATTTCTTTAAAACTAAATAGATGTTTTAATTTTTATATTGTCATCATATGTCATACATGTGAAAAATATTTAAGTTTGCTTATTGGTTTTTGAGAGAGCAAAAAACAAAACAATTTTCTACAGTTAAAAGTTGCGCTCCCCTTATTAGTAGCGAAGCGTAGGCGCATTATCGGCCTATGTATCCGGCGCCACAAGGACATAAAATTCCAGTTTCAAACACTTCCCATTGACAGCATCTATTTGTATATGACACTAGCGTATAAAACACTTTTAACGGTTAAAACCCGAAATATTTAAGTCATTCTATTTTAAATTAAATTCCATCCGGGTTACGAACCACTGTCTACAGATTAAAGGCCGTGAAGTTTAATATATATGTATACCTATTTCACCTTTTATCAAGTGATTTTATTTTTTATTTTATTTTAATATGGACAAAAAAGAATAAAAAAACTAAGCGCGAAAGGTCCTGGGTTCGGATCCCAGGGAAACAAAAAACTGTTTCGTTCTGGCAGGGCACTGAAGTCTGATCAACTACTTGCCTGTTAAAAAGGACGGATCATTGAAACGGACACATAAATATGTTCGCCCCATGCCCCACAATGGGGAAACGGGATTTCACTTTATGCACATCAATAGGTTCAAACAACAGCACAAAGCGTTGGAGATGCGGGTTCAATTCTTGCCGCTTTGTTGTTTTTCGATGTTTAATCGATTTTTTATTTAAAAAGAGTAAAATAAAAAAAATGGATCAAGGAACTTTATTAGGGTGTAAAATACAATTAATTTAATCAAACTTAAATATAACAGTACTTAGACAGCAACAGTAATACTTAAAAATAATGTAATTACTATACAACAAAACAAACACGAGTAAACTAGAAAAATAATAGACAACGTTACGTTCTTAATAACTAAGGTGAATTTTAAGGACGAGATTCGAATCCAGGAACATAACATAGTTTCGGTATACAATTGGCACAAAGGTTGTCCTTATATAATTTACAAATCGAAAATAATTAAAAAAAAAAAAAATTTTTTTTCGTCTCGCACAGGACTTGAACTTCCGTGCTCAATTGGTAGAGCAACAGCACGGAACGCTGATGATGCCGGTTCAAGTCCTGCCCGAGTCGAAAAAAAAAATTTTTTTTTTCAATTTATTTTCGATTTTTAAATTATATGGTGCCTTCCTGTGCAAGGTGGACAACCTTTGAAAACATTAATATTTTTCACACGTAATTTGTAAAATCCGCGAAACTGGCACACCAATTCTGCCCCATGTCCCAAATTAAGGAAAGAGGATTTAACATGAGGTGAGTTATTTAAGCAATAAAAGAAAATACAGATACCACGGAGGAGTCGATCATTGCTACGATATAAATCGATATCTAATAATCGATGATCGATAACCGATGATTAAGTTTATTAATCATTATCCCAGGAAATTATCAACTCTAATCAAAATATTTTTCCCTGCAATATTTTCGTTACTTCAGAGCTCACTCATTTCTATGTTTATTTCACTATTCGTCGTGGAACAATTGTTATTTGTTTAAATAAAACATTTTTAATGGTTCAAAACCTGAATTGTTATGTATTGGTTAAACTTATTTACAAAGTTATTTTACGACCCGACGTTTCAAATACTTTGCAGTAACAGCTACTAGGTCACGGGAATACGTAAATAAGTAATAACTAATACATTTCGCGATTTAAACTGTAACAAGTGTTTTAAATGTGTACTACTCTCGTAATTTGCAAACAGTATTTTATTCTTTTGTGTCTACCTTAATACCTACGGAAGTGTTAAGGTTAAAATTGGTTGGAGAAATTCGACGATGATGTGTAAGAAACGGTAGCTCAATGGTTAGAGCAACAAATGCTGGATGCCAGTTCAAACCCGTTCGTATCGTAAAATTTGTAACATGTGAAAAATAATGTTATTTGACTTGTACATAGAATTAAAAGAAACCTCAAATAATAACAATCTTAAATGTATCTTCGTTAATTTATCTTAGTTAGGATTTGTATTCTGAGGAAGGTATGGCCAGTAGGGTGGTGCATCTGTCTGAGCCTGGCAGGCGGCCGCTAGACCTGCCCAGCAGAACTTGTACGCGTATCTCTTGCCGTGGACCTGGGAAAAGCAGGACATGATGTAGAGCTTCTGGGTAAGAGAGCTACTGGGCTTAATAGAGAAATGGTTCTCGACATTTCACTATCACGTTTCATTCACTCGTACTTGATTCCCCGACTAAGGGACGTCTTTTCTTAGCTTTTTACAATAATTGCTAAGTGATAATGATTTTAAATAAGGTAATAAACATATATTATATAAAGCTTATAATTATTATATCTATACTGTCTACAAACTAAAAAAATAAAAAGATGAAAAGTTTGTTTGCATTTACATTTTTTATATTTATGTATGGCAAAATGATGTTTGCCAGGTCATCATAGCATAGTATTGTATACAATAGAATTTTTATATTTGGTTTTCTCTGCCTTGAATTGAATGATGAATAATTCTTTCATATTTTTTGGGTATCTTAAAACCCACAAGGATTATATATTTTCTCCATGTTTTTCACATTTCCTGCTTTTTCTTTGCTCCTGTTAGTCGTTTTGTTGATTTATAGCCTTCCTCGATAAATTCACTAACCAACACAGAAATAATGATTCTATTCGACCTAGTAGTTCCCGAGATTATCGTGTTCAAACAAACTCTTCAGATTTATATATAAGTATAGATAGATGAATAGTAGCTAATAGTATTCAATCCAAAAGTCTTCTTACCTTTCCCATGATATTCTTATCGTAATAGTACCGCAGAGCTCGGGACAACTTATCGTAGTTCATGTTGGGCTTTTGCTTCCGTCGGCCCCAGCGTCGGGCCACCTCCTCAGGGTCTGATAGACGGAACTCACCCTCGTTGGGAGGACCCTGGTCATAGTAATTGAATTACAACCGTTAGGTAACTTGTTGTCTTTTTAATACCACATTTTACAAGTGTTGATGTGACTTCTGTGCCCAGCTTGACCGAAATATCTAAATAAATATCACTGGGATTCGAATCCAGCAGCTTAATTACATTAAGCCATAGATATTGTTATATTCTTTTGTAAGTACTTTCATTACAATTAATTAATAATTTTGTTTCAACCGAAATGAACTGTTTAACGATCATAGATCTCGACTAGATTATTTGAGATTCATAAGATTATAAATACCTACTACTACTCCTTACTACTAAATTGAAAGTAAAACTAATACATTTAGTTAAAAATAAGCTATACTGAAATAACCATCTTTTTAATCAATTTATAATTGCCTGAAACACGATAAGACAAGCATGTCGTTCGTCAAGTGAACCACACGAACCACAAAAGAAATATATTTTACCCACCTCCCAACATATACCAGGCGCTCCAGCTGCCAGTTCTTCAAGTAGAAATTGCCACAACTGCACTTGACCACCGCTGGTACGGCCACTTATCGCAGTGTACGGATCTGTACGACAAAATAGTCAAATTACAGTTTAGTCGCCTTGCTGGGCTTTCCCCAGGTTCACCGGCGGTGCTTGACCGCGAAACGCGAAGGTATAACTGCACCATAGGCTTTGTATTTACGAGGTGGCCTTGATACCCCTCGCAGAGCCCACCAGGGCTGATTAAGGAAACCCGACAATAAGAAACGTTTCAAAACTTTTTTTATTTTATACATGTTATTGCACATGAAGGCACTATATAATTAAAAAATCTAAAATAAATTGAAAAAATTTTCGACTCGGGCAGCACTTGAACCGGCATCGTCAGCGTTCCGTGCTGTTGCTCTACCAATTGAGCTACCACGTCATAAGCAACGATATAAGACTAGTAGTAGATATAGAAGTCCATTCAGGCGAACACATATGGATACAAATATGTGTTTAATGGAACATTTAATTTAATTTATTTACAGATAACAATTTACACGCGTCACCATAAGTTTTTATTTTCCTTCCATATTCGAATCTAAGCCTCTCGCACAAGCGCCTAACTATTGCATTTATACATATTATAAACTTAAGTGTACATAAAAAGCCATGAACATAATACAAATCAACTAAGCATTTTAGTTAGGCTCATCGTTTAATTGTAATTTTCTATTATTATAAATTATTTTGGTTAATTATTCTAAAAAATATATATATTGTACAGGATGTCGATTTAAAAGCGAATGTTTTCTTATTAGAACGTGTGCTAATCTATGTATCATTATAATTATTATAAAGATGGCCTTTACGCAATTTTACTATTATAATACTTAAACGGTGTTATCATTTTTTTTTATTGGCGACATCGATATCGGGTGATCAGTCCATATTGTCTACTAACCATTTAATCCAATTTCCCAGTCAATGGTCTTACCATTATAGAGTTGTTGTAAGCGACGGTGTTCACTCGCACTTAGCCACAGCATCACATTTTAAACACGTCACTTAAAAAAGGCAAATTGTCCCAGAAAAATTATTTTAAGTTTATATAAAAAGACTTTAATTTTTTTTATCTATTTAAATTATAATAAGATATTATTAACTGAAGAAAACAAAAGTATACGCAAGTAAACAGTTAGGATTTATTTGAAATTGGAATAATCCAAATTCAAGTAATTTCGAATTTGGAATGTACGTAGTCGTACGTGAAAATTCGCGTTTCAATTGTTTTACAGTAGTTTAACGTGTAAGATTTACGAAATTAATTTCACTAGACACAAAGTAGTACGTCCGGAAAGACGACCGGAAGCGAGTGAGTGTCTACAGGAGGTGACGTAACGCCCATCTTGAACCCCGACCCACCCCTATATAACTGCTCCTTGAAATCTTTCAAAGCTACTAACATAAACGAACAAGTCTGTATTTATTACTTTTTCACGCTTCAACGGCTTGACCGATATTGATAAAATTTTACACCTTGGAATAATACAAATATTGTTTGTATTTTTCGCGGCTAGTAAAAAAAATGCTTGCTGTCTAAATAAAACATAATGATTTAAGTACTTTCAACGGTTTAAAACGCGAAATTTATTATTTAAACCTACTTATTTACAATTTATTTTAACTACGCCAGACGTAACGAATTCCTTGCAGCAGCCGTCTTTTGTGACAACGGCTGTTGCGGCGGCCGTTTGAAATTGGTATATTTAAATATGTATATGTAATAGTTTGAGAAACCTCGGGCCACATTTAAAACAACATAACTCAAAACATTTCGTGTTTTAAACCGTTACAAATGTTTTAATTAAATAATACAATTACATTTATTTATGCTTGTATAACGGTTTTCTAGTGTCATAATAATAAATACAATAAGAATAATATAAGATTAAGTTAATTCCTAAACAGAAGTCAAACTTCAATAAGGTCTAACACTATACAAAGGATTCTCAGCAGGTGTTTTTTTATTGACGTTCGTTAATCTCACTAGTTTGATTCGTACCCCACAAACACCCCGTCGAGTGTAAGTATTAGATTATAAGCTTGTAACAATGCACTATGTTGACACTTGTATGTGACACGCGACACTGTAGCTTATAGTAGATGGGTTTTTGGAAGAAGCGCTTTGATGGGTTGGTGAAATGGTAACAATGTATGGCTAATAAACGGGTCGTGAGTTAGATCCCCACCGCGACCTACATGTTTCAAATCAATTTATAATTATCAAAATGGAAATCTAGACATTAAATGGGTAGCAATATCGAAATTCCGTCCGGGTCACGAACCACCGAGATGTATATTTCCGAATACCTATTCATAGCCAAAATAGGTCAAGCGCAAGCGCGGATCCAACCCTTAAAAAGGGTGGTGGTCGCAGCTACTAGAAAATCGGCTAAGTACAAGTCGGAGCATGAACACGCTTATTAAAAATCATACAAGTCGTTTATGAACCTTTGAATTAGATTATTTCCATTTTTCTGAGCATCACGACTTTGGCCTTAGGAATGGAAAGAAACTTAGGAGGAAGTCGGACCCGATCTTCAAATTAAATAGTCATTTTCCATCCAAACCTATTACAATCAACAACTTACATGTATTTGTTTTTTTTTCTAGCTACTGGCTAAGTAAGCCAATATAGGGACACTACACTGGTAAACAGGTAATCGTCAAGATAACTAAATAGGTATCTTGACGTTATATCAGGAGTAATGTAAGGGAGATCAGGAAGTGAGATGTAGTGTATGCAAAATTAGGTACATGTTTCGCAACGCGGCTCGGAAATTTTGGCGGCACGGCAATAAGTTGTCAAAAATGTGACATAAGTCATAATATGTCAGCATATCGTCATTCAACATAGACAACCTGAATTCTTACCTTAACATCTCTCCATGTCTCTTTTTACACATTTAAAATAATTTAAGTTTTCTACACTAAACACTACATTCAATTTTTGTGTATATAACACTGCAAGACATACTTCTTAAGAGCAACACAACGGTTGCCAGGTCAAACACAAGGCGTATTTCATTAAAACAGGACTAGATGGCTGAATATACTCGGTTCCGTATTTTTTATAGACCCAAATAAAATTAATGAATACAAAATGGATTCCTAGAATCTAACATATTGCATTTAGTTAATGTACAGATTATATGTAATTTACTTTCGGCAAAATGGCGTCACAAGGCCACGATGTAAATTATTGTAACCGCAAGTCTTTCTTGGAAAACGTATTCCGCTGTGTTACAAGTGACAAGCTTTTGGCGTGTTATATGACGGGACTATAAAATTATGGGCTCTATTCCCTAGTGTAAAATATACATCAAAATGTGTTAACTGCTAGTGGTTCTACCACGTACGCTAATGCATGCGTAGAAGCGACCACTTCCATAATCTTGCCTGTGAGATTATGGAAGAGATTAGTTTCTTTCAGTTTTCTGTTAGTAATTTTTCTGTGTCGCGTAAATGTAATGTGTAAAACGTATAATGAAATATGTCAAGTATTTTAAGCGATTAAACAGTGATATTATGATCGGCCAATTAACTTTAACCATTTTTCCATGTTCATTGTCAAAAAGAGATTGATCCAGTTGTTGATCATGAATACACCTAATGATAATAGATTATAATTAGATTAACAAATCTAAACTACTAAAAATACTTATAAAACTAAACATACTTATTTATATAAGTACCTAATATTATACCTATTGTTTTAGTCTGAGTTGTTACTCTTCAATACAAAATTTTAATTCAGATACCCACATCGTAGTAGAGTTTGAATTTATAATAGTAAGCAGTAATTTTATAGTATGTTTACAAAAATCTATACTTTTAAAAAATATAGGTTTTTATTCTCCGCTTTTCGCTTTTTCGTGGGTATCTAATGTGTATTGGTAGAGCAAGAGCGCTGTAAGTTGTAGGTCGTAGGATTGACATCCGGTGTCATATATTTTTCTAAAAATGTAATGTAGGGGAAAAGTAATACGGGATAAACTCATAATGAAATGCTAAAATGTGAATTCAGTGAGGGAACTTTAGATCACTCCACCAACGTGAGAATGAAAGTATTATAATACTTCTGAGTACTTTTATCACATGAACCTTTCAACGCCAACTCTTCGAACTTGGACCAAACAATTCTCTCAGAAGGAGAGGAGGGCGGAGCGAGCCAAGCGCCGCCTCAGCTCCGCCTAACTAGGGGACCCCACTTGACTTCAGCGTCTCCAAAGATAAGTCATTAGGACGTCAAGTAACGGAATGACCTGAAGTAGCCAGACGCGACTTTTAAAAGCTTTGGTTTATTGTATGGTTATCAACAAACAACATTAACAAGCGATTCTAACGAAGTTTGTTTTAATAGTTATGTAGCTTATATCAATATTACATGCACATATAAAAAAGGTATGTAAAATTGTGGGAATATCGATATTCGAAACAAACCGGCATCCGCAGCTTGCATACATATTTTTTGGGTATAATGAACAGTTTTTGCAGCGTAGGTACCTACGCCTCGAAAACCCATAACGATTAATAAATTTCCCAATTTTTTTGACATTTCACTCATGTATCTTCGCTCCCATTACCCAGTTCCTGATATTAGAGCGTTCAAACAAACGAACACTTCAGCTTTATATATTAGTATAGATTTATTGACGGGTTCGTTGGTCTTATAGTAGTAATGCATGGCTAATAATCGACGGGTCGTGGATTCTATCCCCACCGGGCCCAACACTTTTCTATTTTTTTTAATTTATAATTTCTTAAAACATGTTTAACGTCGACTGGAATTTTGGATATTGAATGAACGGTAGGAATATCAAAATTACGCCCGGATCGGGATCCACCGTCCATACGTAAAAAAAGCTAAAAGTTTAATCGGGTTTCGGTTTCTATGGATTTCCGAATATCCAAAGCCAAAAAGGTCGACAGCGCACCTTGCCTCGATGTTAGGTATATGGCTGGGGAATATATCCTCCCATCAAATGAGCGCCATGCTTGTCTGTTCTTCTCTATCAATAAAAAAAATTAATTA